TTCTACTATGGAGCCTACACTTTTGAGATATTGCTCAAAATTGTCATTTGTTTTATTAGTAAAGGTAGTAGAATTTGTCATTTTATTCTTATTTATTGAACATCCCATTATTTAATATTAAGATTGTATTTTAATTTCAAAAAAATACATTAATAGTACAAAAATATTTAATTCGTTTAATTAATGCTAATTAATTCATTAAACTAAAAGATCAGTTGGTACTATAAAATAATATCTAAAAATGAAGATAATCTAAAATTAAGTATTTAATATATAAGTAGTTTAATTGTATTAATTAATTTCAAACGGTATTAGATAAAATGAAAAAAAAACTTAAGAAAATTCTAAGATAAAGTTAATAAAGTCAAAATTGATTTTTATTAATATTATTCACTCAAATTTAGGATCATAAAATAGAACAGTAGGTAACTTTGGTGCTTAAGAACAGTTCTGATAATATTTGATTTATAATAAGAATTCAGTAAATGGGTTTATTAAATCTTTATATAATTTATAGCTAATATGATCCATATCATTAGCTAAATGTATAAGACATTAACTAGATTAACAATTTTCTAAATAGTAATAAAATAAATACTATATAATTCTTAAGCTTAAGAATATGGAATAATATTGTCTGCTTTACCATGCAAGATAAAAGTAGGAATCTTGACTTTTTTAATTTACTCTAAATTATCGAATCTTTATCTGATAAGATATTAAGCCCATGATCCTACATAATCTCTGACAGCAGCTTTTAATGAAGTAAATGGAGACATCAAAGCAAGACATGCTGGTTTATATTTACTAGCTAAATAAGTAGCAGGTCCACTACCAATGCTTCTACCAAAGATAATAATACGGTTTTCATTGTAACCTAATCTTTTAGTTAAATAATTGTAAACATATTCAGCATCTTTCAAAATAAATTCAGCATTAGGTTGTTCATTTTTATATTTACTATAACCAGGATATTCCATTGCTATTGCTGATATCTAGAAATTAATATAAAGAAAATACTTATAAATTATCTCTGAGTTGAATGAGAAAATCATATGATTGAGTAATATCTTCACAATTTGCATGGAAATATAATAAAATATTTGGAGAATGATTTTTTGAATCTACATACATACATGGAATATGTCCAAATATATGATGTGATTCTCTAGAGTTAGATCTTAAAGGTTCTTCTAAAATATATTTTTTTTTATTCTTTTTATCATTTAATTCTTAAGGTAATTTAATAATAGGCTAGCTAAAACATATACTATTTTATATCTTGGTTTTTTTTATAGGATATAAATTTGATTGCATTCTACATAATTAAGGTTTTTTGGTAGTAATTTAAATGGATTGCATGTTTAATTTTTGTACTTTAGATTAAACATCAGGACTACCTTCATTAGAATCAAATGAAGGTGAATTTATTTCACTAGTTTATCTTCTTTACTATCTTTAGGTTAGAGGTTTGCATGGAAAATTAGGAATAGGTTATAATTGGGATTCAATACTAAATTGTAATTAAATAAAGATTACGCAGGTTCTTCATTAAAGAAATGTTCATCTTCACCAAATTTATCAATTTCATTTAATTTAAAGTACATTACTCTTTTTTTAGTTGTTCGAGGTACATAATTTTAAAAAGCTGGATAAAGTTTTTAATATTTTGGAATCCATAAAATTTATCCTTAGTCATGATCATTCGATACTTCCTTTGGAGCAGGAAAAAAAATAAAGTCTAAGTCCATTAATTAATATATTAATGAATAATGAGGTTGAAAGATAAATGAATGAAAAATGGGGCAATCAAACAATTAAATAAATAATTGTAGTAATATTATAGTCAAATTCTATAAATCTATGACTAAGTATATAATATACATACTATAGATGTAAATTATGGAAGAAAGTATCAAAAAGGTAATTTCTAAAAACGAATGTATGTGTTATAATAATTGAAAAGTTCATATAACCATATATTAAAAAGAAAGAAATAATTAAGAAGAACAGAACAAAAACTAGAAAACTGACAATAAGCAAATCTTACTTAAAATTTTTAATTTAAAGTTATTTTTATGAATTATTATTATAAGTAGTGTTAAGATAATGAATGTGCCAATGAAAAATATAAATATATGTTTATTAATTAAAGAACATTAAATGTATTATAAGAAATGTATTGTTAGATAGTTACAATATAAAATCTTTATTGTCAAGAGAGTGATAAAAAAAGTCAGATAAATTAAATATACTAAATTTTAGAAGAAGGAAAGAGAACATTAAAATTTATAATGAGAATTTGATTATAAATACTACGTCATCCTAGTTTAATAAGCTATATTAAAGTATCATATTATGAAATCATGATTATTAAATAATAAAAAATTAATGAGAGGACTTATAATACGCTTTGCATTTGCTGAATAAGTCTCCATCTAAACCTAGACTTATTTAAAAAGATCATATAAGGAAGCAACTGTAGAAATGGCCATAAATCCTTTGAATCCATATCACTAATGGTTCATAAAAGTAATCTTAAATTTTATATTTTTAGCTAGATGGTAAAAGTGTTAAGACTTAGCAACGTAATATTTTAGCTGTTCCTTCTCCATAATTGGCAGCCTGTATTGCAACAGAATTCAATCGTCAGAAAGAATACTTAAGTTTTAAACAAATGCCACTCTTAATGCTTGCCAGAAATGCTATTGATTTAGATTATGATGCAACAAATAGAGAATATATTGAAAAAACTATCATTTACCATTTAGAAAATGATGCTATCTTACATCGTATAAACAAACAATCACAACTTCTAAACATTCAGTAACAATAATTGGATCCACAATTAAAGTTCTTCAATTCTAGATTTGGAATGGATATATAGGTTAATGATGGTGTTCAAATTTCATCACTAAATTAATAAAATAGAGTCAAAATTGAATCCTTAATCAGAGGACTAAATAATTGGTAATTAGTCAGCCTTAGTTCTCAAGCAGGTATTAATTTAATATAATATTATTAGATAATCTCAAATCCTGCATATTGGCTATTTAATTATCTTATGGTCTACTCGATTCAGATAAAGCTATCTCACTTTGTGATATTTAAAGTTAAATTAATAAGAAGGCCTCAGAAAATGAAAATCCATAAGACTCAGACAGTGAAGATAATGTAATTTCCACTAATGTAAAAGGTGCCTAATTATTTTCATCCTTAATTTATTCCTAAAGTATCCTTTATTGATATTTTATTCATTGTATATAGAATTAATAAATTAGATTTAAATTTTATATTACACAAATATATGTCAATAAAATCAATCATGATTTAAAGGCTTTTGGCTAGAATGTAGATATAGATAAGGAAACTCTAGTCAATATTTCTGTATGTGTCTTTCGTTCGACTTTTGTTAATGGAGATGAACCAGGAATTTATTTCAAAGGAAGACTTTTCCTTAATTCAACTCTAAGTTGTGGTTTATATTGAGGATCTCTCTAAATATCAAAAGGGGTTAATTCTGGCCCTAAATTACTTGTAATATATCCATGCAACATTCTAAATTTATATTAATTAAATTACATCTCATAATCAAGTAACTGAAGTAAAAATCCAGGGTTGGGTCGAACATATGGTCTCTTTTATTTTAGATATCTTAGAGCTTGTTCTAAAGTATATTGAAAACTTTTCATAAGATAAGCCAAAACTAATGTTGCTGACCTTGAGATCCCTGCAGCACAATGAACAAGAATATTTTATTGAAATTTCAATGAGTTTTCGATAAATATGAAAGATCTTTCGAAAACATTACTTATTTGAGAATTCATATTATCATGAATATCCAAGTATATTTATTTATATTTTGGACCAACCATAATTTCTATGTATTAATATTTATTACTTTCTTCAGTACATATTGACAATATACAATTTATGTTATTAATTTCTAAAATTTATTAATTATGAAGGCAATCTAAATTTCCGAGAAATAATTTTCCTTGATCTTTTTCTTATAATATCAAACTAATTGGTTACTCACCAGGCAAAGTATATTTAAACATATGTAAACCCTTCATTATAAATTGAATTTATTTAATTATTTAAATGCATAACTTAGAATAATAAGGCCATATAAAAAGGATCAAAATTTTATTAGTTTTTTAATCATTATTATTTTAATAATATTGATAATATGAAAGAAGTGATGAGTTAATGAATGAATATTATTTTTGATTTTTTAATTCAACTTTAACGATCTTATAAATCTTTTTAGATGCAATAGCATAAACCTAATTGTTCACATATCGCACCTTCACAATTCAATACTAATCCTTTACAACAAGGACAACCTCTATATTTTTCATATAAATCCATCATCTAATCTGGGTCTTCAGGATCAATATCAATTAATAGCTATCAATTATTATAATACTGCAATACATCTTTTTATTTTTGTAAAACTTCCTTTTAATATTTTTCAATATCTTCATTAGTAAGTTCTTATTATATGGATTAAGTTTAAGGTTTATTACAAAATGGACAATTTTAAAGACCATGAAGATGATAAAAATTGAGTTTGTATTCAATACAATCAGGAGATGGTTTAATTTACTAAACTTCTTTTTCTTTTGACATTAAATTAAATAAATGATAAAAAAAACATTTTTTGGTATTTCCTTAAAAGACAAACAAAAATTCACATTCAAAGAATAAAATGGTTTACTCTGTTATACATTTACTTAAATAGTTTTAGATGGCAAAGGAGAAGCAAAAGTTTATGGACTTACTGACAATAAAAAAATTTTGATTGCTTCTCTGAAGGCAAAACAAAATTAATGCAAATGCAAATTTATTATGGATGAAAATAACTTTAGAAATTTAATATGCATTGGTGATGAGTCTACTTATGTTCATGTAATAGGATATAAGTTAGAAAATAAGAATTAAGAAATATAAGAAATATGTTAAGAAGAAGATTTGGCATTCAAAGATGAATTTAGAGCACTACAACCTTTAGAAGAAAGGGAATTAGATTCTGATGAAGTTTTATTGCTTTCTAAGTAAGAACAAAAAGAATATAAAAAAAAATAAAAATAGAAACAATTAAATCAAAAATATTGAAAAAATAGAGTTGTGTTGTGATATATTAAAATTTAATAGTTTATTTAATTTCTTGATATGCTCAAATCGATCTAAAAATGGAGAATGAGAAATTAGCTGAAGCTCTACTTTTTACTTTTGTCTCTATTCTCTACATTATTGATTGGAGTTATCCTAGTTATCACTCAGAATTTTGTATACAATGAAGTAGTTTTGACAACATAATAAATATCAAATAAGTTGACTGATAATGAAATATCGAATTAGTTTGAAACACAAATGCAATTGTTTTTTGAAGTAATTAATAAAAGTACTCTATCATTATATTGAAGATTATAGAGCTCTTGATAAAATTGCAAATTTATTTACTTTTGTATAAATTGAATTAAGCTTAATGACATCATAACATGATTAATGTCCAGTAAACTAAACACAAAATTATAGAAAATCCAATATATGTTATAACATATTGGATTTGAAAAGTGAACAAGCATTAAATTCAACACAATCATAAGAGTTATTCTACTATTTGAAACATTAGAGTCTTTTGTAATAATTGTTATTACTTTTTGATCCAGAACAATTTATTATTGGTAATTGGTCAATAGGATATAGTAAATAATTCTATTTTTCAGCCTATTAAGCAATTGGTTATTATTCGACATTTAATATTGCATCTAGACCATTTTATATAAATCATATCAAGAAGGCAAATTAATCTGAATATATATTTAGTGATGTGTTTTTTAACTTTGAAAATGAATATAAAGTAACAATATCGAAAAACCTAACAAAAGATGTGTCTGGAGGAATTGTGGCTACATAATTTGAATTTAAAATAATTAAAAAGTTTTTTTAAGAAAATTTTTTGATTTTAAATAAAGATGGATTGATATTGATTGGAAATGTATAAATGTATTTCTAACCTAACAGAACAAATGTATATTTTTTTAATGAAACTTTGACTGGTTTTAATAAGAATGATTGGCATTCTGTGTTAGATTAAATGGATCATAACATATCATCATCAAATTGCACAACTTTTAATTCTAAATATTTATGTAGATTCAACAAAATAACATTAAATGATGTATTGATATTTGCTAAATTTCTAAAATTTTCAAATTTAATATTGATTATGTAAATATGTATAAAATATTAAGATTAAAAAATGTAGAGTATGACAAAGATCTCTAAAATTAATTAATTTGGATTGAAGATCAGAAGAATCTTTAGATTACATAATTATTAACTTTTTAATTAATTGCTGCTTTTGGTTCAAGTTTACTTGCCATTTTAGTTGTCAGATACATTTGTAGATATATGACATATTTAGAAAGATTGGCAAATAGTCATTTTTAAAATAAGCCAGTTGATTTTTAAATGTATTCTTTCTTAAGAGAAATAAAACAACATCAATCATCATAATCAACAAACATCACATTAAATCTATCTGATTCTTACTACAAATTAATTTCACAATTAACAGTGAGACCATTTATAAAGAATGAAGAATGTAAAATATTTGAATCATTTTAATTTCCATACTCTAAAAAAAAGGATAGTCTACTAAAATGGAGAGCTACAATAAAACAATTACATGACAAGAATGGGAAGGTAAAATAAAGTTATATAAGTCTAATATTGAATCTGTTGAGGCAATCATATTAAAGAAATAAACATTGAATGTGTTAAAGACAATTTTATTAATCTTGTTGATCTAATATAATTCCTATTGTTCTCTTTATTTAAATTTAATTAATAATCCACGTATATTAAATAAATTAAAATGGAAAAAAAATAAGGAACAGTTAAGTAAATAGTGTCTTCCAATTGTGTATTAATATCTGGACCAATTAATAATGAGACAGGAGTGCCAATGACTAAATTTTTGACAATATAAGGAATTTAAGCACCTGAATTTTCATTAACAGATAAGGAGAATCCAAAATAAGAGCCATTTGGATTTTTAGCTAGAGAATTCTTGAGAAAGTAAGTTTTAGGACAATAAATTGAATTTACAATTGAACATAAGATCAAAGATTAAAATGATAAAGTGATAGGAAGAATATTCAAAAATGGATAAGATATTGGAGAATAATAATTGAGAGAAGGATTAGCTTAATTAAGATTATAAGGAAAGCCAAGTTAAGAATATGAGAATGCATAAAATCTAGCTAAATAAAATGGAAAAGGAATTTGGTCAAAAAGAGAAGAATTATTAAAATATACTAAAATTGAATTAAAAGATGTAAAACCAAAATAATATACAAAATGTTTTGTAGAAGATGTACAAGGATTGTTTGTATTTTATGCTTACATTCCAGAATTACAAGGTTTAGTAAAATGTTCATATGGAGAAGTATTTATGCCAACTTCAGTTTCTTAAGTATTATAAAATAAAGCTAAATGGACAATTTAAGAATTAATTCTTTAATAAGAAGTCACTTTAACTGTATAAGGATAAGATGAGAAGTTCTAGTCATTAAGAGTGGATATAAAAAAGGGAGATTTAGATATAAAGAAAGAACTCTTAAGTTTAGGATATTTTAGACTATCACCAAATGCATTTTAATTAATAAATGATTAGAAAAGGTATATGTTAGTGAGATTATAATTAGATATAATGAATTGAAAGAGACTCAAAGTTAAGCTGAAATAAAATTGGTTGGAATATGGAAAGATTCTATGAAGTAATAATAATAATAAGCAGTTGTATTATAAGGAGGTAAATAGACATATTAAGCAAAAATAATTGAAGTACATTCAGGGGATTAATTAACTGTAATGAATGTTAACAATAGATAATAATCTAGAGTTTTATTGGCTTCAGTTAAAGCACCAAAATATTCTCTTAAAGAAACTTAACCATTTGGATTTGAAGCTAAAGAATTTGTTAGAAAGCATGCTATTGGTAAAATTGTTAAAGTAGAAGTTGAATATGAGAAGAAAATTAAACCTAAAGATATAGAAGGATTAGCAGATGATGAAGATAAAAAGAAATTATAATAAGAATTGAATATGGTGTTTGTTAATATAATATTAACTGAAGATAATGATTAAAATTTAGCTGCTTTAGTTGTAGGTGCAGGATTTGCAACTGTTTAACCACCTAGAGGAGATGATGGAGTATCTAGATATATTGATGAATTAACAGGTGCATAAGAATCAGCAAATAAAGCTAAAAAAGGATTACATGGAAAACCAATATAATTACCTAAAATGACTGATTTATCTGTTAATCCAAATTTATAAAGATCTAGAGATGCATTTGATTCTTTAAGAACTTTAAGAAAACTATCTGGAGTTGTTGAATTAGTTTTAAATGGATCTAGATTAAAATTAAGATTCTAAGAATAAAATTACACCTCTATTATTGTACTTGCAGGAGTTAAATGTTTACCAAATGAATAAAATTTACCAGATTATTAAAAATTCTCAAATATTGCATTATAATATGTTAAGGAAAATGCACTTTAAAGAGATGTTGATGTTGAATTAACATCAATTGATAAAAAAGGCATTTTTCATGGACATGTATTTATAGGAAAATAAAGAACTAACTTAGGATTAACACTTCTTGAATTAGGATTAGCTGTTACATTCAATCCAGTTGCAAATAGTCATAATTATTAAGCATTATTTGCAGATGCTGAATCTAAGGCTAAATTAAAAAGGGAAGGTTTATGGGATATCAAAGGTTTAGATTTAACTATTGTTAAGGGTGATGATGATGTACCTGTTAGATCTGAATATAAAATATTAAATGGAGAAGTATATTATAATATATATCATAATAGTTGAAAAAGTTAGTTTTAGTTGAAATAGCAGATAGCAATACTCTTTATTTCTAAGATCCAACAGATAAATTATTAGGATAAATTGAAAAGAGTCTTGGATTATTTACAGCTACTGAAGCTAATAAATTAATTCCACCATTTAAAAAGGGTTTGTTATGCGTTGCTAAATTCTCAGTTGATGGCAATTGGTATAGAGCCAAAATTACAAGAGAATTAAAAAATAGATATGAAGTCTTATTTGTTGACTATGGAAATATTGATATAGTTTCATAAAATGATATCAGAAAACTTCCTGAAAATTTAGCTGCATTACCTCCTTAAGCTATCAGATGTAATTTAGCTCATATAAGTGGACCAACTATAAGTCATGATCTAGGAAATAAAGTATAATTATTCTATAATATAAAGGTTGGATAATTCATTAGGGATTAAATCTTTGAAAAAGAAATTGTTGTTTCTTTTGAATTTCAAGATGATTTGAGCAAAGGTGTTATTGTTTACTTAACCAAAGAAAATTAACCCAATAAATCACTTAATATCTTATTGCTATCATAAGGCTTTGCTAAACTTGATAAAACAGTAAATATTTTTATTTCTATTTTTTTAGGCTCCTCCTTTACCTTAAAAGCTTGAAGAATGGCTTAAGGCAACTCAAGAAGCTGAAAATAATAGCAAAGGACTATGGAATTATGATGAAGAAACTGAGTGATGAATTGTATTTTAAAATAATATAATAATTTATGTAAATAACACCTAAAGCTATAACAGCACTTTCTAAATTATTGTCTTAGAATTCCTCTAATAATGTAAGAATTTTATAATTTAGTAAGAAATAAAGTTAAAATGATTCAAAACCTAAATCAAATCAGAATAGTAAGAATTGTAGATCCATTAATAAAAATGAATTCAAAAATTTCATCTCTAAACCATCTTTATCTAATGAACCAAATTACAGTGTTAAAAATGAATTGATATCTGTGCTTAACAGCAGCAAAGAGAAATCTATTAAATCCACTTTAAAACCTCATCATAGTCTTAATTATCTTTTATTATCTTAATAATAACTATCTGCAAGAAATAGTTTTCAAAAAAAGAGACCTCCTTAAATTAATGTTGAAGAAAGTACTGATATTTAGAAACATCCCTAAAGTGCTAAAAATGTTAATTAAATGAGTCCTTTACATTATTGTCCTAATCAGAAATCACAATAATCTTAAAAATCAATTAAATATCCTAAAGGTATGAATGTATTTAGCTCATTAAATGAAATATTAGGATAATATGTCTAAAAAAGGAATTATTAAAAATGTAATTTACTATACTTTAATTAGAGGCTGGAACAGGAGAAGGTACAAAATTAGTAGTATGCAGATCAGCAAGAAATTAGGAATAAAAATAAGAAAAATAAATATATCTATCTGAAAATAAATAATTATAATCTCATTCATAATAAGAATATTTTGATTCACAACAATTAAACAAACTATATTTGTATGCAGCATAAATCTTAAAAGCCTACTAAACTAAAGAAATGATTTGGAAACAATAAAAACACAGTTTAAGAAATGAGATTGCATTTCTAAAATAATTACTATAATAATAAGAATCTTAATAAAATCATGAGTGATATTTATTTTTTTTTAATTTCAATCAATTTTAATTTTAATTTACTTTTATTCATTTTTATTTTTAAAGTCTTAATGATCTCTCAATTAATGCATTCTTAATTTAAGTATAACAGTAATTACCAACATAATTAACCATAAAATAATATATTTCTGTGAATAATATTTTTAAAAGAATATGAAACAAACAAGTTGTAATAATCATTTATTTAATAAAATATATTTTTTATTGTTAAGTTTTGGAATATTTCTAGTAAATACTGTAAATTTGGCTTCATTAGTTTCAGGTTCAAATTCATACAAAAATTAAAGCCATTAAGCAAATGTATGCCATTCATATAAAAAATAATTAGAAATGGTTATTCTCCTGAGAATGTGAATTGTTTTACGCATAATGATATAGCTTAAAACAGATAAAACATTTAAAGATCTATAACTTAACTAAATAAAGAAGAATTTTCAGCCAATATTTATGAGGGTTATGTTATAGATTATTCAAAGAGTGATATCAATCCAAAAAATTTTCTGAATGTATCTGATTTTGATAAATTTATTAATATCTAGTGCTTCTATTAAAGAGTTCTTTTGGGGACAAATAATATTGAAAAAAGAAAAATATACCTCAAAAATACTTTTTAATATCTGATGAAGTATTTAATAGATTTTAAAATATAGAATATTTTGAAATGGATGGATTTCAAGAGATAATAAATTATTATTCTATCAAAATATATCATTAGAATTGGGATTTTAAAGATTTAATTGAATTAGAAAAAGAAATTAAATCCAGAGCATACTTTGATACCATAGTAAATTTTAATTTTTTATGGATCTAGTTTGATGAATTGCAATTAACTTTAAAATTGACAATATATCAACCTTATGTATAATTGAATGATATATAAATATATATATAATGATAAAAAAATATTTCCATATTTTATTACAATTAAAATAAAGAATATAGATTAGGTGAATATTTTAAATATTAAATAAAAGTTCTAGTTTAGAAATGTATTTCATTTAGTTTATCATAGGCAAAGAATAAATCAAATAGATCATATTGAAAATGTACAATAACAACCAGAACATATAAATTAAAATTAATAGAATCTATTGACAAATTAAATAATTGGAAAGTAAAATGACGCAAGAAATTACTAATAAGAGATAAGTACATAAGTAGAGGATGAAAGTGATATGATGAAAAGTAGACAATTTTCTGTCTTTTAAAAATAGAACTTATAAAAGCAAACTCAAATAGTGTAAATTTATTTTCTGAATTCTTAGGAGATATTAATCACTAATTGTTGATTCAGATGAAGATTAAGATGATAAGAAAAATAGTAATAGTGATAGTGAAAAAGAAGAGGAAGTTGTGAAAGTATGGACTGCCTTAAAGAAATCTAAGGAAATTCCAAATGAAAATTAGATTTAATAAGATAATAATGAAAAAGAAAATTAGTAATATTTTAATCCATTAGTTTTTGAAGAAGTCTTGCAACAAAGTTAAATAAATCTTAATCGAAATATCTTTTCAACAGATAAAATGGCCAATAAATCTACATTTGGAGCTGTTTTAATCACTTAGGTAGATTCTGAAGAAGATGAATAATCAAAAGAAGAATTAGCTGATTAAGTTAGTTAAGAAATTGGAATCATATCTAATTAAGATGCTGAAGTTACAGCTGAAAATAGAATTATGATGAGTGTTATGTAAACTAAATTTAGTTAATCCATTAAAAATTAAATGAAATTATAATCCTCTCTAAATAATTCATCAAAAAGTAATTAGTAAGATGATATATTCAAATCTAAGATTGTTTTTATTAATTAAACTCCAGTAATTGTTAGAGAAGATGATGCTTACATTCGTAAAGTAAGAAAAATTCAAAATTATTTCAGATTTGTTTAGCCTTATAAAAAACTTAAAAAATAGCATAGATATCGAGTAAATGTAATAAATGAATTGATTGTAACAGAAAAAAAATATGTAAGCGATCTTAAAATAATCAAAGAAAATATATAAAAGCCTCTTTTATAATTAATTGATTCTTAAGATCATGTGAGGTTTATGTTCAATGTGGATAGTATTTTGTATTTTAACTAGGAATTTTTAAAAATCCTAGAAAGCTAAGAAAAAGAAGTAAAAATTAAACCTTATGCAACAATTATGATTGAAATTTCTGTCCTGTTAGCAGGTTTTAAATTTTATTATGATTATTGTAAAGAATTTGAGGCTTCTAAAAAAATGAGAGATCAATATGAAAACACTAATTAAATCTATTAAAAATTTTTTAATGATCTTTAAAAAAATAAAAAAAATTAACTTAATAGCTTAGATATTGAAAGTTATTTGATTAAGCCTGTTCAAAGATTACCTAAATATGTTTTACTATATAAAGATTTATTAAAACATACCAATAAAGATCATCCAGATTATGAAAATATTTTTAAATGTTTGAAATTTTTTGAAGAAATTAATGATAAAAATAATTAAGAAATGAAAATATATTTAGAATAATTAAAAATAGTAGAACTTTAAAACTTATTTGGGTAACATGTAAAAATAGCTGAACCTAATAGAAAATATTGTTTTGAAGAAGTTTGCTCAATTTATACAGATAAAAAAGAGAATAATATAATTTTATATGCATTTAACAACTTTTTATTATTCGCCTAAAAAAAACAAAATGGATAATAGACCTATTGTTTTCATCTTTAACTTACTTATCAATCATATGTAAAAGACAAAGAAAATACAAATTATTTTGAGAACTTTTTTGAAGTTGTTAATAAGACTGAATCAATAATTATAATTAATTAAGATAATGAATCTAAAAAATAATTAATTGGAAACATTTAAGAAATAATTTAACAACTAAAACAAAAACAAATTAATATGGAATATTTAAGAAAAACTACAAGTTTTATGGATATTGGTGATGCTTAAAAAGAATAAAAATAATAAGATTTTGATTATGAAATAAAGGTAATTGTTATTGGAACTGAAATTAGAAATACTAAATCAAATCCTTATACAGTTTATATTATTTAAATTTTTATTTAGGAATATCAAACTAAAATATTTGTGAGATACAGTTAAATAGTCTCTCTTTAAACTATTGTTAATAAGTTTGATTAAAGTTTAAAAGTGCCAGTTTTTTCAACATTAAATTGGCTTCATTCAAATGATTCAAAAGTGATAGATGAAAGAAAATTATTAATAGAAAAGTTTTTATCATCAGTTTTAAACTCTTCTAAATGTTAAAATACAGTTGAATATTAAAAATAGATATTAGAACTATTAAGTTTAAGTTAAGATTTCTTTTCGATTCCTAGAAAAAAGAATACAGCTTCTTAAATTAAAATGGGAGAGGAAGAAATCAAAAAAATGATATTATAAAGCTAATTTTCAGTTGGAATTAAACCAAATTTACTTTAATCAATGATGATGAATAGATAGTCATCAAATATAATGTAAGCAGCCAAAGCATAAGCTTAGAGATCGAGTTTATTAACTTTGGAATAAGATAGTTCTGTTGTTATTGGATAGAGTGCTTCTAAATAACCATATTTTATAGAAGTAAGCTTAATGGATGGTCGAACAATTTAGGTTGGTTTTAAAAAATAAACATTGACATTATTCATTAAAAATGAAGTTGCTAAATTTGTTGGGTTAAAATAATGGCTTGACTTTAGATTATTCATTGTTGATTAAAATAGAGATCAAAGAGTTATAGATGATGACGAAACAATGTCATCAATATTAGATGCTCATTCAAATCAAAATAAAGGTTTGATAAATGCTTTTAAGAAGTTATTTACTTATGAATAGAAATTTTAGTTTATTTTTAGAAAATACTTTTATTTAAATTGGAAATCAGAAGAAGCTGATTATAAATAAGATGAATAAAGACTAAAATATATTGTACATGATTTAATTTGGGAAACAAGAAATGAAAAATTTTAATTCAATTTTAATGATTTATGTTTAATAACTGCTTTGTTTTATTATTCAACAAATACATAATAAAATTAACTTTCAACACTCTTGCCTAAAGTAATACCTAAAAATTTTTTAAAAAGTATAAAAGAAGAAGTTTGGTTAAAAGAAATTGTTAATAATATTAACTCTTTACAACAACAGTTAATATAAATTCAAAAAGATAACTAGCAATCTTAAATGTCTAAAAATAAAAATCTTCATACATCTATACCAGTATTAGCTTAATTAATGTTTATGAATTTTTTTAAAACTAAATAACATTTTGGGATGTCTTAGTTTTTTGTAGAATGCAATAAATAAACAATATAACTTTTTGACAAAAATTTTGCTATAAAAATCAATAGCAATGTTTTTATTGGATTAAATTTTTCTGGATTTCATATTCTAAAACCAGACAATAAAATGTTAATTTTTACTAGTCCATACGGAAAACTATCTGAAATGAAGGCTTGTACAACGGAATTTTGCTGTACCATTAATAACGCCAAACTTACATTTAAAACTTAATTTCCATTTGAAGTATATATAAATATAATTTCATTAGATAAAATCATTGATTTTGGAGTATTAGCAATTACAAGAATTTACAAAACAGTTAGCATATGGAATAAACTGATAATAATATTGTTATTTGGTAAAATAAATATTACTTAATTTAAAATCTCTAAATATGTATAATAAGATATATCTTTCAATTAATATTTTATGAATATAAAATAATTTTATATTTTTCATTTCATAATTTTGCTAGATTGGAAAAAAAAACTAAATTAAAATTAAATTTTTATAGGTTTTTATACTATATTCTATTAGATTTTTCAAAAAATGACACATTCTTTATTTTTAATCATCTATTCTTAACAAATTTAGCAAATGTCAAAATCACAATTTTTGCAACATAAAGTTTTACTATTTGGAATATTTGATCCATCTTATCCGCACACATCACATATATAACCTTAGCCTTTTCTGACTTCCATTTTATGACCTGTAGGGCAAAACCCTTTGCACATATTTTCAGGAGGTGCACATATTAAACAATAATAGTCTGAACAAGTTTCGCAAACATATCGACAAATCTGATTTTTTAAACAATTACAGCATATTTATTTACTAGCCTCGATTCCAGGAGTAAGCCAAAATCGTAATTGATGTTTTTGTTTGCACATTTTGTCTTTGCTAATTTCCCCCAATTTTCCACAAGTTTTAAAAGCTGGATCTGGTTTTGATTTTTAAATCAATGGCTTTTATTAATATTATTATTGTTATTATTATTGCTATTATTATTGTTGTAATTATGGTTACTTTTATAATTATGAAACTTACTATGATTAAAAAATTACTGATTAAGGGGCCTTATCTGATTTAATAAGGGATAGATTATTGATCTATTCTTATTAATCAAACAAAACAATTTATGATGATTTAATAATTGAATTATATTGTTCTGATTATTCTACCAATTTTTATTCAAGTTCATTAATTTTAATTTATGAAGACTTTTTGACTTCAGTGAGGTCCCTTTATAAAGATGTAATTAAATTGGTTAAGGTTTCAAAACAATTATGGGTATCCTTTTATTCTTTTAATACTTTTTGTTTGCACTATTTACACATAATATGCAATATAAAATTGCATTATTCTTGCTAAAGTTTAAAAAATTTGATACATGATCTTCAAGCTCTTGAGCTAATCCTTCCCATTCACATTATTGGCAACATTTGACAGATATAAATTTGCATTATTTTAAATGTTATAGAAGTTATTCTAAAATCAATTGTTCTTGACAACCAAATTTAGAATATTTACAATAGCATTTGATTTTTAGAATTTCTGCTCTAATTATCCTATGTGCTTATTTTAAATCGTAAGGGGGTTAGCATTTATTAGGGCACCTTATTATTTTATCCAAGATTATACATATCTTATTTTGTTTTCCATTCTTAAGAGCAAGTATCACAAAAGAGAGTTTCACATTTTTAACATTCGACAGCATTAATTGCAAGTTAGAAACAAATATTGCAAAGATATTCATCTTTTATTTCTTAAGCTAAGATGAAATCTTGTCTTGAAATCATAAATTATTATTATAAATAATTTCATAATAAAGTCATTATGTATTAATAGAGTGATTTAAGTTATTCCTTGATGAATTGTCTACATTCTAACAATGAAATTTCTTTTCGCTCTTGACATCTTAAAATTAAGTAAAGAATTATTTTATTTGGCATTTCTTTAGAGATTGTTAAATTTAATTTTAAGGCTTCATTGATCCATTTTGCATTGAAATTCATTTATTTAATATCGTCTTAATATTAAATATACTCTTCCCTCAAAATTTAATTATGTTTGATTACTATATTCCTCAATTCAGATATTAATTTTTCTTTCTCTTAGAACAATTTAAATTGATTAAGAAATTTAAGGGCTTCTATTATTATTTCATTTTAAGAAAAATATAAATCTACAGAAAAAGATATCAACTCAACATTTGCTTATTCTAAATATTATTAAAATTCCAAATGATCAAAAATCCCGTAAATTTATATGCATTTTTAACAAGCATTAGTAATTGTATTATCATCTTCAAATGGCATTATATATTTAATTGGTAATAAATGATAAGGACATTGTTCTACTTATTATGAATCATTAGAATATGTTGGTATCTAAAATATTTATGGCTATTCACAAGATGTAGTTTAGGAATGAAAAGAATAGTTTCTAAGTTCTTTTTAAATACTACAATTAGGACTTTATTAATTGTATTCACTTAATGTTTAAATAATCCAAGTTAAATCTTTTCGTTATTTAGGATCCTTTTAAATTGAATTAACTAAAATATTCTTTATTACATTCTTTTTATAATCGAAAATTTTAGGTTTTGCATATGATTAATCTCTTATAATATATCTAATTGCTCTTATTTTACCAAAAACTTCTTCTTCTGTTAATCCATTATAAAAAGGTGTTTTATGTATCAATTCATCAATAATTAATCCTAATGCCCAAATATCTACAGATTTGTCATATTGTTGCTTTTCCAATATTTCTGGAGCAACATAATAGGCTGTTCCTACTTTTGTTGTTGTCATTCTTTCTAATTTGATGCTACTTAAACCAAAATCAGTTATTTTAAAGATTTCAACCCCTTGATCATCAACGTATCTTAATATATTCTCAGGTTTGATATCTCTATGCACAATATTTTTGCTATGCAAAAAGGCTAATCCTTTAGCAATTTACAAAGCTATGTTAACTATTTATTCTTCAGTAAATGATTTACTCATCATCATTTCGTATAATGTACCACCAGGACAATATTCTGAAACTATAAATAGAGCTTCCTGTTAATCAAAAATATCAAGTAATTAAACTACATTTTAATGCTTAAATTATGATAATTGTCTGAGAATCATTTTCTCTTATTGAGAAATAGCGAGATTTCTATTACTAATTTTAACTGCAACTTTTTATTAATTTGATTTTTTAACACCCAAAAACACTTATGAAAACGCTCCCTAGCCAAGCAATTAATTTTTAGTCTCGTAATATTATTCATATCGATTTTTCATTTCTTTTCGTTTAAATTATTTTATTCAAACTAAATTATAACAAAATTTATAATCATTAGTACGCTAAAGAATTGATTGGTTTATATTAACAAGATCATCTTTTTACATTTTTAGAAATTCAAAATCGATTTCATTTGCCTATATGTCCCTTAATTTAGATTAGAATAATAAACTTTAAATAAAATATTTAGAAATAGGACAATTATTTTTGATTACTTCATATAAACATACTCAATTTTATTTTAGATATTCATTTTCTTCACTTTAGTAAAATTGATGCATTTAATTATCAAAATAAATAGTAAGTTCATTTCCTAAAATTGACCAACTTATTTTTTAGCAAACATTCTACATTAAGTTAATTTTTACATTTAATTGTATTTATTATTTCTTTTATAATGTTACAGGTTTAATAAATTCTGTATTATAATTTAAAGTCAAAATATCTAAAAAATTTCCATAGCTGATAGCTAATTAAAGTTCTTAGTTAAAAATTTGAGGTGCAAATTTTACATGTCTTATTTTCTATAAACATTAGTATTCATAGACTTTATCAATAATAGTTTATTAATCTGATAAGACATTCCAAATTTTTACAATTGATTGATTATCGCTTATACCTCCTGTTGCTATAATTTATTCTTATTCACTTTTTAACCAATCTAAGCAAAATAATGATTAATTATAAGCATTAGTATTAGTAACTTTATATTCTTAGCCTTCGATTACTTCTAAATATCCATTATTATATCCTGCTGCTAAAATAAATTTATTATCTGCCCATTAAATTATATTAGCTTAGGAATGACTTAGTAATATCTATTTTTCAATTTTCCATTAATTTGCTTATTCTTTCCAAATTTTTATTTTGTTATCTAAACCACAAGTAGCAATCAAATTTTCATATTTTGGACTTAACCATGATAATGAAATTATTTAACCCTAATGGCTTCATTAATGATATCATACGCTTAGAATTCTGCTATCAACCTTTTAATTTGCTTATTATTTTTATTTATCAATTCAAAAATTCGAACTGATCCTTGATTTGTTACTTAAGCTATTTTTTTATGATAATAATCCGCATATATTTCAAACTAATTTTTATTTTGATATATAAGTACCTCTGGATCAAAAGAAAAATCGGAAACTTAAGAAATCAATTTATTCATTGAGGTATTTTCTTAATTTGAACTACACAACATAAATTTTAATAAAATACTTTATTTAATCAGAGATTCTTAATACAAAATATTAATCAAAGCTTTTAATTCAATTACTAAACAACTGAACATTATCTTCAAATCTCTACAACTTTCTTCTTTATACAAGTGAATTGAATACTTAAATTTTATTTAAAATATTTACTTGGCTATCTCAACTTTGGAACCTTTACCTCCTTTTCTAAGTTGTTATCATAAATTAATATTTCTTTTTAACTGTCTAGAGTAATCTATTGTTCTTTAAATTAGTGATTTGTTATTACATTAATGTATTAAATCATAAATTTGTTGTTTGAGTATTATTTCTAAATTAGCACTTTGTATATCCTTCTTCTTTTATTTCATAGCTGAACAACCCATATTGCAATATAATATTAAAAATACTTAAATATTGATTAATGCTAAAACCAGAAATACGTATTTATTATCAATTAAATAAGATCGTAATAAATTCTTAAATATCATTCCTATTAGTAAACCTTTAATTCATTTAGTCTTAATTATTACTACTAATTCAATATTATGAAGAGTCAGAGAAAATTCCACTCTAAACAACATTGATCTAAAAAACGTATAATTTTATTTCAATTATATAAAACTTACTATTTGAAATATAGATTAAATAAGGCTATTTCAATTTAAATTCATGATTATATTCTTTAATGTTCAACAATTCATAAGTTCATTTATTTTTTGTTTTTAATCTGTCAAAATAACAGTTTTATTTTTAATTATACTTTGATAAACCTTTCATAATTTTTTCTTATTTTTTAAATGAAATAGAGCAAAAAATTTTTAGAATTTTTATTCTGTAACTTTTACAAGATAAATCTCAATAAGAAAATATTACAATACTTTGCGTTTAATTATATTGATTTTAAAATATACTTAATTGTAAAAAATTATTAAGCATTGTATCGATTATAATTCATATTTGATAACGTTAATTTTTATTTGAAAATAAAAATAACAATCCTTCTATTTGAGAAATTTTTTAGGTAAAAAAATAAAGATCAATAGAACTAGCAACTTTATGAATTAAATTTTTGAAGAAAATTATATTCATTTAAAGAATCAAGTTTTAAAAATCAATTGTTATCATTTTCTATTAATAATAACCTAGGAAATGATTGTGGAGATTTTTCATATTTATTTCTACAAGATGTAACAAACAATTACTGTGGTATTTATTCATTATTGAAACTTTAATCAGTTTTAATTCCTTTTTTAATATTACTTTGAGAATGAAGACTTCTTAAATTACGATATGATAAGGAATCATTGTTACTATTTCTTGGTTTTATTGATGTTTAAATCTTTTAAAGTAAGATTTATTATTTTTTTAAAGAATCATTTGCAGGTTATTGGTTCATTTATAATAATTTATTGTTTGATGGAGATAATGAAGATCCATCATTTAAATATTATAAGTGTTGAAAATTAATTAAATTTTCTAAGTTCTATTCTGATTGATTAAATTTAGATGTAGATTTTGATAAATTTAGTTTAAAATTTTTAATTTCGTTAGAGAGACTCAATCCTAACTTTGATTTAGAATTTTTATACTGAAGATTTTTATTATTAATATAATAAAGTCTTTCTTATTTTTCTTAAATGTTTTATTATAATTCTGAATTCGCTACAATTAAATCTTTTGGGGATTTATCTTTGTACTTTTATTAAAAAGCTTCTTGATTTCTTTTTACACTTTAAGAAAGAGTCAATAGTTTTTTATTTTCAGATCTTAAAACTTTAGATTAATCTAATTGTCTTTTTTATAAATCTAAATACTCATAAAATGATTTTGGATTAACTAAATTTTAAGCAGTGTTACTGATATATTATTAATAACTTTAAATGCTTTATAAAACTTACTATTTTCTTTAAGAGATGTATTAATTATTTTAGTCTTAAATTTATTTTAGTAGGTTAACAATATCTGGAAAATTTTTTCTAATTTTTCTTAACACTTCAGCTTCCATATAATAAGCAATAGTATTATCAACACATTGGCAATTATGTTTTCGTTAAGATAGTTCTTCAATAAGTTCATCTTAACCTACAATACCTCCATCTGTTACTTAACTTAGCTAATGATAAAATTAATATAATTACAATAATTTTTTTTAGCACAATAGTAAATGCATTATTAGGCATATATTTATTCTAAATAACTTTTTAATCTTCAATATTCATATATATGTCAACTCTTCCACTTAATATAATAAAAAGATATTGAGGTTCATCCCCTTTTTACCAAAGTATAGATTATGATGCAAATTTAATAGGTCTTAAATTTTATACAAATTTTGAGATACTAAAAGTTTATATTCCAGGAAAGATTTTAGCATATAAACCCATAGTTTTGCTTTGTTCTTAAATCGCCTTTTCACACATCATTTTATATTAATTACGATTAATTGATATACAATGTAAGTTATCTGATATTGCAATCAAACTAGCTGTCCTAGGTTTATCAGAAGTTAATGCAACATCTCCAAAACATTATCCAGAAATGTACTAAAATACCTATTTATTTTATCATTATAATTATTACTTTATGAAAGTTAAATACTCCATCTTAAAAGTAAAAAGGATTTTCTCTATTTTCATACAATGCATCATCTATGAAAAGCATTCTCTTGCTTTTTTTCATATTTAATTAAGCCAGCTCTTCTTGAATTTCTTCTTTTGATTTAGGAACATAAACTCCAGCCTAACCTTTCAATATGATATACATCTTGTCACCAAATTCTCCATAATTGAAAATTATCTATCCATAAGAAAAACACTCATATTTAGCATATTATGTTGCTTGTGTTACAAAATCACGAAGCTAAGTTCCTTCAGGACAGTTGTTTTTAAAAAATTATATCTGAAGCAAAGAATCTATTAATTAATTATTTTAAGATGTTGGATTTATGAAATATTCAAGAGCTGATGCCAATTATGCTTCGTTTTGTTATTGCAATTTTAGTTGTTGCTCTAACTTTTGATTCGTTTATTTCATTGATAAATATAAAATTAATTGTATTTATTTATATTTTTATTATGATTATATTCACAGTTATAACAATAGAATTCATATTTTTATTAACTAGATGAAACTAGTTTTCTAAATTAATCTTAATGAAAGCAATAAAAATATCTCAAAAAATAAGCAGTTGTAAGATTAAATCTATAATTTATTGTAAAAAATTACTTGTACCAAAAGGATTTCAAAAAAACATTATAGAGGTTGTTTTTGAAAATAAATAAATTTTAGGAATGCATTAATAATATAAAATAAAATTAAGAAATTCAATATAAAATTAAGGAATTAAGATTTTAATTTTATTAGATAGTTTCAATAGGAAGGAAGTAGCCACTAAGATAGAAAATTATTGATCAATTTTATTTTATAGAATTGCAAATAAATATAAATAAAAAAAATTAAATATTAATTATCATAATAATTTATTTTTTAATATATTTTCAAATCTGAATGCAGTATCAATATAGATTATTGATAATTTAAATATTTTATAAATAAAATTTTTGTTCTTTATTAGTGATATTTGAAACAAAAATATTTAAATCGGTGAATTAATATTAATTAAATTTGAAAATAATGTAAAGAGTATATTAGAAAATAATATAAATACATTTATTTTATTACTTTTGTGTTTTCTATAAAATAATTTTATTCAAAATTTTTATAAGATGAATAATGTTAAACAAAAATTTGAAATGATTGAATTTTTTTTTATTAATTGTCATTAAAGTATGTAATATATTAATTTTAATACTTGATGAGAGAAGGACAAAGACTTAATTAATCAATATCTTATTGTCGACCAAGTCCAGATAAGAAGGGTTTAAATCACAGTAAAGTTATTTCAGATAGTTATCGAAAATTTCTTGCTACATATTAATAGTTATCTATGTTAGGCAGTTAGTATAAATCTTCATATAATACACTTATGCCTTATATAAACTTTTTTAAATACATGGCTAAGAGATATGATGAAACAAACTAAAAATGCAAATTGAAAATGTGGATTCCAGATACAATAATCTTAAATGATATCGATTTAAGTGCAATATGGTTATACAGTAGTGCAGACGGTTATGTTTATAGAAGTGATTCATTTACATCTAGAAATGCAGCATAAAAATTTACTGAAGGTAGTAGTGATCCAGATGAATTAATTGCAGTTGTAAAGAAACCACACTACAAAGATATGGAATTAATAGGAAATGATACAAAACCAATATTAAAGAAAGATATACAGCTGGTATTTTCAAATTGCATGAGTGTGAAATAAGAAATCACATGCTTATAAAAATATATAAGATGTTAAGGTTCTATGGCATATATATGTAGAACAATTTGGAAAAAGAATGGATAAATTATAGCTTGGGTTATTACTAATAAACTAACATTTTAAGATGAAGGTGATTATGCTTAAAGATGTCTTGCAAGTGCTAGTAAATATAAATAAACTAATATCATTTAATGTAAGGGTGGTCGTTTCATTGAAGAAACCCTTCCTTATATATAAAATCTATTACTCTATTGTAGACAAAGCATGAATGTTGAATTTGATGAATTAGGCTGTGATTTTACTAAAGGAATAGATAATAAATGGTATTTACTTAATGTTAGAGGATTTAAATTAAATAACCCTAATCAATAAATTTTTACTAGACATATTACACATGATGAACAAATACCAGCAGATTATGAAAAAAAATAAGTTTCACATTAAAATCAATAATGGAATTTTACAAAAACTTAGGTTTGTAAATTTTGTGAACTTATTTTTCCAGCAAAAGAATTAACACATTAATTAACTTTAAAAATGCTAATAGAATGTGATTTACATTTATTAAGTAGAAATATTGAGTTAAAACATTTATAAATTAGAAATAGGATTAATTTTACTCATTTAGATAGTGCTATGTTATTTCATAAATATTATGTTTGTGACAGTTGTTATTAATTATTTATGGCTTGTGATGAATTAGTGTAACTTGAATTTAAAATGGCTTAAAAAGTAGGAATTGATGTCTATGAAAAAAACAACATTATTTCACTTACATAATAAGATTATCGCGTTAAAGGGCCTAATGTTGTTTAGAGATAAGCTAATACTATTTTTGGAAATGGGGAATATTATATTAAGCCTCTTGATTGGGAAATGTTAAATGAAGTACAAATTAAACTAATGCCCAATATACCTGAAATTAATTATGGAACCATTCCTAAAATAAAAAGATTTAGAATAATGATTTATATGAAGACACTTTCCCAAATTCCAATCGAAGCTTAATTTAATTAATCTAAGTATTATATTTATTATAGCTTTCTCAATTAAGATATTAAGTAATATGTTTATATTATTAAAGATTTTAATTAGATATGAAAAGGAGTCTAGACCATTCAAAAGACATATTAAACATAGATCATGTTAAATTGTTTTATCTTTTTGCAGCTGATAGACCTGATATCAATTGCATTTTATCACATTTAAAAATTGGTTTATTATGCAATTCCGAATTAATAGGAGAATTTGAATGTGAATTAGGAGATTTCAAAAGCTCTCAAGTTACAATTAAAGAATATTTAAAATATTTTTCTGGAATCTAAATTAAATAAATTTTATCTTGGTCAACAGATTTAAGTATAGGAGTAGTTGAAAGTTAATAAGGCAGTATTAATGTAGAAAGAATCAAACTTTAAAAATAAGGAACCATTTATATACCCAATATTGATTATTATTGTAGTGAACCATTACCTTAAGAATGGATGAATTAATTTGAAAAAAGAAAAAAAAATAACATTAATCACATGGGAAATAATAGTACAAGTTTTGCAATCTCTGATGTTTCAAATATTTTAGATCAATCAAGAGTTCAATAGACCAAAAATCAATCAAGAAAAAGTTGTACTGTTGCAACTACTGCCCCTAATAAATTAGATTAATCTTCCATTTTATATTCTGAACTTTTGGAGTATTAAAAAGAGTATTATATTAATCTATATTTTATAGCACAGATAAAATACTTAATTTTGATTATTGACCCAAATTTTATAAATTATTCTAATATTTTTACTTTAATTCCTATTATAATCTTTTTCATTAGAATGACCTAATAATCTAGAAATAGCTATTATTTTTCTAAATAACTTATCTAAATAATGAATAATGAGATGTTAAACCTAAGTTCTAACTAGAAGATTAACATTTATTACGATAAAACAATATATAAAAATTTGAAAAATCTTCTCATCCTAAAATTATCTACAATTTTCTTAGGCTTTCAGAATTTCTAAATTAAATTTTTTTTCTTTCATTTTATCTTTAATTTAATATGTTATTTTTCAAATAATTGTTGATAATTATAATTAAAATAAACTATTAGATTCATAAAATTGAAAAATTATTATTTATGATTTATTAATATTTTGAGATTTGGCTAAAAATAATAATAATTTTAATTTAGATTTTAACTATTAATAAGTAATCTACTTTAGTTATGTTTTATTTTTTTTCAATTTCTCTATATTACTTGTTTTTATTACCCTTTGAAAAATTTCTGAAATAAATTATTTAGAATCAAATGTTCATAATATTCTTAAAACTTTATTAAAACATAAAATAAATAATTTTTTTTGTTTTTGAAATACAAATCTATGTTTCTAATAACTTACCCCTTCAATTTATTTGAAGATTCAAATAATCAGGATTCTAATTAATAAAAATGTTTTTCGTATTTATCAATTATTAGTTAGTAAGGAGAGCAAGTTTTAATCTTTATAATATTATTAAATTTACATGTAAATAGTTAATAAATATATAGAGAGAGAAAAAGCATTAAAATATTCAAGATGATAAAAAGGGATTATAATATAATTAAATATATAGTGGAAAAAAGGATGAGATTGATAGGAATCATGAATGATAAGATTTTAAAAATATTATTTGAATAAGAATATTAATAATATTTCTGGCTTTGAAATAAAGAAAAAATATTTAAATTAAATAAAAATAATACATTAGTAAATATAAGAGAGATTAAATGATTAATATTATTATTTTTTTTTGATGCAAAGAAAAAGACGTTGTGCATTTGATTCAGATAGTCTGGAGGAATATATTTAAGTAGAAAATATTTAAAAATGAAGCTGGCAACTATTGGATAGAATTAAACTAACCTATTCTATGATGATAAAAAACTAAAATGGTTAAAAGGGAGAAAATAAGTTGATGATGAAGAAGAAATACCAAAAGACATTGAAGGATTTGAACATAACTATAGCTCCCCAAAGATGGATTATATTGATACTTCTGAATTACCTCCTGATATAGTTTTGAAATCAGGAGATGACATATTTAGTCATCATATAATGATTTTGGGAGATATTAATGAATATGTGAAATAATCATTGACAATATTTTGCATGCAGAGCCGAAAAAATAGTAATGAGGATTTTAATGAAGAATTAATATCCCCAATCAAAAGGTATTATTATTATGTCATGAACTAAGCAAACTTTGCTTGGATTTAGCCATAAAGAGAATTTAAGAAAAAAACGGAGTCCATATAGTTAAGTTTCTTATGCATGACATGACAATATAGAATTATGGTCCAATAATTAATGGTATGATGATTTGTAAATGATAGTTTACTTTCTATAAACTTCGAATTACATACTAATTTTAAATATCGATTAAAATGAATCATATGCTTAGAAAGAATAGGATATGATAGAATCAATCAAATAGAAAGCTGCTGTAGTTAAGAACATTTACATTTTGTACTTTACCGAATGTGATGTACAGGATTAAAGAATACCTAACAAGTATTATTGCAATTAATGGAATATAAGTGTGATTCTTTCATAAGTATACAATATAAATTTAAAACTAAGATCATAGACCAAGTAATTAATTAATGAACAAATACTTTATAATTTATGTATTAATACATTCCTTTTTAATTGTTTTTTTATCTTTTTATATAAAAATTCAAAATGCAACCAAATGATCCCAAGACCTATAAGCCACTTAAACAAATTGATAAAAACTAAAGAGGATATGGTCTAAAATAAATTGCTTAAATGACTCTTGGTTCAGGCAATATGTTATTGGCAGTCGAATTACCAAATGGAGAAGATTTAAATGAATGGTTGGCTGTTAATACAATTGAATTTTATAATGAGATATCAATACTTTATGGAACACTAGTAGAATTTTGCACTCCTGAACTATGCCCAATAATGTCTGCTGGCCCTAAGTAATTATTGAATTATTATTTCAAGATATGAATATCTATGGGCAGATGGATAGAATGTTAAAACACCTCTTAAAGTGTCTGCTTCAGAATATATTGATTATCTAATGACATGGGTAGAGAACTAACTTAATAATGATTCCTTATTTCCATGTTAAATTGGTAATTTATACATTTTTATATAGGAATTCCATTTCCTAAGACCTTTTTATCTGTTGTCAAGGTCATTTTCAAAAGATTGTTTAGAGTTTATGCTCATATTTATCACTCCCATTTTTAGCATATAATGGCACTTGAATTGGAATACCATTTGAATACTTGTTTCAAGCATTTTATATATTTTATTGGTATCATATTTCATACTATTATTTTAGATGAATTTAAATTAGTTGAAGATAAGGAACTTGCTCCTTTAGCAGAGTTGATTCAATAATTCAAAGCAAGAAAAGAGAATCCGACAATGAATTAGGGTGTTTGACAGTTTATACACTTAATTAATAGTATAATTATTATTTATATATTGATAATGAGTAATAATTTTGAATGTTACAAATAATTTTATATTAACATTTAGATCTCATTTGTCCTAATCCATCATTTTTTAATTACATTCAATTTTTCTATGTCTTTGCAATATTTATATGATGAAACAATCAACTAAGAGATTATGATTACCTGATTTTTGATGGAGCTGAATTAGAAAGATGCATTGAATAATTAATAAAAGTTGATAGAGATTGGATTCCAGATAGACCAAGATTTAGTTGTTATATTAAACTAACTTTGATAGCTACAGAAGAAGCATTAAGTGTTTGAGCTTCAAGTAGAGCTAAACTATTTGTTTTTTTATGTCCTGTCGGTCCATATTTCTCATTTGGACTTAAACCTTTTAGAGTATTCTGTAATACATCAACTGTATTTATAATTTATATAAAGATTTGATCAGCACCAGGATGTGTTAGAAGCTTTAAAGTTGATGATAATTATGCTCCTACTTTCTACCATTAAAAGAAATATATAAAATAGGATTTCATTATAATTTGTGGATGTTACCTGATGGATTAGTTTAAGAAATGGGAGTTTGTGATTTTTTTTTTTTAAATGAAAAAGGACAAAAAGAATTTGTTACTCCTATTTTAGATGGACTCATTCTACCCAGAATTATCAGAGACTCTATTTATTTTATTTCTAGGAAATAACTAGAGTAATGGGTTAATTTAAAGTAATTGAAAAAAAAGTTATATATTCAAGAAATTATCGAATCTATTGAATCAAGAAGACAAAATTTTCAGTTATTTCTTTATTTTGGTTTACAAATTTTTAATTAGGTTTCGAATGCCAGGTGGTCGTGTAGTTCTAATTTTAATTTTTTAGTAAATAGAAACCAATTTGTTGCTGTACTTAGAAAACATCAAACCAATATATTAATGTTTTTTAATTACGAATTTATAAGGTGTCAATATCAAACAAAACTGTATACTTATCTATTTTACTCAATATCAGTTGAATAATATCAAATTTTTAAATAATTTATTATTATTTTATAATCTACCTATATTAAAGCAATATAATTCATTTATATAATGGTATTGTTGCTCATTTCACAATTATTATTAGCATCACATAACCAACATAAAAAAGGATTTGTGTCATATATTATATATTTTCCATATTGTAAAATAATATATTTATACATTAAATAAAATCAAAATCTTTTCACAATATTTGTCATGCACCTAATTTCTTGAGTTGATCTCTTATTTAATTGGCTTTCTTTAGATTCATTTAAATTTAAGGTTTCGATTAACTTTAAGGTGAATAAATAGATTAACTAGGAGAATTTCGAAAAGCTATTTATTAAAGTGCACTGAACTAGAATTGTCTTTAAGTTTCCTTTTATTATTCAGGAGTGCTCAAGATTGAACAATCAGAATCTGATGATTTTTATTAAAAATTTGGCGAACAAAATATCTATTTTGAATCTTGATTATTTGATTTTTCCATAAGCCAACTATCAGAGGATGCTTTTATAGGATCGTATTCTCGAACTCCTAAAAATGGTGTTTATTAAATCAATTCATTTTATTTATATTTTGAGATCTTAGAACGTAGATCATTTTGTCCAAACTTTTTCATACTATCTAAAATACTGTATTTTTCATTTAAATGTTGGTTTGAATTAGTTTCATCAACATGGTTAGATTCTCTTCTGTATAAGCGAGATATGAATGGATGAGAAAGAGCTTCTAAAGATGAAATCCTATTTTCTGGATTAGGCTCTAAACATTTCTTTAATAAATCTAGAGCATCTTCAGATACTTTAAGATCTTTGTAATTAATTTAGCAATCTCTATTTTTTTCTATAATTTCATCAAGACTATTTCCATAAAATGGAGCTTATCCAGAAAGTCTAATATAATACTACTTAAGTTTACAAAATATAAAAGATAATTCCAACACTAAAAACATCTACTTTTTCATTATATTTTTTATCTTCTAATATTTCTGGAGCAACATATCCAGGAGTACCACATCTTCTTATAAGTAAATCAGCTTCAGTATATGATGCTAAACCAAAATCTGCAATTTTTAAATCAAAATTTTCTGATTTGTCTTTCAATAGAATATTCTCAGGCTTTAAATCTCTATGCATAATATTCTTTGTTATTTAATCAATTATTATACTTTTGTATGTAAATATTCTAAAGCATCAAAAATTTTGAACATTATCATAGCAACTTTTGATTCTTGAAAACATTATGTTTCTAGAATGAGATCAAATAATTCTCCTCCTTCTAATAATTCCATTACCAAATAAATATAATCTCCACTCTCATAGATTTCATACAACTTTATTATATTCGGATGATCACAACAACGTAATAAATTGATTTCATTAAGTAGACCTTACTTTTTTATTTCAATTATAATGTTACTCTTTATTTATTATTTTTATCAATTAAGGCTGATTTTTAGAACGTCTTAACGGCATATTTACTTTAATTTTATTTTCTCTAGGCTAAGAGAACCTTATTTATTATATTTATTACCTTTGCATATGTCCCTTTTCCTATTACTTTGAGGTTCAAAAATATTTCTCGATAATTATTCAGAATGCAAGTCTTTTTAAGCTTTTCAACCCATTTTTATTTTAGCTCTTATGATTTAGCATTAAATATATATTTCTTTGACCCTGAAATCAGAATAATAGGATATTTATCTTTTTCCATTATATTTTGACAGCTGAGATCTAAGTAAACATTTGTCAAAAATAAAGCTGCTATTTCTTTTTATTCTCTGCAATTCTAAAAATTTTGTTATTGTATATACTACATTATAAATGTTTAATCTATCTGAGAATAACTTAAAAAACTTCTGTTTATATATATCGTGTTTCTTACTTTTTATAAATAAAGTCCCTTCATATAATCTAATAGTAGAAATTGGACGTTTTATTGAATATAATTTAACCCATTAACTCCTTTCACTGTTATTGGTAGAATCAAAAAAAAATTATTCCGTTTACATAAATAAATATATTATTATTAATCTTGGTTGGTCTAAAAAAAATACTAAAAATATGAAATTAATTAATAAGAAAACTATATTAATTTGATTGTTTATGAATATCAACAAAAGAAGAATAGAAAAAATTTATAATATAATATTTTTATATAAAAAATGATGTATTCCAAAGCTGGTAAAATTTCAATTGAACTCTTTCCTTGGATACAACAAAGAGATGCAATAATCAATGGAGAGAAAAAAAAAACTTATGAAATCTCAATTTTTGATGATATACCCCATAGTAAAAGACCTTATAAAAGTTTCAAAGAAAATACAAAATTATCTCCAAAAGAAGCAAGTCAACCAACAGTTTAACCATTTTCAAAATAAGTTGGAAGAGTGGAATCGAAAAAAGAGTTAGATAGATATGGATTTTATAATCCAAAATATCATTTAGTACAAAAAAAATCACCATTAACTGATAGTCCTGATCATTTTAGATAAATAAATAGTGATCGATCTTTATCTTCAAAAACTATTAAAAGATCTATAAAATTATAGAAACCTACTTTAAAACATAATTGTGAAGCAAGTAAAGAATATTTAGAGAGAATGAAATAGTATGAAGAAAGAAAATTAAGAGCCCAAGAATATTAACCAGAATTAAACAGATTTCCTTTACCAGAAGGACCAAATGAACATAGATTTGAATACTAAAAATACCCATAATCATAATATGATAGATCTCCAAATCCAATAATTAGACCAAGATCTAGTTCTTCAAAAATTAAATTTAAAGAAGTAAGAAAACGATTTGATAAAATCATAGTAAAAGAATGGTCAAATTTATGATCCAAATTACTCAGTAATATATCCAAAATCAGATAAAATGATACCTGTATTAGATAAATTGACTCCAAGATAACCATTTAATAGTGAAAAACCTATATATACATATCATGAGACATTGTCTGAGGATACTCCAAAGAAACGCAATAGTCCTTAATCATTTAGATTGGATTAGTAGATTACAAGAGAAAAAGCCATGAGTTACTATTCCTCTATAAGAAGACTTTATTATTTATGATTATGCTATTATTATTAATATAAAATGTCATATCCCTTTGGTAATTAATTTTCAGCAGGAATGCCTAATGCCAAATACAAAACAACACTTTGTAGACATTATTAAGGTATTAACATTTAGAGTATTAGCAACTAGATAATGTGCAATAGGAGCTAAATGTTAATTTGCTCATGGATAAGAGGAAATGAGATCCATAAATGGTATTTAATAATTTATAACTATTAGATCCAATTCCTACTGCTCTCATCACTGTATTAACTGTTGCTCCTCCTTATCAAGAAATCATGAAACCAATGATGCCGTAATAACCTGGCTTTAAAAGTATTAAATTACTTTTAAGTTAGTTCCGTGCAAATATCATGCTTAAAATTATTGTAAAAATGGATAAAATTGCCAATATTCTCATGGTACTCAAATTTTAATATAATGAGACGTCGATATACAACAACCCATGATACCAAATATGATTAACCCATATCAACCTTAATACCCTTAAATTGATATGAGATAAGAAATCAAACAAGAAGATCCAATGACTACTGTATTTATCATTATATTATAAACCATGGAATAAATATTTTCGAAAGATGTTAATTATTATAAAATATTTAAGGATATCATATAAAAATTAAAAATTGCATAAGATCAGGTGAAATGTGGCAATTTGACTGTTGGTTCAGAATGCATTAAAAACATTATGACAGATCCAGAAAGAACAGATGATGAGATAGAATAGTATACTACTATATATAATAATGCATGTTATTATTATCATCAATTGTAATAAGGTTGAAAAGTTGTTTTAGATTATCACATAAACATATAAAAAATAGATTTTACAATATTTTCAATATATCAAATATTAAATCAATAATGAATTCCTATTAATTTTAACTTCAATAAAAAGTTTCATTACGATTCAATCTTTATTCCTCTAAATTTACCTTAAAATGATTTAAATTATTTATTAAATTGTAATTATTTCCTCATTTTTAGAACTCATTATTGACTTATAAAAAGTCTTATATTTTAAAGTTCTCTCAACCAAATACAAAAATATTTGTAAATTTAAAATTAATTCTCTTTTTTCTTGGCCAAACTAAATTCTACTTAATGTAAATAATACATTTTTTCATCATAAATCTATTGGCTTATGATATTCCATTATGATTATAAATTTAATATCTTTTCTTATTAGGTTTATTTTTTATTAATAGCTTTATATAAATATTATATACTTAGATTATTTTATAATTTTTTTTTAAATAGTTTTCATAAACCAAACCTTTTTTAAAATGAGGATGAGCTAATTAATTATTTTCTCAAATTTTTCTCAGATTTATCAAATCTTAAATTTTGATAATATTCCATGGTTGGATTAATATGAAGATTTATTTAGAAATAAAAATCTTTAATAGAAAAATGCATAACAAATTCTATCTAATAAATAAATTTCTTTTATTTAAATGAAATTAGATTAAAAAGTTTCTTAAGCTAATCATTAATATACAGTATTGAACATCTATGAATAGTAGAAAATTAATGATATTATTTTAAAACTATATAAAGTTAAAATCAAAGTTAAAGTAATTGATTTATTTCCTATTCAGCTCTACTTAAGAGATTTAAAAGATCATTTTTTGTATATGGCATCTCTTCATTAATTAGGCACTGTATTTCCTAATCAATTTTATTATTGTTGTTTGCTGATGTTAATAAATTTTCCATTGGCAATTTAACACTTTCAAATCTTGATTAAGTCTCTTTCTAAAGCTCTTCTGTAATATTTGGAAGCTATGATAGAGTGAATCTTTCTTGAAATGAAACTTCATGATAATTTTATGTAATTTATACAGCCCTTTATTGTTCATTTAATTGTTAAATATAATTCTGCTATTATTTATACTACTCTTTATGAGCGCTAATTTCATCAAGTAATTGTTAATTCATATTAGTTAATTTAATAATGAGTTAGGTTTATTGTTCATACAATTCTTTTAGTTTTTAGTGATCCTAATTTTATTGTTTTATAGTTTTGTTTTATGTTTCAATTCTATTTTTTTATTGCACATTTTCAAATTTCAGTTAATCAATTTGATTATATAATGATTTAACTAGTTGAATAGATTTAGTGTCAAGTAGGTTTTCATTTGAAACAGTAGTAATAGTTGATTATTGAGAGTAGTAATTATTTAATTGATTAGATTTATGTTATTGAATTGGGGATTTAGAGTTATTTCTACTTTAAAGTTGTAAAACTTATTTTAAATTTGAAATGTTCTATTCAGCAATTTATAATTTAGTTTTTAGAAGTTGCGACTCTTTAATAAGATCCTACACAAGATCTTATTTTTTGATATTCATTTTAATAAATAAATATATATTAAAAATGAATGAATTAGAACAATAAGAAGCTTCACATTATTCAACAATAAATGAAATAAAATCAGAAATTTAGGTTATATCTTAGAAAGAAGAGAATTCTATAATAAAATCAGATAATTTAATAAATTTTGATGATACCTTAACTTAAATAGGGTTTGGAAGATTTTAAATCATGCAATACCTGGTTTCAATAATTTTGGGTATAATGGAGGGAGCATAAATAACTATCTTTACTTTAATGATACCAATCTTAAAGAATGAATGGGATATATCAGAATCAATTGTGTCTTTGTAAACAAGTTTTATTTTTATTGGATTTCTAATTGGATCTATGTTATCAGGTTAATTTACTGATAGATATGGAAGGAAATTTCCTTTTATTTTTAGTACACTATTTACAGTTTTGATTTGTTTTGCTACAATTCTTTGTACTAATGTATATTAGTTACTAATTATGAGAGGATTAATGGGTATATTTGTTGGTTTCTTTGCTCCTTGTTGTGTAACATTATTGTAGGAAATAACTCCAAATAATTTAAGAGGTTAGATGACAGGATCTGTTACTTTAAGTGTTGCAATAGGTTAATTGTACGGTTTTTTTATGGCTTCATTAATACTGGACGGAATAAATGGAAGTTGGAGATGGTTAACTTTTTTAGGATCATTGCCAGGATTATTAGCGTTGATATTATCTCTAATATATATTTAAGAATCTCCTAGATATTTATTATTAGAGGGCAAATATTATGAAGCATTCTAAACTTTAAGATTAATGATATAAACTAATAAAACAACAGAATTTAGTTTAACTATTGAAAATGAACATAAATTAGTTATATGGTCATTATATATGAATAGCATAGCAAAAAAAACAGAGCATGCTTCATTTAAAAGTTTACTCAATGGAGATAGATTATATATTTCATTAGTTTTATGGAGTATTTGGTTTTTCCTTTGTTTTGCTTATTATGGGAATTTAATGACAATGCCGTAAATACTTTATTAACTTAAAGATAATTAATCTCAATTACAACAATTAGTTTATGCTTGCCTAAGTGATATTCTAGGTGCTATTTTAGCAACTTTAATTATTGATATTAAAGGATTAGGTAGAAAAAATTCATTAATAATTGGATTTATCATAGCTGCATTTTTCTCATTTTTATAACTTTACCATTATTAGAATCATTTTGCTATTTTAGCAATTTTATAAAAATTGTTTCTCTCTATGAATTATATATTCTGGTATCATTCTCGATATTTATTTTAGTTACTAATTAACTACTGAATTATATCCTACTAAATTAAGAACTACAGGATTGGGTACAGCCGTTGCTATAGGAAGATTAGGTGTTATTTTGATGCCTTGGTCTTGTATGATAGTTTCCTAATATTCCATCATTACACCATTTCTATTATTTTCCATTGCTTCCTTTTTAGGAAGTATTTTTACTTGTTTTATTCCTTTTGATACACTTGGAAAGAGTTTAGATAATAATAATTGATTAATTAATTTATATACAAATTATATATAATACCAATAAATCATAGTTATTATCTTTAAGAATAATGAGATCCCCTATTTAATCTACTTGAAGTATCTATTGATTAAATCATGTTATTGTTAGTCTTACTATTACTCTTTGTTATATTAACCTCTTTTATTTAAGAAATTTATCTCTTTTTCAATGCTTCCAATGAAGTTTCTGCCATTATTAACTTTTCACTCAATTCTGATGCTTCCTCATTTTTTTCCTTAAATTTCTTTCTCCAAACATCTACTTCACTTTATAAAGAAATAACTGTTGTTTCTACTCTTGAATAATTTTCTTAGACTTATTAAAATTCTTAGATTTAATCATTCAACTAATCGATCCAATTTTCTTTTTCATTTAAAATACTCCTTAATTTTATTATTTCTGAATCTTTATTACCTAAATGATTTTACATTTCTTTATTATCTAATTCATATTATTAAATCTATTTTTTCAATTATTTAACTTCTTCATTATTCCCATTCTTATTTTATAATTATTTTTATAATTAGGCAAAATTTTCTTTACATTCAAATAATTCCTAATTTAATCGTTAAATTTCATTCTTATATCCTTCCTCCTAAACTACAAAATTCTTAATCATAAGTTCTAACTCCCCAATTTTAATCATATAATCCATTGATCTTAGACTTTACTCATTTATTTTTAATCTTTAGTTCTCTATCTGCAATCTGTTAATCATTTATTCTAATTACAAAACCTTCTATTTGTATCTATTTTCCATATCTTAGATAGATACTACTTATAAGGGTTTCTCATGTTGTTGTACTTCATTGATCTATTGTGGTTATTAAGTTCTTTCTGTTGATAATTAAATCACTCTTATAGGGGAAACAGATTAAGGTTAACAGTGTTGTTGATTTTTAGTAATAAATTAAGTATTAATGTTAGTTCTATCTGTTTATTGGATTCTATTATTCTCAAAATTCTTACATAGCAGAATGAGTAGATTGTGCTTGGATTCTTTAAACAGAATAGCTAGGTAAATAATTATGTGGTTATCCATTTATTATAGGAACCTATCTTACATATGGGGACAATGCCTAAGTATTTTTAGGTATATATTGACTCCCTTTTGAACGGATAAGTCTTTCTAATTTTTCGTTTGACATATAAATTAANTAATTTATATACAAATTATATATAATACCAATAAATCATAGTTATTATCTTTAAGAATAATGAGATCCCCTATTTAATCTACTTGAAGTATCTATTGATTAAATCATGTTATTGTTAGTCTTACTATTACTCTTTGTTATATTAACCTCTTTTATTTAAGAAATTTATCTCTTTTTCAATGCTTCCAATGAAGTTTCTGCCATTATTAACTTTTCACTCAATTCTGATGCTTCCTCATTTTTTTCCTTAAATTTCTTTCTCCAAACATCTACTTCACTTTATAAAGAAATAACTGTTGTTTCTACTCTTGAATAATTTTCTTAGACTTATTAAAATTCTTAGATTTAATCATTCAACTAATCGATCCAATTTTCTTTTTCATTTAAAATACTCCTTAATTTTATTATTTCTGAATCTTTATTACCTAAATGATTTTACATTTCTTTATTATCTAATTCATATTATTAAATCTATTTTTTCAATTATTTAACTTCTTCATTATTCCCATTCTTATTTTATAATTATTTTTATAATTAGGCAAAATTTTCTTTACATTCAAATAATTCCTAATTTAATCGTTAAATTTCATTCTTATATCCTTCCTCCTAAACTACAAAATTCTTAATCATAAGTTCTAACTCCCCAATTTTAATCATATAATCCATTGATCTTAGACTTTACTCATTTATTTTTAATCTTTAGTTCTCTATCTGCAATCTGTTAATCATTTATTCTAATTACAAAACCTTCTATTTGTATCTATTTTCCATATCTTAGATAGATACTACTTATAAGGGTTTCTCATGTTGTTGTACTTCATTGATCTATTGTGGTTATTAAGTTCTTTCTGTTGATAATTAAATCACTCTTATAGGGGAAACAGATTAAGGTTAACAGTGTTGTTGATTTTTAGTAATAAATTAAGTATTAATGTTAGTTCTATCTGTTTATTGGATTCTATTATTCTCAAAATTCTTACATAGCAGAATGAGTAGATTGTGCTTGGATTCTTTAAACAGAATAGCTAGGTAAATAATTATGTGGTTATCCATTTATTATAGGAACCTATCTTACATATGGGGACAATGCCTAAGTATTTTTAGGTATATATTGACTCCCTTTTGAACGGATAAGTCTTTCTAATTTTTCGTTTGACATATAAATTAATAAGTAGCTTAGAGATTTTTTGTAATGTAAAACGAGTATATTAAATATAAATGAATAGCTTTTAGACCAGAATTATAAGTAATTAAAGATATAATGAAAATTCTGAAAATAAATAGATATATATAAGTTGAAATAAAAAGAAAAAAAGGATTTTATAGTTTGTTTGAATCATGTTTTTCAATGATATACATATTAATCAGTTATAATAAAATCTAATTATTAGTCATTAATATTGTAAGGAATATTTTTAACTTTTAGCAATTCATGGCCAAATCCTATAAATTTAGTGTTATGGTTTTAAGATCTATAATGAGCTATGGTTCTGTCATAAAATCCTCCTCCATAACCAATTCGATGTTTATTTAGAGGATCAAAACATAATAAAGGTACCTTAATTATTTTATGGTTTTACAATACAAAACTAAGGGATTTCATATTCTTATTCAATTGGTTCAAATATTTTAAATTTATTCATTTATAATTTGGTTTAATTTATTATGAACTTTGAAAATAATAAAGGCTCTGTTTCCTGTTGTAAAATTGGCAATAAAATTTTATTTTTACTTAAAAAAGGCAGAATACTCAAAATATTTAATTCATTGGCTAAAGGGTAATATATTGAAATAGATGAATCTGTGGAGATAATCTTTTATAGTTATTCAACATATAATTCTGGTTATATTTTAATATCTTTTCGTATTTGTTTAAATAAAATTCTTAATTCATTTTTCATTTATTTATAGCAATAATTTTAATGATAAAAAAAATATTATGCAATTAGAAATTGTATTAATATTGTGTTGAATAAAAAATCAACAAACCAAAATCTAAAAAGGGTCGCAATATATTATTATTTCTTTTCAGTTTAGGTTTTGTACAACAATACTCTAAAAATAGAAACTATATGTCTAATATATTTTTAAGTTAGTAGGAAGTGTATGATCTAAATAAAAACAAATAATTAGAAGTTGACAAAAAATAATTGAAATATCATGAAATAAATTTAAAAAGAAACTAAGATATATAAACAGCAATAATAATAGGTGGAGGAATCATAGGATTAAGTTAAGCATTGAAATTGTTACAGCATGGTTATTCTGTGATATTAATTGAAAAAGAATAATTTATATCTACTAAATGTAGTGCTTTTAATGGAAACATTTATAATCCATATTTATTCAATCCATTAATATCAAAATATTCAATAAAAACAATGTTCAACAATTATATTAATCCATCTGATACAGCAACTTAAAGATTTAGTTTTAGATGTCTTTTAGAACCAGGAGCAATTGTATGGTTAATAAATGCATTAAGGTTAAGTACCTCAGATAGTAAATTTGATCAATCAATATAAGATATGACTAAATTAGGTTAGATTTAAGAATAGGAATTTGAAAAAATTAAAAAATTGGGTTTGCTTGAAAATTAATTAACCGCCGAAGGGGAATTAAGTTTATATAAATCTGTTGAATATGGAAGAAGAATTAGTTAATCATTTATATCAGCTGGAGTTGAATTTAAAGAAGTTGATAAAAATAATTATAATAAACATGATTTAGATAGAAAATTATTTAATAATTTTCCTTATGTTATTAAATTAAATAAAGAGAATAACTTAGATACAAAATCTCTATCAATATAAACTTTAAAATATTGTTAGAAGCATTACCCTAATAAATTTAAAATTCTTTATGGAACAGAGTTTAATGAATTTATTATGAATTACAATAGATACGTTTTAGGAATAAATACAAACAAAGGGTAATAAGAAATAAATTATAATTAGTGTAATTTATGGAGATAAATTTGTAATATGCGCTGGATTACATAGTAAATATATAGCTAAAAAGTTGGGAGTGACATTACCTATTATGCCTTGTAGAGGATGGATTATAGAATGTGAATTACCAGAATTTGCAAAAGGATCTGTTTTAGATAAAATGGTGCTTAAGTTACCTACTTTATCTATTACAAATCTTAACAATAAATTAAGAATTTCAGGTTGTTAATTGATAGATAAAGAATATAAATCAGACGATCCAATTAATGAATGGGGAGCATAGATTTTGATAAAACAAATGAAAGAGTAATTTAATATTGATCTGGATCCATAATGTATATCAGTTAGGGATTGTTGTAGACCCTTAACTCCAGATGATAAGATAATATTGAGTAAATTTTCGTTAAATAGAAATGTATATGTTAATGCAGGTCATGGCTCAAGAGGTATGAGTTAGTGTTATGGTTGCGCAGAAATTATTTATTAATTGATGTAGGGTTAAAAAAAAGAAGAGTATTAAGCTTTTGATTTAACAAGGTTTTTATTTGTTTGATATATATATATATTTATATATCGTTAAAAATAATTAAAATGAGTTAATTTGAAAGAATAAGACCTATAGTTTTTCAGAAAGCTCCTGAAGTAAAACAAGTGAGATCGAATTCTTTAGCAGTTCGATCTTCTCCTTCTAAATGTTAATTAGATTTATCATTTGATTTATAAGTTAATTCGGCAACTAACAATACAAATTAAGCATTAAAAGATATTAACAATTATAAAAAACTTTATGTTAGCGAATCATGTTAAAATAATAACAAAGAAAATTAATTGTCTGCAAAACATTTTTCTTTTAAGACAGATGAAAATTAATTTTTGAAATAAAGAATTAAATAATTAGAATCATAAAATAACAACTATGTATGTGAAAATAAGAAATTAGCTCACGTTTTAGATTAATAGATTCAGTTAAATCAATCATTACAAGAATAACAATAATCGAAAAATTAAATTATCAGAAAATTAGAGGATGTTTAGAAAATGAATAAATATTAATAATCTAATAATACAGATCTTAAATAAATTAATGAATAACTAATAATTTCTAAAAAGTTGGTTAATGATTTAGAAGAGAAATTATAGATTGTATTGAATGAAAATTAAAAGTTAAGTGAATTAAATGAGAGATTTCAATTTACAGAAAATTAACTAAAAATAGAAGTTGAAAAATACAAAAGCAAATGTTCAATATTGGAAAGTAAAATAAAATAACAGCAGTAATAAAAATAGTAATATTTAGAGATGAATAAAAATGTTTAGAATTGTAAAGAAAAATAAAAAAGTAGAATGATTAAATAGAAACAATGGCTAGAGAGAATTATTAGTTGAAATAATAGTTAAGTTAAAATAATAATCAAATATCTTAATAAGATGATAAATAGTTATATAATAAGTACATAAATATTTGAATCTAGTGATAAATATAAAGAGACAATTCAAGAGTTGGAATTTGAGAATCAATATCTATAATAAATGATAGGTATTGATTAGTAAAAGATGAATAATCTTGAAGAGAAATTAAACTTATTGACAAAGGAGAATTAAAGACTAACAGAAATAGTGAAGAATCGTCATAAGTAGTAATGATAAAGTTTATAACTATTTTTTGTTATTTAATTGAAAGAAGATTAAATTTAATGATAATATTGTTAAAGAATCAATATCTATAGAATGATCCATAACCAAATGTAGGTGCAGCATAGCTATAAGATGGAGCATATCCATATGTAGGCGCAACATAGCTAGTTCTTAATGGAGCAGCAACTGAGGCAACAGGAACAACGGGTGCAGCATAACTGTATGAGAGTGGTGAAGCATAAGAAACTGGAGCAGGAGGAGCTCTTCTAACCTATACATAAATAAATGATTAATTATACCTCTCTTTCATATTCTAAATAATCAACCCTTGGTACATTCTTTTCAACTGGTACATAATCAACTTATTTTTCATATGTAACTTAAGGAATATATTCTTTTTAGTATTCAACTGGATAATAATCAGTTACCCATTTTTATTTTGGAACCTATATGTAAGGATTATGTTTACCTAGTATGTTCTTACTTCTTCTTCCATTTCTATAACTGGCTTTTGATGTGGGACATATTCATATCTTGATTCACCTCTTATAGGAGAATAGGCTGGAGAAGCATAAGTCACAGGAGCTGCATATGATACTGGTTAAACATATGACACTGGAGCTGTATATCCAACTATTTAAGTATTGAATAATCTTCTACATGGCACTGGTCTAGCTAATGATGTTGCTAATGGAGATGCATATGAAACACCATAAGGGGAGTACATTTTAATATTAATATTGACAATAAAATTTATTGCTGTTTTATTTTAACATCAAATATCAAAACTAAATAAACTTATTAAATTATTTCAATTATATATCGATATTCAAAAGATAGTTAATGTCTAATTATTTTATTATTAGACATTATAATTACTTTCGATAAATTCAATTTTATTTACATCTAAATCAATTGTTAGTAATTTATACCTAGGAGATATAATGTATTAAAAACAACCATACTTTTTTTCTATCTTATGTAAGTATTTATTAAGAATTTCAAATACTTTATAATTAAACATTTTATTCAGTTTATGATATTTCCAACTGATTCTAAAAACTTAATATTATTAATATAAACTTGTTTTTGTTAAATGTCAGAATATTTTAGAAAGTATATCAAAAAAGAGCATTATGCTAATCATTAGTATGAGATTATATTAAAATTGTAGCACAAACCTAAAATTTAAAACATCTTTTAGAAATTGCATATTGGAAGTATTTAACAATTATTAAAGAAGGCTTTTAAAAGAAGATTATGGAAAGAGACTGATGGGGATGATTGGGATATAATGTGGGCTGAGAAAGAATGGATTCATGAAGTAATGGATCATACTCATCTTTAACCTAATTAAAAAATAAATCATTTTAGAAATCATTACGAAGTATTAACAAAACCAATAAATTAGTTAACTAGGAAAGATCTTATGATAAAGAATTTAAAACGATATAAGAAAAACTTAGAAAGAGAAGGAAAATAAGAAGATGCTAATAAGTATTTATTGCATTAATTTAATACAGTTATAATTTCTACCCTTTAACTTTCCACTTGCCTAGTGAATATCCAATATTCTTTGAGGAGTTTAAAAGACAATCATAAAATGGTGATACTAAAACTGCTTGGATTATGAAACCTGTATTAAATATAAATCATTTTTAGATTGGAAAATCTCAAGGAAAAGGCATATTCATCTTTAATAAAATTTAATAAATATCACAATGGAAGAACACTTTACGTTATAATTAAGATAATCCATAAGCAGAAGCTTACATAGTTTAAAAATATTTAGCAGACCCATTGCTTATAGGAGGTAAGAAATTTGATATGAGAATATATCTATTATGTACTTCCTATTAACCTTTAACATTATATCTTTACAGAACAGGATTTGCAAGATTTACACATCATCGTTATGATAATGAAGACATTACAAATACATGTAAGATATCTATTTTTATCTAAAATTTAAGATGTTCATTTAACAAATGTAGCCATCTAAAAGACATCTGACAATTATGATGAAAAACTTGGAGGAAAATGGAATTTATAAACACTTAAACTTTATTTAATGGCTAAATATGGCTAAGAAAAAGTTGCTGAAACTTTTTATAATATATAAATGTTAATGATTAGATCACTTTAAGCTGTCTAAAAAATTATTATTAATGACAAACATTGTTTTGAATTATATGGATTTGATATTTTATTGGATGCTTAATTAAAACCATGGCTCTTAGAAGTAAATGCAAGGTATTTTTATTCAATCTAAATTTAAGTCCATCAATGACTTCTAATACACCTATTGATTTTGAATTAAAATGTGGTTTATTAGATGATGTATTTACAATTATTGATTTGGAAAAAGTATTAACAGGAAATGAAGAATAAATTGGAGGATTTGATTTAATATGTAAAGGAGCTCCAATTAAATTACCTATTAATAGCACATTTACTACATATTTAGGTGCATTTAATAATAGATAATAATAACTTAAAAAAATTGCCAAATCGACTGCAATCAGATTAGCTTAAACATATTAGGAAACCTAAACAAAAGCTATTGAAATTGGTTCTAAAGGATAAAAAGAAAAAGAAGAAAAAGATAAATAAATGAGAAGTTCATCTAAAGGACCATAAGCTATGCAAGTAGACTTTTTCTCTTATTTTTTAGAATGGAGTTAATGGAAGTAATAAACCAAATAATTTATCTAAATAAAATACAATTATGAAAAGAAATACTACAAATTTACCAGCTTTAGGAGCTGTTTAAAATAAAAGCAACATTAAAAGATAACCTTTATAAAATGCTGGATAATAACAATAACAACTTTAGTAATCGTAATCTAATTCAAGCAAAAAGTTAATATTTTTATTTATTATTAGAAATAATCCTAACGAAGATTCAATGTTGAGTGCTAATCAAAAGTTATAAAAATTAACTTAAGAAAGTAAAATAAATTAGTTTTAACCTTATAAATAATAATCATAATATAATGATGTTATGGGAATGGGCTCGAGAAATCTTTAAAAAAACGAAGAATGAATTAACATAGTTTTCTAATCCTAAATATATATCATTATTTACAATCATTTTCTATTTTTTATTAATTAATTAAAGATTATAACTTGAATCCCTAATAAACTAAAGAAAATATGCATTTAGAAGTTTAAATAAAAATTGGGAGTTTATTTTTTAAATTCAAATACCCTCTTCTATAATTTTAAGACATTTTATTATTATTTTTATAAAATCCTTATTAATCATTTGCACTTGAATATTTTCAAATGTAAAAATAAATATTTAAAAATATTCAGGAAAAAATAAATCCTTAATTAATGTATGATACGAAATATGATGTTAAATAAAATTAAATTTTATTTAATTTTTAATTATTGAAAAATCGTGTGAATTTTCTTTTGAACATTAGAAATGCACATGCAAATTTTAGACAACAAACCCTTTTTATTCAAATTTAGTCCATTGATGAAAACTTTGAAATATTTTTAATTAAGTAAGTATAACTAAGAATAATTATACTTAAAAACTAAAGTAGTAGTAAAAACATTAAGCTAAATAAAAAAGGATTAAATTTAGAAATAAATTTACTTTAATTTAATTAGATTGGTATTAAATATCATGCCATAAAATGAGCAAGCATGAAATTCGATCTATTTATAATTTTTATAGAAAATAAACTTTTCAATATAATAACTAAATTTTATTATATAATTATTTAAAATGCCATATCTTTAAATTTTAACTAGTTATAAATAAAAGAGAAATTAATGAACTTAAATATAAATTTTCAAGATTTAATGAAATACGCCAAAATATCAAATTAAGTCAGATAAGCTTTCATAAGAAGAGTATCTGAAAAAAAATGTACAATAAGGTAAGCAGCAAAGCAATTCAATATTAAATTTTCAACAGCTAAAGCAATTTTATCAATTTATAGACACGAGGGTAGGATAGGGAAAAAATAAAATAGATAAAGAAAACTTTCAAATAATACCATTTCTGAAAGGGAAACATAAAAATCATTAAAGGAAGAACATTAAGAATCAAAAGATTAGTTTAAATTAAACTCAGCTCCCTAGAATAGTCTTAATGACTGGCAAACTATACAACCACTACATTAATATAATTATGACTGGACTTACTTGTAAAATTTTTGGATGATGAGTTATATGAATCAACAATTACAATACCGAAATTTTTAAACATTTATGAGGTATTGAAAATACTTATATAAATCAATTAAAAATTTCTAGATATTAATTTTTTCATTATTGTTGTTTTGTGTTAATTATAAAATGTACATTAAATGAAATAGTTAAATAATATGTATTTTCTTTCTCTTCTTTATATTTTAAAAAACTATTGGTTGTAAATATTCTTAAACCTAATATTTATGATGTCAACTTATTATATGATAAACAAAAAAATTTAAATATTTTTATCATCCAAAATATCAACATGTTTTATGCTAAATTCTCATTAATGCAATTTATTCAAAAAAACAATTATGGGAAAGTTTATGGAAGGCATTTATTGTAGAAATCTAATAATTTAAATAAAATAATTGGTGAATATTTTCAGTCATTTTATTTGTTCTTTGAAGCTATTGATACGATTTAAGAAAATACAAATAGGCATTGATTTAAATAAATTATTAAAGAACTTGACTTCTAAGAAAATAAAGAATTAATATTTTAAATTGAAAAATGTGAAATATCAAAATAAATTTTCACATTTTATATTTTCAAGTGTTTATATATAGGATAAGAATAAAGGTTAAGCTAAAAATGTAATGTAAGGAAATCAAATTGAATATTAATTAATATCGAAATTTGAGAAATTTATCATAAACAAATAATATATCAATTTTCATCATCTATAGGTTCTTAATCTTCTGGAACTTTTTCTTCATTTTTTTCATCTTTCTTTAAGCTAGCTTCTTTAGCCATTTATCGATATTTTTATAAAGTTGATGATCCATGTTATTTAGCATCTCTTGCTAAAGGTCTTGAATAAACTCTATTTTCCATATCTTAAATTTTTTATCTGTATTCAGGATTTAACTTATCCTTTTATTTTTTTTTATCATTAAGTTTTTTTTATTTCTCTTCTTCTAATCTTTATAGTTCTCTATCTTGACTACTAACAACTTTCTTTTTATCTTTTTTTTCTTCATTTTATTAAACTGGTTGTGGTTGTGGTGGGACTAATTTAACATTTTTTTAAGGTTTAACATCTTATTTAATTTCAGATTATTTAGATAGTTATTATGATTTTTTGGATTATTATATAGATATTTCTTATTCTGTTTTTTATTCAATATTTTTATTATCTTATTAATTATCTTATTCTAGATCTTAAGCTTCTTGTTCCTCTAAATCTTGATTTACCTATTATAAACCATTATATTTATTTTCATCTTAATCTTATTTGTCTTAGGCTTAATCTTCGAATTATTAGTCTTGATATTCATCATCATCAGGTTCAGGTGATATTTCCTCATCATCTTATTGAATATTTTATTATTTTTATTTTTCTGATAATTTCACAGATTTTTCTTATTAAGATTATTCTAATTAATTATTGCTATTTTATTAACTAATTTATTTTTAGCTTTATTAAGATTTTTAAACAGATTGTTTCTAAGATTAAGATTTTTATGTTTAACTTTTTATTGTTTGTGATTTTTATGTTTAATTTTATTAGTTTTCATCTTCATGAAATGATTCTTTTCTTTTATTTCTTTAATTGTCTTCATCAAGATAATTTAATTCCATTCCTCTACTTTATTAAGACTTTTTGTCTTTATCTTTTTTGGATACAAAATTTTTATTGATTTTAGGATTAAATTTACATTCTGGGTCTATATCTTAAGGATTTAATTCCTCCATTTTTTTCTTTTTTTCTTTTCTTTTAATTTCATCTTCTTATAATCTTTTAGGCATTAAATTAGTACTTTAGAGTTCTGCTTTTCTTTTATCTCTTTATTCTTTTTTCCTTTAATTTTCAGCAATTTCTTTTTATTTTAATACTTCCATAGTACATTCTATAGGAATTTCTTTAGCCTTAAATGTTTTTGGAACTTCTTTAGTTTATAAACGTTCTTCTGCAATTTATTTTCTTTCCATAAATTTTTAAACATCTTTTTAATAAAAACTAGGAGGATTAGCATTTTATATTCTTGGAGGAGAAAATCTATCTAAATTATGAGCTGGAACGAACATAGAAAGAGGAATAGGATTAGCTTTAAATTTATTTTGTAATTCAAAATCTTCTTTTTCTTAAATCTCTTTAACCATTTATTCTAATTTTTATTATCTAATAGTTTTCTTTTTTTTTTCATGAAATTTAGGTTCTTTAGGTACAGTAATTTTATTAAGTGAACTTGAATGCATTTTAGGTTATATTTTTTTATCAATTCTTTTTTATTATGCATCATCAAATGATAAATTTTCAATTTCAGCAAATGCTTCTTCTTCTTCTTAGATTTAACCTTTAATAACAGATTCATAAATTTTTCTACCTCTTCTAGGAGGAAGTTTAACATCTAATTTATTATTTAAATCTTCTTTAGGAATTTCTCCCTTATCTGAAAATAAGTATACTATATCAGCCCATTAAATAAAATCTATATCAGTTCTAGCAATTTTAGAAATAATAGAATTAATAGTTTCTGGTTTTTTAGTGATTGGATCAAACTTTGCAATTTATGAAAGAAGACTTTTCGATTAAGGATCATTTTTAACAGTAGCAATAAATTCTTCTTTTAAAATAAAATGAGCACAGATAGTAGGTATCATTTCAAAAATATCATTAATAATTTATAAATATACACTTGGTATTTACATAACTAAATGTTCTTCTTTTGGAGGTTCATTTTATTCATTAATAAAGAATAATTTTGGTATTTTAGGTGGTAAAGGATTAAAATTAGTTAAATATTCTGTAAATTATTATAAACTAATAAAATTAGATGCATGTCCTTCTAATTCATTTAATGTACTTTCCATCATATCTAAAATATTGGTTAAAGAATATTTTTTTCCGATTTTAGTAAGTATAGCTGCTTCTTAATTACAATCAACAGTTTCTCTTATTTATTAAATTAATTATTATTTACTAACAATTAATTCACAATCTTTATCAAGCTTCATAAATATTTCTAACATTTATTAAATTATTTCATGTTCTAATAAACATCTTCCTTTCATTTTTTCATAATAACCTTCTGAAGCAATAGAACCAGGACCAAAATGAGCCAATATTATACGTGCTTACATTAATCTAATTTCTTCATAAGGCAAAGATTATTTAAAATATTCTTCTAATTAATTTAATGATATTAATTCCATTTATTTTCTATTCTTTGATACTCTATAATCTGCTAATACTTTCTCTAAAACTTAATTCACTGTTGGACTCCCTTATTATAGACTTATTGGTTAGTTTAATACAGAAATCCTCCCTTTTGATAATTCATTTCTTATTGCTCTAATTAAATCTAACCTATTTACAACTCCTTGTTCTTAATAATCTAATATTTTAAATATTTCTTTCATTGGTTTTGAATATTACAACCTTAGATTTTCTTCTTAATTCTCTTCAAATAATTTAGAATCTTATTTTAATTTAGAAAGTAATTTTATTCTATCTTATTATAATCTCTTAACAAATTTACTAAACTCACTTATATCAAGCAATCCTTTACGATGAGTTTATAACTTATCAAGTTCATTCTCTATTGTTTTTACATCTAAATCAAATATAATTTAAATGTCTTTATTTGTACATAAAAATTCAAGTACTTCTCCTTTTGAAACTACACCAGCATGATCTTTATCTATCTATTAGAATGAAAATTTTAAAACAAATTATTCATTCTTTTCATTCTCCATTTATTTTTCTTATTATTTCTCAGTTACTATAGATTTATATATAGCTTTCTTGTTTGCATCATCTAATTAATCTAATTATTTTTCTGTATAAGCTTAAACTTAAACTCGATGTAATTCATCTATTGTTTAAACCTTTAGTATAGCTCTGTCAGTAATTTCGACTTAATGTTTAGGTTTTTCTCTATCATCCTTAAGATGATATCTTTCAAAATCTGGAACTTAAAATTCCTTAGCTTTCACTTCCATTTACTTTTTTAAATTCTTATCTTTTTAATACTCTAAAAATTAATGTTCATATAATTGTTATTCTGGTGATTTCATAACCACTTACTCAATATATTTTTCTTTTGATCTTGGCCTATTTTTATTCTGTTCTTTTTGTTTTATATAATCATCTATTTATTATTAAATAAATTAATCTTTTTCTTCTTTCTTATTTTACTTTCTTATAATCTATTATTATTATTTGTCAATAACTGTTACTTTTACTTAAACTTAATCTTTCCTTCTTCTTTCCTCATATTCTTCTCTTGCTTACATTTATTCCTTTTTTATATTATTTCTATACTCTCTTAATTACTTAATTTTCTCCCATACATTATCATCTGGTTGATAACTATCTACCAAATCTTATTTCATAAACTATTGTTCTAATTTATTCAATCTTTCATAATGTTTATCTATTTCACTTTGAATTTAATCTAATTGTTCATTCTATAGAGGAGGTTCTTCCTCGATTATAAATTAATTCATTCTATTTTCTATATCTTTCTACTCTATTTCTAACACTCGTCTTTATTCATATATAAAGTTTGATTTAGCCAATGGTTGATCTTTTAGATTTTAAAATACTATTTTTTCTTTATCTTCAATTGCATTCTACATTTTATAAGGTTAAAGTCCCATTTTTTAATATATCTCTAATTGAGATAATTACATGTCTAAAATTGGGTCATCTTTTTTTTAGCTAGTTGAAAACATTTTTTTCTTCTCTTCAATAACTGTTTATGGAATTTTGAATCCTGCAGATCCAATTACAGCTTTTTAAATTTAATCCTTATTAACTTATGGAGATTATTTATTTGGCATAACTTCAAGTTAAAGTGTTTAAATTGGTATGGCTTTTTTCACAGACATAAATATATAAAATTACTTAATGTAAAAATTAATAATAAATTTTATCTAAAATCACAAAAGCAAATTAGGAAATGTTTATTCAACAATTTTATTAACTTCCTCTTCAATTTTGCTTAATTATATATTTGCTGGCAATAAATATATAACTTTTTTTTCATTTACTTTAGTTCCATAAAACCATACTCCTGCTCTAAAATAATTTTATTATTATTACATTCTTATTACGTATTAATTACAATTATTCAATTTATCATAAACCAATTATAGTACTCTAAGATTTTCAAATGATAGTTTTTAAACATTTAATAATGTTGAAATTCTATATGCTAAATTAACTCCATTAAAATATATAAATTTAGCAAAATCTTACTTTATAGTTTAATCAACAATTAAATCTAACTTAAAAACTAATCTATCTATATTTTTAGAAAAGATGTTAGATAAGTTTTGTAAATTCTAAATATTTTTTAATGGATTAGTGATGATAACAATCAATAATTACTTTTCTAAAAATGTAAAAATATTTTTCTTTTATTCATTAATGTAAACATTTTAAATTGTAAATGAATCCTTTGCTATATTTTTTAAATTATTAAAATTTAGATATGCTGATTGATTTTACTCATAAGGGGGAAATTTTAAATTAATCTTGTTTTCTTACACTTACCAAGGCAATCCACAACCAAAATAATGTTCTTTAAAAAGAATTGCTTTATGATGAGGTAAAGTTGAGAAAAGAAAATGACCAGAATAAAATACTAAAAAATCTGTTATTTAATCTTCTTATTATCTCCCTAAAGTTAATATTTATTATAGAAGCATATATGTTGAAGCATCTATCTTTGCATATTTCAATGAAAAAGTTTAAAAATAAAATAAATTCATTGTTGGACCAGGTCTTGAATTACATAATATCCATCTTTAAGTAAATTTATCTAAATAGGTTACATCATATCCAAAAAATAACTAAAAATTTATAACAAAATTTTCAGCAACATTAGTATAAAGATTTTTTGATAAGCTATAATGAAATTTATAGCATTCACTAAAAAAATAATCTTCTGAAATAGTTTGTATTTTAGGTATTTTTTAATGAGCTAAAGTCATAAATAGAAAAAGATCATTCCTAATTCTGCAAATTATATTAGTTTGTTATTCTAAATGGATTGTTTAAAACTATAATTATTCATTAGTGTTTTAATTTTCTGATTACTCCAAAATATTCGGGATTGGATTAAATTATGCAAAAAATTGAAAAATACCTTCTGCCATACCTGTTTAAATTCTTTTTTCTTCAATGTCTGCACTTTGTGGAAAATAATAAATTAATTTTGCATCTTATTAATCCTAAAAGTTAAATAAATTAATTACTTATTCAGATGGTTTAGGGACAGTTGGAATAGCCAATGGATTAAAAAAGAATAAAGCTTTTAATTAGAAATCGTAATTTAGTTGATCTTGATTCATACTAAAATTTATATTTAATTTCTCTAAATAATAATTATTGGATTCATATTGATGAATATAAATATTTTAAGCTAAATGTATATTTGTAAGAATAAATATATATAAATAACAAATGAAGAAATAAAGTAATCAAATATTTTTTAGGTGATTCCACATTTCTTATATATTATCAATATTAACAGTTTGTGTAAGACAATCTTAAAATTCAGGATAGATACCAGTAAATTGAGTGCTTTCAATAAGTGCAATAACAGTGACAACATCAAATTCATCAATATATTTTTTGGAACATAATCTTGCATGAGCTTCAGATAATCTTATTAAGGATTCTAATTTTCTAGCAGTAACTTATTAAGAAGATTATCTAATAAAAGTAAAATATTTTTATATGACTTATTAGCAATCTTCATTCATAATTGGTTGAAAGGTATTTTTAACATAAATAATATATTATTTCAATTATTTTAAAGTATAATTTGATTTATGATTATTAAGATTGAAAATATGTTCACACAATTATTTATCTAAATCAAAGTCATGTTAATCTTTAAGAATATAAATTTGATCAAATCTACTTAATAAAGGGGTGGATAATCCAGTATTATATTAGATAGATAATTTACTGTTATAGATTTATTCAATAGGATTACATGCAGCAATAATAGTTGTTCTTGTATTTAATTTAGTAGAGATTCCTGCTTTACTACTACTAATAGTTTATTATTCTAAAGCTTCTAAAATAGATTATTATGATTATTAATTAAGGAGATTAAATTCATCTATACAACATAAACCTTAATCAGCCATAACTAATGCACCAGCTTCAATCATCCAATCTGATCCTTCTTTAATAAAAGATAATGTTAAACCAGCTTGAGTAGTTCCTATACCATTTACATATATCGATTTCTCACTAATTGTACATGCATTTCTAAGAATTGTAGATTTACCTGTACCAGGTTCACCTATTAATAAAAGATGAGAATCTCCTCTTACGGATATGCCATTATTTGTTTTTGTTATTCCTCCAATTAAACTTAATAGTGTCCCTAATTTAACTTACCATTAATTGCATAATTCAGGTATGAATGAGTTAATTACTTAATTTCTATGTTAAAAAGTACAATTTAATTAATCATCATCAATATTCTGGAGAAGCTTAAATTAATTCTATAATCTTAAGTATTTACAATCAATCCATAAAGTTATTTATGGTTTTTATTTAATCATTTTCCATCTTTATATTACTAAACCACCTATTATTACATCATCTCCTGAATTACAACTATTTACAAACTCTCCTTCTAACATTACTCTTATACTATTTGATATAGTTCCTGGTTCTATTGTAGTATAAGTATCTTATATTTTTATTTCTTAATAATCAATTAATTTTTAATCATCTAATTTTTCAAATGCTGTTGAATTACACTTTTGTTTTTTAAAACCTTAAAATTTCTATTTAAAAAATGGATTGTATTTTTATTATTTTATTACAATGTTTTAACACTTCAATTAATTTTCCGCCATAAAATAATTTGATGAACATGATTAAATTTCTGTCACAAATTTACATTCCTTACATCTATAAGACAATACTTTAGACATAGATTTTGCACTATATTTAGATATATTTTAATACATTCCAGCTCTTATAACTGTTCCTTTAATTAACACAATTTTATGTGTTTAATTTATTTGAGCAATTTTATTTAATTTAAAGCAAATTGGTATGTTTACAAATCTCAAAGACTATTGAAATGATAAATCTTCAATATATTCATTAACATCTGGAAATTTATCCAATAATTCTGTGAAACTACTTAAATATAATTAATACTCTATAATTTCTTAAGAACAAAAATCTTTTATTGTTTCCATTTAAAATAATTAATTAATTAAGTCTAATATTAATATTATTATTATATAATTATAGTGTAACTATTATATTATTATTATTATTAATAATAAATTTCTGAATTATGAGAAGAGTATAATCAGCTGCACCTAATCTTGGTAATAATTTAATTCAACTTTCTAGAATTTACTATGGAAGATATGTTTAAAATTGCTACAAAATAAACTTCTACTTTTGGAATTGAAGGATATGAAGTAGCAAAAAAATATGCAGACCCTCTTAAACAAATGGAAGATCGTAAATTTGCTACATAAAAGAAAGGTAAACAATTTTAGACTTGCATTAAAATAAAGGTTAAAAAAATTTAGGTTACGTTACAAGAAGAGGTCATTATTTAGAAGATTAAAAACGAATTTATGAAAAACTTCCTGCTCCAAATAAATATGATATTGTTAAACCTTGGGTGATTCCTCTTTAAATTGCTAGATCAAAGTCTGCTCCACCTAAACGGTCAGTTTCTTATATTTATTTTAATTAATAGATCTACATTTATTGATTAAATCTTTAAAGAAGCTAAATTAAGAGCTGTACCAGGCTCAGGAAAATATAACATAATACAACCATTAGAAGATGTATTAAAATAAGTAGAAGAATAAAAAAAAAAGAAAATAGAGTTAATATTATATTAATTTCTAGAGCTTTTGAAAGACCTACTTATCTTAATGAAATTTAACATTTAGCTATTGTTAATCCAGGACCTGGAAATTATAATCCCAGAGTTTATTTTATTATTAATTTATTTAGCCTATTTCTAAAAAATTAAAAAAAAATGAAACAAAACCAGCTGATTTTATTACAAAAGATAAAGAACTTGCTAAAAAAAGAGGAAAATCAGCTTTACCTGATATTGGTTCATATAATCCTGAACCCTTAAATTTTACTACCTTCAATAAATTATAAACTTAAACTAAAAGAAAAGATAAAATTGATAGAAATGTAATTATTAATCTATTCTTATCAAGACATTTGGAAAAGATATCAGATTTAAAGATCCAAAGAAAAGTAAATCTAAATAAATTCTATTACCTGGACCTGGATAATATCCTATGATCGTCTAATGGGCTGGAAAAGAATAAGATAAAAATAAAACTAAATAAAAAACTTATATGCAAGCTATCACTAAAGGATGTGAACGTTCCATTTATTATTGAATTTAATGAAAATATTGATCTTACAATTTTTATCATAAATTATATTAAAAAAATAATTAATGAAATCTTAAATTGAATAATGTGAATTATTGTTGGAATAATAACAATATTAAGAATTATCTAATGAAATTAACAAAATGATAGAAGAAGAAAGAGAATAAGAATAAGAGCTATAATAAAAACAGGAGTATTTACAAGAATAAGAAAAGTAATTAGAACAATTGAAAAAGGAAGAAGTAAATTTATATTCATCTCAAGGAAACTTTAAATGAATATTACTCTGAATAATTCACTCATTTAGAGTAAGAAAAGTAATTACTACAATAAATAGAAAATGAAATACAAATTTAAAAATAAAGAGAAATTTAGTTATAGATCGAATAAAAATTAGCAGCTGAACAAGAATAAATGTATTTTATATTATTATATTATGATATGAGAATCAAAAAGAAAATTTTATGATGCTTTTTTAGCAATGCCATGAATATCATTAATAAAATTAGATTATTGCTCAAGAGATTGAAGGTCTCAAAGATGAAAATGATGATTTAAATAGAGGTAATCATCATTAATTTATATTTATTTTAGAATGTTAACATTTAGAAGGTTAATCAGAACAATAAATTAGATATATTAATTGTTTAAAATAGTTAAATTAAAAAACAGAAGAGGTACTACAGAAATTATAGGACTATTAAGAAGAATTGAAATAGTTATTACATAAAGGAAAATAAGATCAAGGACCTAAATTTGATCCTATTTAATTTATTAAAAGTGTTACTCATGCATAACAAGAAGTAGACATTCCTCAAGAACTATGCGAAGTTGAATAAAGTATTCATTTATAATAATAATAAATAGACTTATCTTTCATTCAAGAAATTAACCAAGTTCCTTAGATTTAATAAACAGAAAAGCAAGAAAGTCAAGGCCTTTTAATTAAATATAAATATTTAGCTGCAATTACAGCAACAATTATATTGGGAGTCATTGTAAAAAAAAAGTTACTGTGATCTTTTTTGATAATCTATTTCAAATATATTAATTCAACCGTTTAGTTTTGATAAATTATTAAAAAAAGAAAAAAAACTTTATTGAGCACTTAATTATTTTTGATCTTTTCATTCTTTTATTTTATTTTTTATAAATAATTTTTACTTAAATACAGCTTGTTGTTTAACAATCTTAAAATCAATTTTTTTTATTAAATGCAATGATGTTTATTATTGCCCAATTATTCAAATAAATATTATAAATGTAATAATCATACAAATTAATAAATTAGTAAATTTATTTAGAAAATAAGATGTAAATGAAGTGTTTTGTTGATGAATTCTGATATAAATTCATTCTAAAATGATAAATTGAATAATTGTGAATGTGCATAAATAAATAAATCATGATGATGTATAGTTTCCTACTTAATGTTCGAGTTCTGCTACTTTTTAGGTTGCTGCTATAATTAATTGCTAAATTTAGCTTTTTTCTTTTTTTAATTCAGTGATTTAACTTTGTAATTTAGAATTCTCATCTTTTTGTGTATTTATTGCCTATATCATTGTAATTCTATACTTGTCTCATATCTCTTAGCATAGCATCAAGAGTAGGCTATGTTGTATTCTTGATTTCTTCATTATTATTTGTTATTCTCTATTTCATCAAATGTAACTCCTATTTTAATTGATCAATCTCATGTTTATAGCTTTATAACAATTCATTAGACAACTCGGTAATATTCTAAAAATTTAAGTATCTGATTACATTAACTAATAATAAATGATTTTTAGCATTTGTAGCTGATTCTTGGTCTAATTTAGAGCTGTGTGCTTATTATTATTAAATTTCTGACATTTATTTTATTATATTAATTTTAATCAAAAAAAAATATTTATTTTCTCATATATAAAATTTATGAAATGAAAATATAAAGAGACTTAAAAATTTCAATATATTATTATTATATATAAATAAATCAATTGGATTTCAAAGAACTCCATTTTTTTTATTATTCAATCTCTTTCTCTTATTTTAAGGTTATTCAATTTAATTGGAATCATTCTTATTTAATTTCTATTGTTTTTTTTTCAATTAATTTTATCGATATTTTAATTAATATCTATGTTTATTATAAACTTTAGAAGATTCAAAGATCTTATTGCAATGATTGCAAGTAAATTAAACTTTTTACTTTGGAACTTTTTTTTCAATTATTTTTGGGCTCTTTTTTGGTTTTTTTTTATCCATAGTAATTCTATCATTGTTTTCTTCAATGAGAATAGCTTATTTATTCTGTTTTTTTTATTTAATCTTTGATTTTTTAACTTTTTTTAATGAATTTTTTTAAAGTTATTATGTATCATCACTTTCTATTTATCCATTCGATATTTAGAGAGTAGATTACTTTTGAAACATTTCTAATTATTCAGATATAGCTGCACATTTTTCATACAGCATAGCAACAGTTTCAAAATGTTATGTTAAAGGAATGAATTTCATATTTTTAATTTATAACTTTTTAGCAAAGATTATGGCATGTTTTATATAATATTTTTCCTTAAAATTTTTTTCAAAGATTAAATCCTTAATTTATTTTACTTTTAATAATTTTGTTTTAAAAAGAAATATTTTGATATTTTTTTTTATATTATTTTAAAAAGCAATAAAATTAAATACTCTAAAAAAAAATATTTAAAGATTTAATTTACTGAACAGGTTTTATTCATTTCTATCATATTTTCTTTAATGTATTTATAGAACTAATTATCTAATGAACATTCATATCTAACTATAGAACTAGGTTATTTAATTAAGTCTCTTTCTTTAAAACTTTTTGATTTTTATAATGAATAAATATGATTATATTTATTATTTGGAATTTGCAATATTTCCAAAGATTTTTCTTTATATCTTATTTTAATTCTTTTGATCAAAGTTCAAAAAAATAAAAAATACTTTTAGGTTAAAGGTATTTTGTTAGAAAATTTAGATATCCCAAATTTTTTTGGATATGAAGACAGTCCGTTTTAAAAGTAATTCATTTCATAACATTTAGAGAATTTATAAAATTGTAATAATTGTTAAGAAATTTTTGACATATTAGTAATATATGAAAATTAAATCTAGAGAATTTTTATTAAGACTTATTTCTATTTAATTTATTTTATATAAAAAGAAATTTTTGGTTGATTGTAGGTTTGGTTTGAACTGAATAAAATAATTAAAATAGTTTTGATATTTGGTTATTGGTAGTATTGTATTTGAATTCATGAATTTGCTCAATTGTTATCTCTTATTATCAGATTAAATTTAAAAAATATAAATTTCTATCTTTAAAGAGTAGAAATATATAATCTCATAAATTTTCAAAGTGGATCCTTAAAAAAGTTTGAATTGAAATTTGATTTTACAAAATTGTTGAATAATCAATAATATCTCTATTTAATTAGTAATGGTTGCCATTAAAAATAGAATATCATTATTTATTATTATAAAAAACAAAATAAAGAAATTATTTAATAATCAGATTATATTTTCATCCCATATTAATACCAAAATCTAAAAATAAATTTCTTGAAATTTGATAAGAAAAAAATTTCGATTAGAGAATAATTTAGAAAAAAAAGTAAATAATAATTGATAGTTTAATAATTAAGTGAAAACAATTAATATAAATGTTTTATGTAATATCCATATTAAATAAAATTTCATTCATTAATTTAAATCTTATTATTTTATTTAAAAGTTATATATTTTTTGTTAATTTCTTTCATTATAGAAGAATGAGATTTAATAAATGTTAAAGAATTAATAAATAATTATATAAAATTGATGGTTAATTTAGGTTGTTAAGAATGAGTAACACTGTTAATAATTGAAAAAATAAAAATAAAAAAAATAAACATAATTGTGTGGTTATTTGAAAATTAAATAATTTTTTTTATATTATTAATGGGTATTTCAAGAGATAGTAGACATAAGAGAAGATTGACAGGTGGACGTATGCCAATTCATAAGAAGAAGAGAGCTTTTGAGAAAGGAAGATAAGCAGCAATGACTAAATTAGTATAAGGTGAAAAGAGAGTTAGAAGATTAAGAGTAAGAGGAGGAAATTTTAAATTCAGAGCTCTTAGATTATCAGATGGCAATTTTTGTTGGGGAAGTGAAGGTATTGCAAAAAAAGCAAAAATTGTTGAAGTTGTTTATCATCCATCAAATAATGAATTAGTAAGAACAAAAACACTTACAAGAGGAGTTATTGTATAAGTTGATGCAACTCCATTTAAATAATGGTATTTGAAAAAATATAATGTTGATTTAGGTGCTAAAAAAACATAAAAAAAAGTATAAATATTTGATTAAATAAAACTTAAGGATTAAGCAGTTTAATAAGAAGTAAAGAAATCAAGATCATTATAAAAGAAATTAGAAACAAGAATGAAAGAGAGAGTTATAGATAATTTAGTTGGAGAATAATTCTAAAATTAAAGACTTTTAGTAAGAGTTACATCTAGACCAGGATAATCAGGAAGAGCTGATGGATACATTTTAGAAGGAAAAGAATTAGAATTTTACATTAAAAAAGTTGAATCAAAGAAGAAATGAGTTTTTATATTATCAATTAAGTACATTAGCATGTAAAAAATAATTCATTTATTAAAATCCATCATCTTTTATTTTGCTTCTTCTTTTGTATTATGTACTTATTGTGTCATCAAAGAAATAAATATTGGAATCATTATCATAGTCACTACCATGACAATAACATATTGGATCTAATTAATATGAAAAATAATACATATCTTGTATCAAAAGAAAAACTTAAATCCTTCACATAATTATTATAAAAACCTTATTCAGCAATATCATTATGCATCCCATATTTAAGTGTGCATCTTAATAAGCCAATAAATGAATAAAAGAAGTTATCGTGATTTATTAGCTTACCTTATATTGTGATACACCATGACATTGCACAAATACTGATAATAAATACTAAAACCAAAAGTAAAAACCAGGATTCTTTATTAAACTAAAATATCATATTATATTTACCCTTATTATAACTAATCCATAACATTTTAAATAAGGACTCCAATTGCCTAAAAATCTATTAATTGCTATCATTAAAAATAACATTTGAATTCCATCATAAATTCTAGTTGTATAAAGTGGAGTTATCAATTTTGAAACATCTTAATATGAATCTGATCCAACATCAATTTTATCTAACTCATCTTAATATGATTTTGATATTGTACTTCTAATTAATATACTAACATTGCTTAACATATCTAATTTATATTATTACACTTACAAATTATATCAAATATCAATGGAATTTTAATTGTTACATATAAAACTTTTAAGTTTAATATAAAATAATCACTTACAATTAATTATTTTTATTAAAATTCTCTTTCTTCTTATGGTGCTAATTCTCTTTTTCTAGATTACATTTTTTTTCTTCTATTTAACAGTTCAATATATTATAAATATATAAGAATTAAGCTATTTTAAGTACCTATGAAATAAAATCCAAAAAAATCTTAAAAAATATTTATAAATATCATACCAAAAAAAGATGGAATAAGCAAAAGAATAGCAACATAAAACATAATATTATGAGCAAGAATTTCTTAATCTGCTTTAGAATTTAAATCAAATGCTTATGTTTACATTGAATTATAATTTAGTTATTCCTAAATATAAGTATTTATTTTACATCATTAAATAGATACAAAGTTGAGATAGTAGCTTATATTAACCTCTAAGTTGGACTATTAAAATAATTTAAAATGAATTAAGATTATTTAATATTGTATCTTAACCAATCTTAAGATTCTATTTCATATAAACTATGACTTAGACTTTATTAATTTGTAAGATTTAATTCCCAAACATATCCTCCATAATAATTATCATACTTAGACGGATCAAATTCAGTTTAAGTAAAATCTCCTTTTAAATCTTCTACAAAAGATTCATCAAAGTTCAGGCAGCTTTAATTTTTATTTTAAAAAATTAATTTTTAATAAGAATTTGAAATATGGCATTCATCTAAATTTTCTTATTGAACCAATTTCTAAATTAATAATGCTGATTTTAATGGGTAATTGTAAAAAATATTAGTTTCATTTATTTCTGCTAAAGTTTAATTTATTAATGCTGCTAAATCATATACTGGTTTAGAGTATGATCTTTGAATAGGATAAGAATTTTGAAATGAAGCTAATATTTGAGTATTAGTAACAAATTTGATTTAATTGATTTCTGTGAGTATAAACAAAAATAATAATAGTATAAATAGACAAGATTCAAAAAAATATTTAACTTTATTTAAATATCCTAGATACTAGGACCAATTAATTTTATTTTCTATTCTTCTAGTTTATCTAAATCCTTTAGTCAATCCTTCAGGATATGCTTCTGTAAATAAGATCTCATCATTATTATTAGTTATATTTATTTTATCATCTTTTTACTTTTTTTATTTAATAATTTAAACTCCTACAATAGGTTCATAATTTCTCAAAAGTTCATAAATAGGTGGGTATAATTCATTTAATACATTCATATCAAATTGTAATAAATTGCCCATCTAATCAGTATAAAATATTTCATTATCTTCTGCCATGAAACAAGACTTGACAATTTATTTCAATTCTTTAAAAGTTTTAATTGTACCAGGTACTTTAACTTATACAGAATTTGACTAATTTTTTAAAGTTAAATAATATCCACTGTCTAACTCTTCATCTTCAACTTTAGCAATTTCTTCATCTTATTTTAAATGAAGTGTTAAAAATTGATTTTGATTCTAACTTTATCTTTTTGCTATTTCTTTTTCTTGGATGATTTCTAATATCTCTTTTTTGCTAATGTTTAACAGAAATAATTTTAACGTTTACGTGACTTCATGTTCTAATTTAGCATCCATACCTTATGTTTCTTATGTGACAGGACCTGTTGTTTTATCTTAATGTTATTTTTGATGTTGTTCAAGTGATTTTTATAATGCATCATATTCCTATTTGAATTTAAAAAAAATACCTTTTCTGCTTTACCTATTTCATCAAAATACAAATCATTAAGTTTTTCTTCTTCTGCATATTCTTGTTATAGTTTTTTAAGATCATTAAGTAAAGAATCTCTTTATGTTTTGAATGGCCTTAATTTTTTGGTATTATATGAAATGCTTGTCATTATCACTTAAATTTTAATAAACAATCAGCAAAAAAATCAATTTAATTTTCTGGGTTTTTTTCGGATACTTCATTCAATGCCTTCTCTATTGCAGATGATAACTTTGAATCATCTAAGTATTTCAATGTATTAATATATTCTTTATTTTTTATTTCTTATATCCATTTTATTAATTCTTTTTATTATGCATCTATATTAATAGTTTAAAAATCATAGCCATTATCTTATGATTATCTTTATTATTTTTATGATTAGATAGAATTATTTGATTTATCTAATTATCTTTCTGATCCTAATTCACTTTTATTTTACTTTGCAGATGGTTTTTACTTTCCAATAAAATCAAATTATAATTCAAGAGATCCCATATCACTTTAATTTTTGTATAATGGAACCTAAACTAACCATTCAGGAGCAGTTTCTGCATGTTATAAATTTAGAATTCCTTATCCAATTAATTCTTCTGAATTTTTTTTTTAAGGATCTATGTCATATACAGAAACATTTAAGCTTGAATTTTTAGGATCATAAACAAATTAAAAAGTTTCATTCCAAATAGGATATTTTCCTTAATTTGTAGCTGTTTTCGTTTTAAACTTTTATGCTCCTAATTAAATTTATGTATAAGGATCCTATTTGCCCTTTCCTTTTTATTCATCAAGATCTTATAGTAATTTTGCACCTTTTACAGTTATATTTAAATTGGGTTTGTTTTTCATAAATTAAATAATGTTTGAAAAAATTCTTTCCCGAATTTTATTGACATATTTTGGTAGATTCATTACAGGATTCGATCAAACTAATTTATAACTAGCGATTTGGAGTGGTAACATTGTTATAGAAAATGTTGCTTTGAAATAAGAGATATTTGCAGATTTAGAATTACCATTAGAATTGAAATTTAGTTCGATAGGAAGATTAATTTTAAAAATACCTTGGAATAAATTATCATCTTCTCCTGTTGAAGTTGTATTAGAAAATATTTTAATTGTCTTCAACCCTTTACCTAAATAAAGATGGAATATTGATGATTCTATATAAATTAAAAGAAAGTTTACAAAATTATTAGACAAAGTTAGATAGAGTATTACTCTAAAAAAGAAGGATTAGGGTGAAAATTCTAGTTATTTTGAGAAATTAACTCTTAAGGTGATTGACAATTTGTAAGTTTCTTTAAAAAATATTCATTTTCGTTTTGAAGATCATAATTATTCATGGGGTATTAAAATGAATTCTCTAACAGCTTTAACAACTAATGAACAATTTATTGTAGCTTTTGTTGATAGAGGTGATAAAGATACGAAATTTGTACCAAGAAATAAATTGATAGAGTTGTAATAATTACAATTTTATTGGAATACAAAGGAAAATATTTTTATATCAGAATATGTTCCATAAGAATAACTTTAAATTTTTGATTAAGTTATTTAAATTAGTGCTTAATTCAAATTAATAATTAATCATAAAGAGCGATTTGAAAAAGTTCACTATTTATTAGATATGTAATTAGAAGAAATTAATTTAAATCTAAGACATTCTCAATTGATATAAATAATATCATTTTTAGAATTAATCTCTAATTATAAAAGTAGAGTATGGTCTTAAAAATAAGAATTAATGTAGTAAGATGTTAATATTTATTAATAAGAATATTAAGATATTTTCATTTTATTTTTAAAAAACGATTTTAAAGATATTGAATAATTAGGAGATGAAGATCAAATTGTTTATTTTAAAAATTTAATTAGATAAGTTCCTTTTAAATAATTAGAATCTTGGAGTTAAATAGCATAAAAAAAATATTATTTAGATTTGAAAGTTTAAGAATATCAAAAATAGAAATCGAAAAAAGGTTGGTTCAATATTTTAGGAGGACAAACATAAGTAGAAGTAACTGATTCTGAATTAAAATAATTAGAAGAGTTTATATCTAATGAAGAGACAAGTATAGTGTGTAGACCTTCTGAATCATAAAAAATTAAACTTATAGCAAAATTAAAGAAGGCCCATATATAATTAGTTAAAGATAATAACACATTATAAGATGAAGGAATAATCAAATAATTAGAGTAAATAGAATTAGAATGGATTTAATATGAAAATAAAGATTTTTCATTTTCTACAATAATTAAAGAGTTTAGTTTGTAATTAGTAAAAAATAAATAAATTGAAAAAATATGTTAACCTGCATAAGAAACAAATGAATTTATTAAAATATCGTTATCAAAAACAACTACTGTAAAGGTTTGTAGATTGGATTTTCGTTTTTTAATGTAAAGTTTAACAATAAATTATAATCCTTGCATAATTAGAATAATAAGGGAAATAACAGAAGTTAAAAAAGGAGATTATGTTGAATAAACATTGAAAACAGCAACATGGAATTAAATAGAGAAGATATAAGATTCTACTGAATCTTAATTGTAAAATATATTATAATCAAATATTCAATTGAAAATTGATGCTAAGATTTTAGAACCAATATTAGAATTATCGATAAATAATAATGAATTTTGGCTTGTACGAATGGATAGTTTTCATATTCGTACAAAAGTTACAAATCAATAAGATTTATATGAGAATTTTGAAGTTTCTTTGAGCAATTTCAAATTTTTATATTATCCAGAAAGATTTGGGAATTAGACATTATAAATCCTAAATGATTATAATTTAGGTGTTTAAATTTAAAGGTTAAAGAGTATCTATCATGAATTAATAACAACAGAAAATAAACCATTAATTATTATTAAAGGTAAATTGAATTCCATAAATGTTACAATAAATGAAAAAGTTTATAAGCATTTAGTTTATTTACCTGAAACAATTTATCCGACTTAGTCTGAAGATTAGATATTATAATAATTGTAATTAGATAAGTAGCTTATAATAAAATACAAAGTTAAAGATGGGTATTTGAAAAGATAAGGATAATTAATTAAGACATGGACTTCTTAATATGTAATATTAAGTAACTTTGATTTATATTTTTATGATTAAGAGAAGATGTTAATGGCAAATTCAAAATTAAGTTTGTTTAATTCAACTTTGGAATAACTTTAAGTTGATGATTAGTCACATTCTTTTAAAATAATTAATAAGTAAGGAGTATACATATTTGCTTGTGAAAATTAAATTGATTTAAGTGATTGGATTAATAAAATTAAATTATAAATTCAGTAATATTAATCTTATGAAGAGATAAAAGAAAAACAAGAAGAATAAATAAAAGTTAAATAAAAGGATTAGATGTAGATTAATATATCAATAAAATAAATATAGGTGAAATTATATAAAGATAATAATTATCCAAGTGTATATTAAGAATAACTTTTATTTTTGTTAAAGATAAATAACTTAAATTTTGAAACAATTAAATAAGAACAAATTTAATAAATATTATAGATAGATAATTTATCAGTTTAAGATTGGATATTTGATTTTTAGAATCCTCAGAATTAAGATTTGATAATTTTGAGTAATAAAGTTGAAAGGCAACCTTCTTTGAGAATAGAATTAACTCCAAAGAAATAAAGAATAAATGTAGATTAATTATAAATAAATTGGAAACCAGATACATTTTTAAAGTTGAAATAATTATTAGAGATAATAGTAGATAGGAAGTCAAGGAAATGGTATTTTGCAGGTGTTAGAGACTTTGAAGCAGAATAATTGAAAAAAGGAAGGAATTGTGATTATGAAGAAGTAAAAAAAGATAAATTGATTGATGGATTAAAAAGAGTATTTAATAAGTGTTAAAGGTATGGTTAATCAAAATTGAAAGTGAAAGAGAAATTTAATACATTAATTGATCATTAGAATTTTTTAAATGATTATGAATGGGTTGAGAATGAAATATTATCATAATATTAAATAAAGAGTAGCAAAAATACTTTGATGGAATTAGTGACATCAATTAATTTTATATCAGTAAATTTCTTTCATAGAACTAGTCATAGTTTACTTTTTAAGTGTGATTTAGATGAGGTGAAATTTACATTTACAAAATTATAATTTAGTTTTTATTTAGATACTTATTTGTAAGATATAAGTTTATATGACATGACTAATTATCCATTTACAATAGATAGCAATCTTGAATATAATTTAATAAAGCCATAGAAATTAGTAGGAAAGAGAGATGTATATGATGAATGGGCAGTAAGATTTAGATTTAGTGGATATGATGAAATAATAATAGCTAATTAAGAAAAAATAAATGCATTTTTATTGATTGAAATAAATCCTGTATTTGCTATATATTAACATTAACCTTTAATGAGATAGATTGATTATATAATAAATTAAATAGTTACGTTAATAAGAGAACCTGAAGCTTTAACTATGAATACTGAATTTATTGAATAAAAGAGAAGGAACAAGAATCGATTGAAAGCAAAAAGAGTTTGGGGAGATATAGACTTAATTTAATCAAAATTTATATGTCCAACATTTCTTGATTTGAGAATTGTAATAAATAAACCATTAGCAATTATCAAAGGATGGCCTCATTTTACTGAATATTTTCAATTAGATGGTGAAGTAGTAGAAGTCTATAATAAATAATTTATAGATATGAGTAGATTATTATAAGAAGGAGGTATTTCATTAATATAATCAAATGAATAATGGATGCCTGATGGTAGAATTAGAAAAGCATGGAGTGAAGCTTTTTGTATTGAAGGACACAATATGCAACTTTAATATTTTGAAAAGGGTATTCATTAAATAAGTACTTTGTTTGAATTTAATTTATCATTTGAAAGAGCTTTACATTATTTTGAAATTAATGAATTATATGATAATGTTAAAATGGATAGAAGTATTAGAATTCGATCCTGTATGTCTCCTACAATATTGAAAATATATAGAAAAGAATATTTAGAAATATGTAAAATGATATTTCATAATTTTACAAATGATGATTTGAAAGATAAATTATATATACATGATTTTGAAGTTGTTCGTTCATTTGAACCTGCTCCAATATCATTTTGGTTAGATTTTATGGATATTTCAATATTTGCATTAAGCAGGAAATCATAATAACCATTAGTATAAATTAATATGAAATAGATGAGATTAGAATGGTTAAAAGGAACACATATAGATTTAAATTTATTTAGTTAATTAATTACTATGTTTCATTATGATGAATTTAATAATGAATTAGTATTTGTTGGAGAATTAAATTTAAATCCAAATTAGGATAAACTCTTTTAAGTTAATTAATTAATAGATGGTCATTAACCAACTAAATAGAGAGAAGAATTTAAAAGGTATATTTTCGACGAAGATTTTATTAAGGAATAATCTTAATTTTAAATGTTATTCCATATCCAAAAACCTAGTTCAGATAAAGAATGTAATATAGTTTTAAAAAATGTAAAAATGATAGTAGAACCAACAGTATTTGTTAATGTAGGTTTATGGAGCAGGTTAGAATAACAATGTTGGCCTATTTAAACAGAATTTGGTGAAATGCCAAGTATTAAATTAATAGTAGAGATTTTAAATTCTAGTTTATGTTTACAAGGATTGGATAATAATTATATTCTTGGAACTAAAGGAGATATTTCATATGTTTGGAATAGAAGTAGATTTTTACATCCAGAATAAATAATTCTAAATTTAAAAAATAAATAATTAGATAAACGATTAATAGATATTATTGGAGATGCATTTGAACATAAAGTTAATCTTAAAAATGTAGAACTATTTAAATGTAAATTTGTTGATTATATTAACTATGATTTGAAATAAGTGAGAAAGAGACATATCATTTTACCATTCTCATTATTTTTCTGTATTAAAAATTAATTATAAGTTGAATTTAGTAAATAATTCATCTATTTTCATAATAAGTATTCCTTTCACATTGATAAAACTATATGTAAATTTTCTTATTAGGATTTACTATTAATAATGAGTATTTCTGATAAGTTGAAATCTAGTAAATAAGAAGTTATTAGAGAACCTATATATGAATTAGAAGAGATTGTGAATTAAGAATAGCCAATCAATAATTTATTTGATGCAATTATTAGTGGATTATAAATAGTAGTAATAAATGATGCTGGAGAAGCTTATGTGCCAATCTTTGATTTAACATTATCTGAAACTCAATTACAATTTTAAATGGCCAATTCTAAATCTATTTTCTCTACTGTCATTAAATTAAGTAGTTCATTTTACAATCCTAAAATTGCTGTTTGGGAACCAATCTTAGAAAGTTGTAATTTTTCAGTTGACGTTTCTTTAAATCCTAAGGGAGATCCTCAAAGTATTATCTTTTTAGAGATGACTTAAGAATAACAAATTCTTAATATAAACTTATCTGCTTAGATGATTTGTGTGTTTCATAAAACATTTCTTTCATGGAAATAGGAGATTGAATAAAATAAAAAATAGATTGAATAATCTTATTTGGAATAACCTGATAAATAATTAGAAAAATCTATTAGTGGTTAGAATGATAAATCATAATACAATGTTATATAACAAAAATAAATATTGCATTAAAAAATATTTGAAGATGAAAGAGTCGATAATGTTGATTATGTTTCTCCTTATACTATTAGAAATGAAACAGGATTTATACTTGAAATTAGTGATACAACAAATATCAATAGAAAATATATTTTATAATCTAATTCATCAATCAACTATGAAATTGATGCTGATTTTGATTAAATGTTTGCAAGAGAAAGAGATGAATTACAATAATCAGAATAGAGATTAGTTTCTATTAAAGTTATTCATCATAAATATGAATTTGAACCTTTGAAATCTATAGATTTAGATTGTATTAAAGTTACTAGATATCCGATCTAACCTTTTAATAAAAGTACTAATTTGACTTTTATGTTATTTATTGAAGTTGTACCAAAAGATACAAGAAAATTACTTTTGATTTCTTCAGAAACCATTATCTTTAATTAAACCAATATGATTGTAGATCTTTAATTATTTGATTTAAAAGGTGTATAAGAAGCAAATATTTACGAAGCTTAAATTGAACCTTATAGAGCTTTCAGTGTACCTATTGATAGAACGAGATAACATTTTAATTTTAAATTTTAAGGCCATGAAAAATATAGTAATTCTATCAATTTAAGATATCTATCTGATAATATTGAAAAGAAATATGAACAATAACATAATGATTATTATACGATAGTTAAATGTTCAAAGAGAAATATTAATTAAACACTTGTGTATTTGGAATCCCCATTCTAAATTAAAAATTGTTTACCTCTTAATATTTCTTATGAATTATATGGCGATTCAGAACAATATTTATTAACTGATTCTATAATTATTTAATAACAATAAGTAGATAATGAATAATCAAATCTCACAATTCCGAAACAATTAGATAAATATCAATATGAACATTTACAATAAAAAGAGAAGGGCTAAATGATGAAATAAGAATAAAAATTAATCCATAAAATATCATCCAAAGGTAGATTAGCAATTGCTGTAAAATTACCATTTTTTTAGAATTCAGGAATTCATATGTTATATCATGCTAAATTTGGTCTTTTTTAAGTTGAAAATATTTAATTATGTGATTATTCAGGAAACACTTCTGGATATGTATTAATTGATCAAATTAAAAATGTATTTTATATCTACTGTAAATAAATGATTGTTAATGAATTACCTTTTAAAGTTTATTGTTATGGAATGTCAGACATAAAAAAAGGTAATCCAACAATTATTGCTGGATAACCTATGAACGATTTCTAATAAAATGATTTAAATGAACTTTATAATATTACCCTCTTTAACGATTAATAATTTGTATCATTATCTACTTCTGTGAACTATACTTAGCTCTCTGAAACATTAAATTTGAATTATACTGGAAATTAAACTGTTAGTATACAAACTGACTAAAATTAAATTGTAGAAGTAGGTTATAATATTTCTTTAATGTGCGTAGATAAATAAAAACCTCTAGTAACTAAGGTTTTAACACTTTCACCAAGATTTATAATTGTTAATTAAACTCAAAACACTATTCATATACTGCAAGAATCAAAACATTAATATTTAGAGATAAAATCAATGGATAGATAACCATTAGTTTGGTATTCTACACGTTATCAATACATTTCTATTCATTATTAGGATGAATTTATTGAATGGTAACCTACTAATCCTATTGATCCAAATAGAAATGGGTTTTAATGTTTTACTATAAGGGCTGCAAATAATTTATCAACAATAAAACATTTCAATTGTTTAACAAAAATAGACAATTAAATAGTTTATTTAATGATTGTAGAATGTAAGCCAATAGCTATACTAAATTAAATATATGAATAATCATAAAGAAATTCAATAATTTAATAATAATAATCAAAAATATAAAATGTCAATTAAGTTGATCCTCCTTATGTAATAGTGAATAATTTGGAATTAGTAACATTGATTTGTTATCAATCATGTTGTTCAGAGGAAAAGTACAGTCATCGATATTAATTTAAAGAATACAAGTTGTATATTAATAATAACTAATAATGTGCATTTTCTTGGGAGTATCCTTGTGAAAAAAGAGACTTAGTGATACAATTACAATTTGAAGGAGAATTAAGCACTCATTTTAAATTAAATCCAATAACTATTAATCTTGAAGAAGCTGATGCTATTTAAGAATATGTATTACCGAGTGGATTAAATGAATAAGAATAATATAAATTTTATATAATTTCACTTTGGGAAGGTGCTAGTAGAAAATTAAAGTTTTAATAAGAAGTATAAAATTAATAAAATCAACATGATACAAATATATTAAAATTAGATATTAATGTAAATTAAGTAGGTATTTCATTGATTGATCAATTTTATACAAAAAGAGTGGAATTAATATATATTTATTTTAAAAGACTTGAATTCAACTTATTAGAGACAACTCAGAGCAAAAGATCAGAATTTAAAGTGAAATATATCAATATTGATAGTAATTCATCAAGTAAAACAATGTTCCCTGTAATATTTACTCCAACGAAATACAAAGAGATTTTTGAGTTCAACAGATCTCATTTATCTTTAGTACTTGAATAATCTACTTAAGTAAAGTCAATATCACTAATAAAAAATATTAGAGCTTGTCTTTAACCAACAACAATAAGATTGACATCTGAAATGTTAGAGCAATTATATTCAGTTTATAAATAGATTACATAATCATTTGAATCTAATTTAAGAATGGATGACTAATTAAAGTAGTTTGACTTTGAATATGCAATAAGTTAAGAAGAATAAGAGAAATTGTAATAAACAAATAGTGTTACACTATCAAATAGAGTTTAAAATAAATATGGAGTAGGATCTTTTGGAATATAAAATAAAACAGAATGGTAAGAATTAAAGATTGAATTGAATGATTAAAAAGCGACATATATAAATAAGATTGAAATATATCCTCTGAAATTTAATTTAACTTTTTATAGTAGTGCAAAGTCCAGTTTATAGTATAATAGGTTGATGTAAATATTAAAGACTATAGGAATAGTGATAGGAAATATTGATGAAGCTCCATTAATATTAGGAGGAATATTTTTAGAGAATTCATTTGATACATCTCAAGCAATTATGACTAAATTAGCAACACATTATAAAGATATGCTTTTTAATTTGATTTTAAAATTGTTAGGTTCAATTGAAATATTTGGTAATCCTGTAGGTTTAGTAAAACATTTAGCAAAAGGAGTATATGATCTTTTTGATAAGCCTATAGAAGGCTTTATAAAAGGGCCTATAGAAGGGGGAATAGGTATTGCTAAGGGAGTAGGGAGTTTAATATAAAATACAGTAAGTGGAGTCTCTAATTCTACTAGTAAGATTGCTGGAAGTATTAGTGGTAGTTTGGCATATATTAGTTTAGATAAAAAGTATAAACAAGAGAGAGAATAAATAAGAGTAGTTAAACCAAATTAAATGATATCTGGAATATATTTAGGAGGATAATTATTGTATATATCACTTAATAGAGCTGTTGTAGGAGTATTTGATTTACCTGTTAATCAGGCAAAAAGAAATGGAATGAAAGGATTAACAATTGGAGTACTTGAAGGTACTGCTGGATTCTTTATCAAACCATTTGCAGGATTATTTGATTTTGTGAGTAAGACAACTGATGGACTTAAGGCTACTGCATAATATTGGGATGATAAAGCAAATGAAAAGAGATCTAGAGATATTAGGGTTATATATTAGTAAGAATAATTATATAAAAATTATAATCCTAAAGATGCTAAAATTATGTAATTCTTAATTAGTATAAATAATAAATTAGAGGATTATTATTATTTTGATAGCTTTGAGTATGAATCAGGAGGCACAGAGTTGGTATTTGTTTTGATGTATTAACAATTCTTTAACTGTGACAGAAAGAATAAAATTTTTATTTGGTAAATAGATCCAAGCAGTGTGTAAGATATTTTAATGATAAATGATGGGGTTTTGTTTTAGTTAAAAGATTACAACGAAAAGTATAAAGTAATAATTTTGTAATTATATCATAGTCTTAATAAGTATAACTATATATGACACAATAAAGATAGATGGAATAGGTGATATTAAAATCGCAATGGCTCTTGAGTAATATTTGATAATAATTATTTTAACTCACTTTAATGCCAAATCTATAATCTATAAGCAACGCCTTCAAAAAGTTTAACGTCTACACTAGACCTGTAAGTTTATTACTTCTGAAAGAACAAGGTCACAGGACATATTTGGGTGTTTTTCTCACAACTTGTCTTGTGAGCCTTGTGGTTTTGGTATATTATAGTGGATTAATGTCTCTAATCGAGAGAAATAATCCTAGTGTTATCACATATACTTAGTACCAGGAACATCAAAATGCATTTTATTTGAATCCGTCAAATTTCAGCATCGCCATTGCCTAGAAAGGATTTGATCTCTTGGATTCTTATATTTTAGAAGGAGCTTTAGGAGGAGTAGATAGGTATTATAATTATTAATATTATAGTGACAACCTATAGGAAATCCCATTAACTAAATGTATTGATTTTAAATTTAGTGATCCTTCTTTGAATGCTTACTTCGATAAGTCGGATCAAATCTGGTATTGTTTAGATTGGAGTTCCATTGGTTCAATAATCATTGAAGGTGGTTTAGAATCCTCTAAAGACAAATCATTATAAATCATTGTTAAATAATGCACTTCAATGTATATTATTAAATTAATCCTAGTACCTAATGTACATATCCTAATATATTAGATAGTGATCAATTCTTATTTAAAATGACATCAGCCAATACAGATATATCTAATTTTAAAACTCCTGCATCTCTTATTGGTAAAACTTTTAGTCTCACTTCTTTAACTAAATTTGCCAAAAAATTGAATATAATCCTCTAACCACAATAAACATAAACTGATAATGGATATATTACTCAAGATTTATATCAAGAGACTATACTTTCTATTTCTAATTATTATGAAACTCTTCTTGATAAAGATTCTGATTAACATATCTTTGAAATCAATATTTCACTGGATCAAAAAACTTTAGTTACTTAAAGATCTTATCCAAGAGTATATTAATTTTTAGGAGACATAGGTGGTTTCTGGGAAATTATTTTTCTCTGCTCTCTTTTATTCATCATGCCATTCAATAACTTATCATATAGAGTTGCTTTATTAAATGAATTATTCAATTTTGAATTAGATTTTGATAATAAAATACATCCAGAACATAGGGGCAGTAATAAAGTTAAAGAGATTTTAAATAAATCTGTTTAACTTGAAAAATTTAATAGAATGTCTAAAGTTGCAGAGCATGATGAACAATAAAAATCTAAATTACTAGATTAAATTTCCAGTGATATCACCTAATTTTTCAAAGAATAAGACATAAAATTAGATTTATAATTATTTGATTATTTTGGTTGTTGTTAATGTAAAAAAGGAGGAAAAAGAGATCTTATTAATTTTTCTATGAGCAAAATAACTCATACTCTAGATATTACTTATATCATTAAAAAACTTTAAGAAATCGATAAATTAAAATTAATTTTATTGAATTCAGATTAAATCAAATTATTTGATTATTTACCAAAGCCTAAACTAGGATTGCATATGAAACCAAGTGAAAATGAATATTGCTCTATTCTTAAACCTGAATTATCAGATCTAGATAAAGCTTTAGAAGCTTAAAAAGCCTTTCAAGCTCTTTAAGACTAAGACGATGATATTACACCTAAATTAGTCAAACTCTTAGATGATGATCTTGTTTCACTATTCAAATTACAATTAAATAAAGGTGTAAACCGTTTCGTGAAAAAACCAGCTTAATTAGCTGATGCAGTCTAATAATTAATGATTATTAATGCCAAAGAAAAAGAAAAAGAAAAATAAAATAATAAAGGAAAAGATAAAAAGAAAAAAAAGAAAAAAAAGGATGAATCAAGTGAATCAGAAAATTCAGAATCATCTGGATCTGATAAGGAATGAAAATATATTTAAATAATATTTAATAAATTTCTGATTTTATAGTTATACTTTTATAGAATAAAGCTTTATTTACAAATTGTTCATAGGTCTAAATTGAAATTTCATTTTATTTTGAAGTCTATTATGATTGGCTTATTTTTTAAAACTAATTGTTCTTTTGGTTAATATTTTAATGCCAACTTAATTTATATAATGGTTTTTAAGATTAAAATTCGTTTCTTATAAATTTTTATAAATTAATTAATTTTATAATTCATTGTAGAATGTTTTAGAGTATATTTTTAATCAATTTAATACACTCTTCTAATAATTTATCATAAGATTCATATTAAGACTTATCTTTTCTGACATTAGGAAATAGTTCAATTATTTCACTAATTTTTTTTGTCAGTCTTTCAATCTTATTAACAATAATATCATTTTAATAAATCTATTCATTTTCGACAATATTATTAATTAAGTCTTAAATTTCCTGATTTTGTAAAGATATTTGAGATGATTTTGTTTTGTATTTTAAATTAAGATATAAAATTGATAAATTGGTTTGTCTAAAATAAAAATCACTTAATACATTTAATCTAAATGCAAAATTTTAGTTTGTAATAATTATTAAAATTCTTATAATTCTTAATCCTTATTATTTGAAACAATCCAAGATGTTTCGTATAATTTTTTGATCTTTGATAAATAACCTTATCCAATAATTAATGTTGGATCAATATTTTTCATTACATCTATAAAAAATCCTTAATCCTCAAGAAACTTGTTTATAACATCATGTTTTGGTAATTGCTTTTTTATATCATTAAGATAAATTTAAAATTTCTCTTTTCTTAAATTTAACACTTATTTATTTTCTTAAACATAACTTTTAAGATAATAAAATCCAGATTCTTTAGGAGGTAGCAATTTTTAAACAATTTCAGGATTATTTTTAAATAAATATTCTGAAAGCAATTCGAATTCTCCATATCTTCTAAGTACAGTTATATTGCCAGATTTAATAGGGTAGTAATAATGAGAATTTTAATAAACAGGATCATTGACTAAAATGACTTAAGAAATTTCTTATTATTGTTCTGAAAGTAAATTAAAAAGTACTTTATTAGATGAACTATCTTAAAGTATATCCTTCATTCTATTATTTATCATTGCTTCAATTACTTGAGCTAGATATAGATTTAAAAGAGATACAATTGAGGAGATTATCCATTTGCATACTATTAATTATAATATATTTATATATATAATTAATAGGATAAAAATATTTATTTCATTAAGATTTAGCACAACATTGATTATTTTTAGTTGCTGAGGGTTGTTAGAATTATTTAAATCCATTTTGATCTAAATGAACAGGTTTTCTGTTTGAAGCTACTGTTTACTGTTCAAATTATGATTAATTTACTATGAAATATTTGAAAAAGAATACCTTATGATTATGTAATAAGTAGAGAATGATCAGTTGGTAAAGCTAAACAAATTTATTCCATGGCTTCTTCAATTCCCTTACCTGTTTTAGCACTTACCTCATAATATATTATTTCTTTTTTCATAGCATAATCTCTAGCTTCTTCTAAACTGACAACTCTTTCTGCATCTATTTTATTTCCCAGAATTACAATTAAAGCTTCATTCCCTCTTGTCTATTTAACTTCTTTAAACCATCTATCCAAACTTTCGAATGAATTTCTAGCTAACAATATAAATACAAATATACATGTTACATCAAAAACAATTACTGCACATTAAGCATCTCTGACATAGCCAGGAATTAATGAATGAAATCTTTCTTATCCTGCTGTATCCCATAAAAGCAGACGCATTGTTTTCCCATCAATTGTCATATTTTTACTTATGAAATCTATTCCAACTGTAGGTTAAGATTTTGGATCAAATGTATTTTAAACAAATCGTTCAATTATACTTGTTTTACCAACAAATGAATTTCCTAAAAATACTAACTTTTGTTTTTATCTTGTTTCTGATTACATTATTTTATTTTAGAATTCAATTTTTAAAATAAATTATACAAAATTCATATTGTTGTATAATAGAGAAATTTATTTCAAAAAATATACTTATTATGATATTTATATGACTTTAAATTATATTATATCATAAGATTCTTAATTCATTGTATTGATTCCAAATATAAGATTTAGCATTTTCAAATATGTCTCCAACTTTTTTTAGTTTCATGTAATAAAATTCTTAAATTAGTACAAGTTCATATAGATATTTATATTTTTCTGAATTTAGTAATTCATGTTCAGTCAAATTGGAAAAGATACATGCAATCTAAATATTAAAATAAGATATACTTAAACTAATAAATTGATTGAAATAACATAGATTCCAAAAATCATACCATAATATCCAATTAATTCAATGAAAGTAAGATTGGAAAACACAGGAAGGAAAAAAAATAATGTAATACTATTTTGATTTTTGGATATTGTATAATAAGTAGTGTAAACATTAGTAATAAAAGTTATAAAGTATGTGAGCAAAAAGAAGACATAAAAAAAATGATTTGTATTGTTTATACATTTGTTCAAATAAATAGAATGAAATTGAAATCCTTTAACCTAAATTAATAAATTAATAATTTACGCAGATATTGCAATGATCACAATGATAGACTTATGCTTTTTAAATGATTTTACATTTAGAACATGTTCTTGTAATATCAAAATCAATAAATTGTTCATCCTTTTCAAAATATAACTTGACTGCTCTTAATAATTCTGATAAATTTGATAAATTATTATTTTCTAAATCATCTTAAATTTCATCTAAATTAATTTCCTCTTCTAAAATATGATGTCTATGCTATCCATCATTATTATGATGGCATTCATAACTAATTTTAGGATGTCCTAAACTGTTACACATCTTTTTGCCTTATTCTTATTTACTTGTACTCTTCTATAAAAATATGATACAGTAAAATAAACTATAGAGTGTAATAATTAATGAAATCAAAGTAATACTATAGCCATAAGTATCATCATTATTTAATCTTTAAAAATTGAAAACTACAAGTACCCCAATTATGAAATAGAATAAACCCATTACAATATATTGAACTAATTTAGTATTATACTTTTTAATGAAGTTTTCGTATTTAATAGTTTCTACTATTTTTTTAATAGCTATTGTCTTTAGATCCATTTCATAATTAGGCATAATATCTGGGTATGTTCTAAGTAAATATTCAACAGCATCATTTGAATAATTTGATATTGCTCTAATCAAAGGAGTTTTGCCTTTAGAATCCTATAAATTATATGAATTATCTCCTTCAAAATATCTGAGCATATACACATCATTAGTATAAGCAGCCCAATGCATAATTGTACATCCAGCATTATCTGATATATCTGTTTTAGCTTATAAAGCTATCAAATAGAGAGCAATCAACTATTTATTGCATTTAATTGCATAAAGCAATGGAGTAAATAATAAATTATCTTACTCATTGATATTATTGCCTAAATCTATAAAGAGTCTTACTAATTCTTAGTTACCAAAATGACAAGCCATCATCAAACAACTTTATTGAATTTGAGATTTTATTAAAGGATTTGCTCCTTTCAAAAGTAAGTATTTAATTATATCTAATCTTTCAAAAGAAATTGCATGATGAATTAATGCGTATCCTGTTGAATCTAATTCATTCAAATTCTCAGGAGTATGTAATACTAACAAATTAAAATTTCCTGATTAAATTTCTTGTTCAAAAAATATAGGCTATTATTTGATTATGTCCTCTAATGTTTCTTCAATGTATTATTATGGTTATGGCAATAATTTAGAATCATGAGATTCACTATCCAATTCAAGTTATTCATATTCTCCTAAAACAATATCACTCATTTTAATTAATATACTCCTACAAATATCAAAATAATATATAAAAATATTAAAATTTAATATGCGGGGATTTTTGAGCTTAGCTAAGACCATTGTTTATTCATCATCAATCATTAAGCCTACATAATAAATAAAAATGCAGTTTCGATTGTACAGAATTATTTATATCTTAGGGCAAATCAACAATTAGCATCATAATTCAGGTTGTGTTCCACTATTTAAATTTTGAGATTGATCAATTTGCAAGGAGTTAGTTCCAATTCCTAATTAGAAGAAGCTGATGGTATTTAATAAATGTCGATTATTAGAACAAGATTTGGAATCAACCATTTCAAAAATACTTTCAGTAACCCTAAAAAGCAATACAGAGAAGCATCGATTTAAATTCATAACTAAATGACATCATATTTGGTTTATATCTAAAATTAAATCAAAATATAAATTAAACTACTTTTTTTTTATTTTACTATTCTTTAGATCTATATGTATTTAAATTTCTATGAAAATCTATTATAGATATTTTTATAAATAAAGATTTATAAGATTGAAAATAAAATTAACAGATCGTTGAAATCATTTTATTTATAAATTTTTTTATCCACTTTATTACTTTTTTTCATTCTAAGGATGATGACTATTTTAAATAAATGATATTACATTTCAATATTCTAACTTTTTAATGTATTATATCTTGTAAATAAAGTATCTATTGCATCATCTTAGGATATGTAATCTTACTTTGAGTCAAAATCATGTACCATCTAACTCAATTAATAAGTGTTTTCTATCGATTTATTTAAATCATCAACTTTTAGTAACTAAATTTTAGAATCATTTTAAAAAGATCTCTTTCTATCTTATAAGATGTCATGAGTTGAAGGCACTTTTAATGAATGGCTATAATTTTACTAAAATTTACCATTTATTTTATTTAGATATAGGAGTTCTTTCAAATTATTACAAAGAAGCAACCTATATTATTGAGTTCTCTTATTTTTGATTTAAAATTTATGTATTATTATTAGTAACAGTCCATTCATAGATATCATCATAATCAATCTTCCTTGATTATGCCAATTTCCTAAATAATTATATCAAGTAATCATAATCAGGGTCGCTTTAATACTACAAGGATTTAATATATCTATATTTGTATCTATATCTACTCTAAGGCTTTTGCAAATTCTATTGGCAAGTCCATACAAATTTCTTAAGGTGTCATTTTTATCTTCTTTTCACCAACTTATTTTTAGCGTTCCTTATTATTTTAACCTAACATGTTTTACCATGGCAAAGATCTTTAATCTAAGTTAATAATTTATGTATACCCTTTTAATAAAAGAATGTCTATATAAATTATTGATTCTAAATCATCCTTCCTTCCTATTTCATATCCCTTATGAGCTGCTATTGAAGCATACCTTGTTGTACCTACAAAGGATCTTCCATCTTTAAAAGGACTTAATCAAATTTATTCAAATTATTACACATGTTTTAAGTTATTATCTCTATACAACTTACTAATCCCATAATCAACGATATATATCTGTTTAGAATGGTACATTATATTTTCTGGTTTCAAGTCTCTATGTACTACTGATTTGTTATGAATTCTTCGAATAACTTATAATAAGTAATCAGTTATTATTAACACTGTTTTTAATGAAAACTTTTTATACTCTTTTAGATAAGCTCCAATATCTTTACTCAATAACTATTACACAAGCACGTTTGAATTATTATCAGTTCCACTCCATATTAATTTAGGAACTCCTTATGTACCCTATAATCTTGTTAATATATGAATTTCTCTATCCAAAGTTGAATTCTTCTCTTTTTTCTCTATTTTCACTGCCACCATTTGATTCTTTACTATATCCTCTGCTTCAAATACTACACCATATGACCCTGCTGATAATTTTTTCCTTAAACGGAATTGATTATTAATCACTCTGTTTGGACTGCTAGGAGAATTCATTATTTTATAAATTAAAAAAAATACAAAAATTTTCTAATAATTATTTAATTTTTTAAAGTTTTAATCGAACTTTCTTTCTTTCATTTCTAAAAAAAGTTTAAACTATTTTACATTATTAATCTAATTCGCATAAAAATTTTCTCATCCATCAATCTGTTTATTAAATTTGAAATTTTTTATTTTTAGATATTTAGAGAATTTAGAATTTAATATTTAATATTTGAATCAAAAGAATTCTATGTCTAATAGTGAAATTTTCAATTTTACACTTATAATTGATTTTCTAATACCTATTGTAATCAGACTGAAAAATGATCTATATATAACTGACATAAATTAGGTCTTTTAATTTATTCAAAAATAAATTTATGTGGATATATTAAATAAAAAAACAAAGGAAAAATTTTTTTCTTATGTAATATAACATTTATCCATTAAAAAATGGATTTTAAATAAGCTGTTAAGTGAAAAAATCTTAATCTTTATATGAGTTTATAAAATACTCTGATTTTGAATGTTATCAATTACTTTTAATAGATCAAAATTAGATTCCCAATTTAAAATATTTATCAAATTTACCTATATTAAAGATTATCAATTAAAATTATAGTTGATAAGTTTCATTAATATGATGCTTTAGTAATAGATCTAAATCCATAAAATAGAATACATTTAATCTAAGTTGAAATGAATTGTGGTTAAATTGTTTTAGATGAACTCTCTTATAAAGAAATATTCTGATTTAGATTAAATTTTGATGATCTTCTCATGTAGGTGTATTTTAAGATTAAATCGAATAATAGATAATAAAATAAGATGAAATTCCTTAACGATAAAAACTTAAATGCAATATTCCTATTATTATATCTATAAGAAACATTACAGAAACATCAGATGTATTAGAATCTAATCCTTAACCAGCTTCCATAATAAATAAAGTAGTAGGAATCTTATTGCTAAAGGAAAGCATTTAAATTAATTGTTAATGCATTTTAAAATAGTTTATTTATATGTATTTAACTCAGAAAGCGAAGATGAATCAAGCTTGACTTTATATTTGCATGATTATTTATTGAGATTCAAACATACTTTAATTTGAGAAAAAGCTTTTGCTCATAGGATTTGGAGCATTTAATCTACATTTTTCTAATTGTAAATTCCATTCACTCTATTTTATGGTTATTTAAGCTTTAGGCTTTCTAAGCAAATTGGAACTATTCATTTTAGTAAGTTTTTTATTTTTTTATTTTATTTTTGAAATTAATCATATTATTTATTCATTTTTATACTATATTATTTTAATAGAAACTCATTTAATTAAGGCTTGTATCTTTTCCTTAACAAATTATTTCTTTTCTTTAATCACTTATTTGATATCTTTTTCATTGTAAATGACAGGGCTTAAAGTCCTTAGCGATTCTCCATGTTTATTAATTGCTTTTAATAAATTCATTTATTATTCTTGAATTTCACTTAATTTAACCTATTAGATGAGTTGCCAATATGGATTAACAACATCTTCTAAATTATGATCAGAATATTTATAAAGCAAATTTCTTACTTAGTCATTATCAAATTCATCCATTAGTATTTCAACCAATTCTCTAACTTCAGCTTTTAAAACTTTTATTTTTAATTTTATGCTATCACTTTTTTGTTCAAGATCTTTTTATATTTCTTGGTGAACTTTATTTGAGTTATTGATTTAATTGATCAATTTATTTAAAACTAATTATTGTAAAGTCTTATCGTTTTGGAAATGTTCAAGTAAAGTTTCGGTTTCAGCAGCTATTTCTAAGATTAATTTAACATCTCTCATAAATAAGAATTTGAAACTTTGAACTTCTGTGTACTCTGAAAAATTATTTTGTTGCATATTAAATATATTTAATAATTTCTTAATCAAACTCTACTACCAAAAATAGAGCTTAAAGGTCTTCCAAACTAACTTTATTCTTATTCTGCATCAGCATAGGGATCTTCAATACCTTTTTCTTTCAAAATCTTTTTGAAATTTTTTATCATAGATTCATGGGCTTATAGTTGATTAAGGGCAATTTGCAGTTAATTTTATAATTCTACATTCTTTTAAAATTCAAATGGTTATAATTTTTATTTATCGAAATTGGGGCCTCTTAAAATCTTACCCATTTTGTTATTTTTTTATGGTAATGATTATAATCTTGCTTAAGCACTTCCTTATTTATTTATATTCAAAGCCTGAGGTAGAATAGGCTATTAAGATTATTACATCAAATCTTCATTCATCATTTCAACATTTTACTAATAATATAAACTAATATTAATACTTCTCCAATATTTTTACCAATTTTTGTTTATAATACTTTAATTTCTTATTTATATTTTTCATTTTCTTTTTTATATTTATCATTTTCAATTTTTAAATTTGATTTTTCTGTTTCATAATCTTTACATTATTTTCTAATTTCATTTAATTCATGAATTAGTTATTAATTTTCACTTGTTCTTTTGTAAATTTCTTTTTCTCTTCTAACCATCATTTTTTCTGTACTAGAATTTATTTAAATTGCACTCTTTTCTAAATGATTTATATGTCTATTCATTTCTTCTATAGAACGAGGATCATTAGAACTTTACTTAATTTCTTATTGTAACACATATCTTTAATACAATTTTGTCATTTCTTTTTTCCATTCCTAAAAATATATTAAATATATATATATTACTTTATCATCAATATAATGTACACAATTATGAATATCTCTTGTAATATTTTGAATAATATTTTCTTTTTTTTTAGTAGTTTAAATTTATAAATTTAAATCATGAGTTAGAGCATTAGTTTTACTAGTTTCTTCATTAATTTTTGAATTTAATTCACTATTAATTTTTAATTATTTAGCAAATTCACTTTCTAGTCTAAATAATTCTTCTTTTAATTTTTCAATTTATGCTTCTTTAGGTTCTAAAGATTTTTTCATTTCAGTAGTTCTAAAAGATAAAACATGTTTAGATTTTTATAAAACATTTATTTTATCTTTGTATTCAGATATTTTTTTATCTTTTTTTTTTAATTAATCATCTTTATCTTCTAAATCTTTGCATTAAACATCTATTTTAGTTTCAGCTTCTTTAAGATTTTTTTCTAATAATTAATAAGCTTATTCTTTATCTTACAATCTTTTATCTAGATTTTCTTTTTCTAATCTTAATTCAGAGACTAATTTTTATTCTTATTTAAATTTAGAATCTTTTTCTGCTAATAAACATTTTAGTCTATCAATTTCTTTTTTCTATCTATCATTAAGATCTTTAATTTCAAATTCATGATCCTCTTCTTATTAAGCTAAGATTTCTTCATAAGTAGCTTTTAATTAATCAGCTTAATTTTAATTATTTTCTAAAGCTTTAGCTGTAATTTAGAAATTCTTATAAAACTTTTCTTTTAATTCTTCAATATATTATGTATGTTTTTATTCAAATTCTTTAGCTTAAGCTTAATTTCTTCTTCTTTCTTCCATTAAATCTTATTCTAATTAAAGATATTTTTCATTTTCAAATGCTAATTTTCTTTCATATAAATTTTCTAATTCTTCAACTGCTTTTAAATGATTATTTTCAACATTTTTAAATAAATTAGCTGATTCTTTTTCAGCAGCAGATTTTTAAGCTTTTAATTAATCATAACGAGCAGCCCAAGCAGCTATTTCATTATTCATTTATTTTTCAATTTCTAATTTTTCTTTTTCAACTTTTCTTTTTTCTTCTTAAACTTTGAAATCAGTTTTTTAATCAAGATCTTATAAATCATTATGAAGTTTTTTCATTTCAGCAATATAAGTTTCAATTTCATTTCTTGATACTAATAAAACATCAGCTAAATTTTCATCTACAACACCAGCTTTAGGATTAATTTTATCAATATCATCCATTTATTCTTTAGCTTCAGCACCTGTTTTAGATGCATAAATTTATCCATCATTAGAGATTTCAGAAACTTAATAAATAAATAAAGCTCCATCAGATCCAGTGGAGAATACATATCTACCATCTGGACTACATTTAATTCTAGTAATTTCACCTTAATGAACTGGCATAGTTTCAAAAGCCATTTAATTAAATATATAAGAATATATTTTAATTTATCCATTTTCTGTACCTCCAATAATTCCAAATTAATTGTATAATGATTAAATATATGCTAATTATGTTAATTTTTATTATCCAAGATCATGAAAATGATGATCTTTACCTGTACTAATTCCATTTTAAACTATTCTCTATTCTCTTACTATATATTTAGTATCAATTTTATCTTATTCACTTTTATCTTTAATACTTTCTGTTCCTGCAGCAATTAACATTCCAATTGGTGGATCATAAATTAAAGAAGTATATTTATTAGTATTATAGACATAATCCTTTCTTGACCAATCATTTGGAGTCCATTCAAAAATACTACCATCTAATCCACAACTAGCTAAAAATGTATCTTTAATTCCCCAAATTAAATCAGTTATTTAATTACTATGTCCTTTTAAAGTATGCATGAATTCCATAGTATATGCATCATATATATTTATATAGTAATGACTACTCTTAGCTCTAGGATATGCTACTGCTAACATATGACCTCCTTAACTAAATTTTACTTATGTACAACATTTTACAGCCATTTCTTTATATGCACGTAATTCACTATGCAAAACATGAAATATACGTAATTTATCTTAAAATCCTGCTGCTAAATAATAACCTGTTGGATGAAAACCTACTGAACATAAAGGTGAAATATCTTAAGTTGTACTTTAATTTTCTTTCGTTCCTAAACCTTATTAATTACCATCATCTCCTAAATAAAATTTACGAGCTAATTCACATCTTGGATATGCATAATTCCATATTCTTATTGTACTATCATATTTGCTTGCTGTAACTATTAATGGTCTCTATAAACAAACATCTAAATGAGTAATTGGAGCATTATGGAACCCATTAAATAAAAAATCAAATTTAACTTCTCTCTTTAAAAACTTTTCATTATTTTTATATGATTCTAACACTTCAGTTGAATTAGGCAATACTTACCCCATTTCTATTGTACAAATATCATTATTAGAAAATGCCACTGCTACTAAATCTTCTTGTTTTGTTATATCCATACTAACTACTTAACTTTTTCTTTCACATCTCCATTTCTTCAAGAATTATAAATCCATTACTACTTCAATACCATCTTCTGTTTTCTATTTATCATGATCATCGCCTCTTATCCAAAGTGCAAAATGACCACTATCTGATCCAACCAAAAATCCTTTAGAAAATGCAATCAAACTTGATACTCCAGGACCTCTTATATCATTAAATGCATTATTTATATATTGTCTTACATCATTATCATGAATAATAAATATTTCAGCTTTATCATTTGCTAAAATTACCTTGTTTTCTTCAAACCATGCATGATCTGTGAATGTCTATATAGGTGCCAATCTCTTTATTTAATCTGTTAATGATATAAAGGAGTTTTCTTAAACTCTTAATATTTTAAAGTAATTTTTTCCACTTACAGCCACCATATGATTGTCTTTAGGGGATATTGATATTCTCGTTAGTTCTTATCCTATTGCAGATAAAGCTAAATGCTTCATTCTTATTAAATCTACAAATATTAATAAATAATCTGGGGCACCTGTCAAACATAATAAAAACCTAATTCATATTCAACTTATAATTATTACCTAGAATCTGTATGTGAAAATGCCATACTAATAAATGCTGATGATTTAGTATCTAAATATTTATATGGTTTTTTCTCAGCTTCCATTTTACTTGGATGAGCTTTCAAATTATAAATTACTAACTAAGGAACTGTTTCATTTTTCATTTTTTCTGCAACTGCTAATGTCCTATTTAAATTAAATCATTTTTATATTATTACCTCTTATTTGGAGCAACAGCCATACAGGAAACTATATCAAGATTATCAGATAATCTAATAAATTGAGTATCTGGTTTATCAATAAATTTCTAAGCTATAAATTTACCAACTGGATAGAGTAATCTCCTTTAGTCATCTAATAACTTAATATTTTAATTATCTACCCTCTATTATACTTATGCTATCTTTAAATTTTGCTGAACATAAACTACCATATGATTATATCACATCTAATTTAAGTCTTCTATCTTCATTTCTACGTTTCTTATCATCCATTTTAAAATAATTAATTATATTATAATTATGAAATCCCATATTATTCTAACTTTATTGTTCATCTCAGCTTTGGCTACTGTTGAAAGAGATGCAAATCAAGAAGCACTAGAAGGAGTTTGGTCCTATTTTAATTAAAAAGGTCCATTTACAGTCACCAAATGTGGAACTGACTAAGATCATAAAGATGCCTATCTATTTACAGGATATTTCCTTAGAAAAGCCGATATAGCTTCAACATCTGAAATTAATCCATTAATTGCTGAAGGTCAATAATTCTATAATGTATTCATTCTATATTTATTATAGTCTTTACCTATTGATACAAGAAATTGCTTTGAAAATAATGAAGAAGTTATTGATCTTGGCAAATTTTTAGGAATTGATTAATACACTGAAGATCAATTATAAGATAAAATAACTAATTGGGTTGGAACACATTTCTTTGTTTATAAGAGATTAATCAAAGCAGCTGGAAATGATTGGAATAATTGGAAAGATTATGAATAAACAGGAAGAGATTTGGCTGAATTATTACAAAGAATTCTAACAGATACATAAGAATGAAAATCATAATCATATTAAAATATTTTTTATTTATTTATTTCTACCATATATTGATTTAATGATATGTTGAAATTTCATCATTTAACTACTTCAAAATTCTTACTTTATTATTTTTCAGACAAATATCCATTTAGAAAATATAAATATCTATATAGAATTTTTATAAACATTTTTTTTGTTTCTAATTGATTCTTATTTTTTTAAACAATTTAATTATTTTTAGAATGATTCTTACCTTCTGTTAATAAGATAGTTGTTATTAATATAGATATATATAAATATCTGATAAGCTGCATAAATATTAAAATTCATTATTTTTCTATTATTTCTTCATCATTATCTAATTCTTCTGTTTAGAGGGCTCTACCAAAAGGGAAAAATTTAGTTTCTTTTTCAATGATACATTTATTAACATATTTTTCTAACGAATTGCAATCATTTGGATCTTTATTTTTAATATAAATTATGTAATATAGCATATGATATACACTATGTTCCAAATAAATATGATAATGCCATCCTTTAGTACCTCTATTAAAATAATAAAGATATATTATACTTAGTATCAATATCATTTTTTTCTTAGCTACATATAAAACACTTGCCTTCAATTTCTTTAACTAAAGCTTGTCTTTCATCTCTTAATTCACCAAAAGTATCCAAAATAATACCAAATATGATTTAAATAAAAAGGATGTTAAAAATGATGAAAAATGTAAAATCAAAGAAATATCTGCCCCAATATAAAGTAGGATCATCATAAGCATCAGGATAACTAGTTAATGATTCTCCTAAACCTCCACCATTTCTCAATCCAAAATTAATAGTTGAAGTAACAGCAAGAATGAAAGTTTAACCAAAAACACCTTCATCAGCATCAAACATCTGATTAAAATTAGAGAATGCAATAATAGCATAAATTAATAGACCTATTAATCCTAAGAAGGAAAAGATTGCTAAATTTCTACCATTCGATGTAATAGATTTAATAATATTTTAAAGATCCTCAGATCTTTTAATGATATCTAATAAGATTACAGCATAAATGTAAGGATTAAAAAAAGCATAAACTGTTAGGCCAAATATGCAGATCTATATTTTAAGATTAAAAAATATCTTACATTATAAAAATTGTCAAAGTCAAAAAATATCACCAAAATTAATTTCTTGATTATACTTTGATTAACTTTATCTTCTTAAAATTCAGATTCAAAAAATCCTATCATACTATAATATTTCATTGTTAACCAAGATATTTAAAATCCTGCTTCTTTTTTTAAGATTTATACTCTTTTTGCATTTGTCTATCCTCTATTATATGTGATTGATATTGGATATCTTTCTATAGCACAAAAGAATACAATTATTAGATTTAAAATCAACTATATTATTGTAATTATCTAATTTAATATAACAAATCTATACATTATTTAAATAACTAACAACGCTTTCTCCAACTGTGATATTTTTATCTTCTGGTGCTTCTGTATTAGATGCTATTTTACTATTTATTACTGTATCATGCATAAAAATGAGTAATACAACAATTATTAAGCATAATAAAAATGATAAATCTTTTAATAATCTCCAATATACAGCTCCAAAGCGCATAATTTTTCTATTGTTAATTTATTGTGAATGCCTCATTTAAATTTAATAAAATTCAGAAAACTCAATTAATCCTAACATTCTATCTTCATCTGTTTCTCTATTGATTTCGTAAATCAAATGTTACTTTATATTTGGAGTAATAAAATTACAAATAAATGGTTTTTAAAAGTATACCTTTTCTAATTGATTAATTTCATTTTGAATTTCAATTCTTCCTGTAAATTGTCTATAAAATTTAAAGAATCTCTAACTTCTTTCAAAAATAAATTTAGGGTTATTTCGAACTTCCTCTAGTATGTTTTTAATATTTAAGTCTAAAGTTTAATAATATTCTTCTCTAATTAGTTTATTATCATTTTCATCTTAGTTTAAATCATATTTGCTTTCTGGATTTATTGGTAATATTTTTTGATTTGACAATGTCTTCTTTCTTTATATATCTTCTTCTTGAAAATCATCAGAATCTAACAATTCTTCATGTTCCTCCTATTCTTAATCAAATTCAAATAATTTCAATTAAGGATCTAATGGAAAATGTTCAGATAATTTAAGACAAATAATGAATATATTAAATCCTGTTTATATTAACATATTATCTTCATCTGTTCTTAATCCAAAATGACAAAGACTGTTAGTACAATTTTAATGAATTCCTGTTTCTGATTCATCACAAATATTATCTAAAACTATATTCCTTTATTTTGGTTGGATTCTTTCTTCATATATAGATTTAGCTATTCTTATCAGATTAGTAATATTAACAGTGTTTAATATGAATTCTAATGATTCTACATCTGCTCTTCCTTATGTCAATAATAAAAGCAATTTAATAAATGATTACAAAGTTTAATATGTAGTATATTTCCTTTTTCCTTTATCTTATCCAATTTCATCTACATCTAAAACTAAATCTTCATCCATAGATAAATTAAATTATTACTTTTCTTGAACAACATCCTATTCTGGTTAGATTTAATGAAAATTCTATAAGTCTGATATTTATAAAATTGAATTTAATAAAGTAAACAATCTAGAATTTTTGCATAACTCTTTTTTATTTTCTACATATCCTGTAGAAAATTCAACCAAACTTTCTAATGCTTGCCTATATACTTCTTATAATTTATTAAAAGCTTTTTATCCTTTTTCTAAAAGATCAGCTAATAAACTGGCAACTTCATTTACAATATTAATATTGGCTTAATATGAATCATCATCATATTAAAAAACTAAGAATTTTTAAAATTCCATATTTACATTTTCACATAAAGCTTGAAGTAATTATAATACCTTCAGACATAGAAGCTTATATTCAGTATTATGATTTTTACTTTATTCTAATTCTGTAATTCTAACGTCCAAATTTATTAAGAAAAAACCTCTTAAAAAAATTAAAAATTTTTATTTCACTTGTTCTTCTTTTAATAATTTATAAAACTTTTTCTAAACATACTCATTTCCATAATCCAACAAATGAATAAGAAAAGATAAAGCTTCTATTTTTTATTAAACATCATTTTAATTTAACATATCAAATGCTAATATATCAAGTTATCCATCAGCCATAGCTTTTTAAAATCTTATATATGCTTCCTTCTTTTCTCTAACTGTTTTTTTTGAATCTTCATCCTTTGCTTCTGTTAATGAATCTATTTCATCTTAAGTTGGTCTTTTAAGTGATAAAAATATTCGACATAATTTTATTAAATAAATTTCTTTATCTAAAAATATTTCTTAACACTTTCTTAAAAAAATTTAAAGATTATCTATATTAAAAACATTCGTTTATTATCTCTCTAATGTCTTAATTAATAATTCTATCTAAACATCTTCCGATATTAAATTTATATTCTATTTAAGTTAACCTTTTAGTTTTTTATAATAATTTGCTATCAATCTTATTGTAGCCAACTAAAAGTCTATTTTTAGTTTTTCTAAACTTTCTTATTAACGTTAATATGTTTAAATTTCTTAAATAGTATTATTTGCATTAAATTTCCTTTCAAAAAGTTCTCTCATTGCTTATTTAAATAGATCCCAATCAGTAAATGATTATTTTCTATTATTTATAGACTCCTAATTTTTTATTCGTGCAACATCATTTTTATAAATATAATCAATATCATTTTATTAAATATATTATTTGTAAATGTTGCAAGTCTTTAAAATTTTTTTTGATTTTTCTTATTCATCTGATTTTTCTTTTTCAATAAATAAACAAAATTAATAAATATTTAACTTATATCTAATTAAATATATTTTAAAGTTTCTTCTAAATGGGTTCTCAATCCTCTAAACATTATCTTATTCTTAAAGTTTTTTTTCTCCAGTCTAATCTTCTTTTAGTGTATCATATTTATCAAATAATAATTTATCAGCATTTTTATCTTATATAAATCCAATTCTAAAATTCTAACCAAACTTTGTAATTTTTCTTTAAGGTATAATTTCCTCTATAGATATAATAAGTTCTCTATAATCATCTAAATCTAAGTCTTCTTTTTTTACACGAAAATCTCTTTCTAAAACATTAAATATTTCTTTAATTTTCTATACATTTTATTTAATAATAGCAAATTCATCTGATAAATTAGAATTCTCAGGATTTTCAATATCAATTCTATCCTTCATTTCATCATATGTGTATACTAAAAAATGAATTATACCATTCTTTCTCAAATATGTCCAAAACTCACTACTATCTCTAAGTATACCTAATTCTTTATCTGAATTTTAATCTATAGACAATCTTTTTTCAAAATAATTTTATTTTTATCTTGTAATTTATTCTCTCAAATTTTTTTAAGGAACCTTTTTGTTTTTATCTTAATTTATTAATTTTGCTAAACCTTCTAAAAGCTTGCATATTTATTTCTAATCTAATTCTGGAATAATTATTCTTGATAAAATGTCTCTCACTTCATCACTCTCAACAGTATCATTACTTAAATTACCTTCTTTTACTTTATTTATATATAATTCAAATAAGCATTGTAAATATGCTCTCTTAACAATATATTCAGAATTAGGATGCAAAAGAATTTATTTTAATTATTCATATAATATGATTCTTTACATTTCTTAAATACCTAATCTGTAATATTAACAACATTCTGTTATTAACATAATTAATTAAGCATGTAATTTTATTCTATGATAATGTAAACTATCATGTTCATTAACATTCAAAATTTATTACTCTTATCCTTATTCAGGTATTAATATTCTCTGATAATAATTTATAGGTTCTAAAACTATTCTCAAAAAATCATTTTTCAATATAGAGTTTAATATCAAATGTTTATTCAAAGGAGATTATTCTGCAGGAGTTTCAAAAGTTTTTGTTAATGATTTTAAAATTCTCAAATATTGAATTAAACTATAATAAGCAACTCCATCTAAATTTTTTTATCTTGCAGTAATTTTTGTTTCAACATAATCATCTTTCATACTATATGCATTCACGAAAAATTCTTAACTTTTCATTAAATCCTCTCCTAATTCTTTAATCCTCTCAAAAATATTGATTATCAAATTAGCATGCTCAGATGTTGAAATTTTTGAAATTAATAATATGAAAATCTTTGTTATTTTTAATGGAATGTAATACCAATCTTCAGCTTCTTATTATTCAATTTATATTATATCAAGCAATTTATACAAATACTTATTTGATGCTAAAATTCCTATATTTGTTTCATTATCCTTTATGAAATATTCAAAAAATAAAATTAATCGCTTATAAAATTAAACGATATCAGGTGAACTACAAATATTTTTAGGTTCTATTAAAAATTCTAGAAATACTAAATGAACTCCTGCATTTCTAACAATATTTTAAAAAGATCTTAAATATATAATTTCTTAAGAATTTGGTTTAAAGAATGATTCAAATTATTCTATTATTTTTGATTAATAATTTTTTAATTAATCAAAAGATGTTATGCGTTTTTGAGTATTTTTTTTTCTTCTTGTATTTTTAATGAATTTAACTGCTCTTTTTGTTAAAACTTATGCTTCTTTTGGACTGATGATCTAAACTGCACTTGAATTTCCATTTATAATTGAAAAATATTTTAATTCCATTAAATCATCAATTATTTCTACTTCTTTGATTTCTTTTGTTGAGTTTTTAGGTTAATGTAGATTATCAATTAAAATTTGAAGTATTTCTTCATTTAATTTATTTTTTTTTTCTGATGAAAGTAAACAAGAAAATAATAAAGCACTAAATCTATTTCCATCAGGTTCTTTAAAAACATTATAAATGGTTCTTTAGGCTAGAGATTTTTATTATTTAATTAAATCTTCCTAATCATTTTTTTAAATTTCATTAAAATCATCAAAATCTTAATCTCTAGAGCTAGGAGAACTTGAATTTGACTCATTATATTATTATTTGCTAAATAGAAACTATAATATTTATAGATTCAATTTTAAAGAACCTAGAATCTTTAAAATTTAAAGGGCTTCTAAATAAATTTTCATTTTTAATAAGTTATCATCACAATATTAAAATGTCCACATCAAAAAGAAAAGAATCCAATTTCTTTTAAATTAAATATCTTATTTATCAGGTTTATCAAGTTGGTCATGTTTATTGTTGGGATCTATTGTTTTATTTTTAGATTTTCTCTTAGCTTATAGTTCTTCAGCAGTAGGTAAATATGTTTTTACCCAATCATTGTTTTCAATCGATTAAGTTAATTTTTATAAATTAGAATTAAAATTTTCATTTTCTTAAAATTATTAATATTAATCTTCTGTTCTTTATTGCAAAATTAATGCTACAAAAATATTAGGTAATACTGAAAATACTTATTAATTATCAACTAATTCATTATATCCTAAATCAATACTATTTTTTATAATTTATAAAACTCCCAAAAAGTATTGTAATTAATAATGAGCTAATCTTTTATAATTAATGTTGGTTTATTGAATTACTGATTTTTAAGGTTAAAGTATATTATTATTAAATTCATCCACTTTAAAATGATCTGGATAATTAATTGAAATAAACATTTCTAAATAATGTATTCTAATATCATTTATTGATTTTCTTTATAGAATTTTAGAGGCATACAATTTCAAATATTAGTGTTCTGTTTTTGAATCTTTTTAATTTATAAATTTTTAATAGTCTTCATTTCTTTTCAATTACTTTGATGCATTATTTTCATAGAAATATATTCCTGATTGATTTTATATATCAAATTGATCTAAATCATCATTCAAAAAACATTTATTATCAAATTATGATATTTTAATTAATGGATCAATATCTAGATATAAATTACAAAATAATTCTATCAAAGTTCTCTCAAATCTAAGTTCTGTTTTAATATTTTATTATCTTTATAAACAAATTTCTAAGAATTTTTCATTTAAGAAGCAATTTTTCATTAAACATTTAATACTTTTTTAATTTCTTCCTTTACATAATGATGAATATAAATCCATAACGTTTATTAAATAATTTTCATATTTTAAAAATATTGGTAAAACAACTTTTAGATCTTCTTATCTTACTAATTAATTTTCTTTTAATGTCTCTGTAGTAAAGAAATCTAAAGTAATATCAACTAAAGGAGGTCTTCTTGTATTAAATCTTTATGATATTTTATTCTACTTTTCAACAAATCTTAAATATAATTAACAAAAAGTAGGGTTGTTTTATCCAAATAAATGAGATAATTATAGAAGTGTTCCTTTTTCTCTTTTTGGTGAAAATTAGACAACTGGATATTATTTTGAGTTTTCTTCATAAATATCTAATGCTATTAATGCTTTTTGAAATGGAAGTGAAGAATCTGGTTTATTTTTTGTTCCAAATAATAATCTTCTACATGTATCTTGACATAAAGAATTAGGATTTTCATATGGATCAATCATCATCAAACTTAAAATTTCAATATAAAGTGCTTAATCCTCTATATTAACTTCAGTTATAGGCTAGAGTTCATTTACCCATTTTTTTATACTACTTTTTGCATCACTCATATCAGTATAACGTACACTTTCTTTAATAAGATTAGAAACATGTTCTCTCTAATTTTTCAATTATTTTAATAGAAACTCTAAAATACTCTCTTTATTCATTTCTAAGTTTAAAACATAGTTGCTTGTTTCTGGATTACATTAAACACATAGACTTAATACGTAATATATTTCTTAAATGCAATTTTATTTTTATGATTAAGTAACCATAGGATCTAATTTCATCTTAGCTATTTTTTAAGGACTTTTATCTGGAATATTATAATTATTCTCTTAGAGATTTCCATAGATCATACAATTACATAATCTTTAAATAGCAAAAAGTAGATTAATAATATCATTATCCATTAAAGCTTATTATTTCTTTTGTTATTATTCATTAGATTAAGGTTTTCCTTCATTTGTTAAATACATTTTTAAATTATCTAAAGTTTGGAAGAGTTGCTAGATTTCATCAAATAATAGTTTTTAATTATTGAAAGCTTCATAATATTCATATTTTCGTTTTTCTTCTTAATTTAATTCAATACATTTAACTATTCCCCAATCTTATAAAAAAATGTAAAATTATATTAAATATTCTTAAAGGGAATTTATTCTATATGATATTTTAGAGAGATCTTAAGGAGCTTACTTTAATAAAAAAGTTGCTCTTTCAATGTTTTTCTTTTAGCTTTTCCTTTATAAAGCTACTTTATTTTCATTTATACAAACAATAACTATCCCATCTTAAGAAATAGAATTATCAATTGAATTATTAGGTGCTAATTATATTTTACAAGCTTCACTATAAGAAATATAATCATTTGATGTTTTTTTTGATTTCAAATTAAATTAGCATTCTGATTTTAATCCATCATATGTTAATCCAACTCCTCTATTTGTTATATATAAAAATAATCCTGTACATACATGTCTAATCAAAAATACACTTTCATAAGTTGGTCTTTAATATATCAAACTATCAATGTGTTAAATTTACCAGAGAGAACTTAAATTTTAATCTGCTCCATTTTTAGTATCTACATACAATTAATACATTTAATCTATTTTTTCATTTCTAATTCTATCTACATCAAAATAATATTGATTCATAGCATAATTAATATTAGTTTCATAATCTTTAACAATTAATGATTTTTTATCTAATCCTTCTGTTATTCTTTATATTCTTTTAATACATAAATATCCTCCTAAATATCTATTTTTTATAGTAACAACATCTCCACTTTATAAATACTTCCCTTTTATTTGTTATTTGTTTATATCTTCCTCTGTTTTATGATCAATATAACTTGAAATTTTTAATGGATATGCTTATTCAGATGCATTTACTTCTAAACCATCTTACTTTTCAAATTTTAAAGATGGTTTTTGTATTCCTAAATTCCATTGTATTAAATTAGAATTTTAAAGAATAATTTAGTCTCCATATAATATTGGTTCCCCTGGATTTTTAACAGAATTCATAGATAGAATTCTAAAGTTTGAATTTTCATTTGAATTTTCTTCTAATGATAATTCTCTACAACAATTTTATTTAGCTAAAATATTACTATTCAAAGAAAGTGTGCATCCTGAATATATATGTAATAATTAAATCTCTTATCCATAAACAATATTGGATCCAGACAAATGATTAAATAACCTCTCATTTTCTTTTTATTCATCATCAGACTTTTTTTTAAATTCTTACAATATTTTCAATTGATCTTAATATAATTTATCAGCTTCCATCTAATATATCTCATCTTCCTTTATATTATTTCTTTGATCTATTGGTTTATCTATTACCTCATTGTATTAATTTTAGTATTAGTATTTTTTTCCTGTTATTATTTAAAATAAACTCTTCTAGAATGATAGGCTTCCAACTCTATGTTACAAGCTTTTTTTAGATTAGACATCTTGTATTTTATTTTTACCTAATATCTGAATACATTCTAATTTATTGCTTGCAATTCCATCACCAGATATCACTCCTTTAAAATCATCACTCAAATAAGATTTAAAATAGATTATATCACCTATTTTCAGATTGAAGTTTCGTCTTTATTAAAATTACTAATTACTTTTAACATTTAGTATTCTCTACATTTTAAGGCAATGAATTTAAATTATGATTCTAACTCATAATGTTCTCAGGTCCAAGTAACGATTGTTTTCTCAAATTTTGAATAGGAGGTAAGTCAGTCATTTGTAATAATTAATTTATAATATATATTATCTTAAATTATATTAGATTTAATTGAAAAATTCATTTAAATTATCAATTTATATTGATAGAAATGATAAATTATCATTAAAAGAAAATTTAAATTAATCTTATTATCTATTATGATTCTCACTGAATAAAATTTAAATTTCAATCTAATCCTTTTACAAAACATTGATTAATTTAAATAAATACTTAAAATATTATTGGAATTTCTTTAATTTGTCCTCAAACTAAAGAAATACTAATTTGGAACATTTAGATTCTTTACTTAACTTGTAAAAGATGAAAATTAATAAAAATTCTTTTTTAATAAATTTACTAATAAGTTAGCTTTATTAACCATATTCAATTTATTTAATACTATTTGTATTTGTTTTTATGAAATCTTTAGGAATTCAATAAAAAATCTAATAATATCAAAATATTATATGATAAATAATTTATAAATTGCACCACTAACTGCTCTTCACAAATTACTGTCAGTTAATAAGCCAATCAAATTTAATGATAAACTTCATGATGTTTAGAAATAAAAGAGTCTTTAAAAATCAATTTAAAATTTAAGCAGTAGCTAATGTGACATATTGAATGTTAAAATGAAAAATAAATTACCTACTCCCAAAAATACTATTGATTCATCTTTAAGATAGAGTATTGGCAAAATTAGTAACAATAATGATAGTGGAATTAAAATCAATAAAAATATCAAAAATGAACTTATATAAGTCTTAAGAAAAGCTTAGAGTTAATCAAAAAAAGCTAATAATTTAGAAAAATTATTAAGTCTTTCTAATAATCCAAAATAATTTAGTGATTTGGAAAGTTTTAAATAGAAAAGACCTCCTTTATTATAGTATTTAGGTGAAGAATATGAAAAATTAAATATTCAGAGTGCTAAAAGTGCTAACGAAAAAAATAAAAGTCCTTAAAATAGATATTCATCTGGTATTATTTAAAGATAATATAGGATTTTTTACTAGTACAAATTAAAGATAATAATTATTTGGGTCTTTGAATTAAGTTTTGAAATAATATATCTAATGTAAAAGTTAACAGAAATGTAAATAAACTTATTAATTTAGAGGCTGGAACTGGAGAAGGTATCAAAGTTTGTAAATCAGCAAGAAACACTCATTAATAATTATTAATAAATGAATCTGGCAATCAAGAACAATATTTTCCTAAATAAAAATCTGATTATTCAAAAGGATAATCAAAAATACTTAATGATAATTTACACAATCTATTTTTAAAGACTTAAAATATTTTAGCAAAATACCAAGCCAAAGAATCTTAATGGAAAAAATAAAAATAATAATTGAGAGATGAAATTAGGATTCTTAAACAATTATTGAAATAACAGCAATTATAAAATTAAATATATCACTGATATTATTATTGAATTTATTTTTAATAGCCATCTCTATTTAAAATTTTCTAATTAAATATCAATGCTGCTTTTATGCAACCAAATATTTTTTCAAAGTGCTAAATTCATTCACAAAAAATTAAATCTATTCCAAACTCCTTACATTAGGAAAAAAAATATCAATTCATTTTTCAATATGAATTTATTGACTATTTATCCTTGATAAACATTCTTAAGCAGTAATTATGAAGTTATATATATTGAAAAACATTTCATTAATAATAAATTAAACTTTTTAAGAGATTGAATTTAATAATAGCGATAAGAATGCAATAAAATATTAAGTATGAAAAAAATTATTTTTGACTGATTTAAACTTTTTTATCGACAAAAATTTAGATTACTAAATAATGACATAAAAAATACTTGGGGAAAATTTATTAATTCGGAAAAAATATTGAGACAGATGTATTTTAGATCATACATTTTTTATTTAATGGGCACTAATTTTGTTTTTATTATAAAAAATGAATTATTCTTATTAAATTTTTAAGATTAGTTTTATTGATGTTTAATTAGAATGAATATTAATAAATATAAGGTTTTATTTTATTAGAGACTTAAATTTTTTAATTTTCATAATTAGTAGCTTTGTTGGTTTATTTTTGCTAAAAAAACTTAAAGAGATAAGATTTATGTTTAGAAAAATCAATGTTGCAATTTATTTAAATAATCATTAAATAAACTTATAATGAATTATACTATTATATTACATAATTCTTATTTAATATAAGTGATTATATTTAGAATAGTGTTGATATTAATTAATAGCGAATTTTAGAATATATTTAAAAAACAATAACTCTTAGAAATAAATAAGACTATAGGATAAGAATTGAAGTAAAAGTTTGTTTATTCTTAACAACATTTGTATTAACATTCAGATTACTGAATCAAATATTTATTTATTTAATGAATAATTATCAAATTACAACCTCTTAATGTTCTCCAAATAACATATTAGCAGTTTGTGTTGTAATAAGAAGGCATTTTTTTAGAGACAGATAATATTATTTATCATTAACTTCAAATTCTTTAACTTTGAGTGATGTAAATTTTATGAGAAGTATTTAAATAGGGTCCTAATTAAAAGTCTCCTAAATATACCTAACTTTTAGGTTTGGATACTGTGTTCACTTGGATATTAGATTAATAAAACATAATTGGATTCACTCTACCTTATAGGGGGAAAATTAAGGAATTTTATGGAAAACAAAGCGATATGCAATATCTAAAAGACAAAATGGGGTAATTAGTTATATATGAAAATATCAATAAATTTTATAATTTGGAAAAGAAAACTGAAAAAGGATCTTTTGGAAAAGTAATTAAGATTTATTTTTAGGTTATGTTAGGTATTTGTAAACATACTCAAAAGTAGGTCGCTGTTAAATAATTAGAAATTCTAAAAAATTCATAATCAATTATAAAAAATGAAATTAATATTTTAAGAACCATCTATAATTATCTATCTCAGAATATCTTAGAATTAAAAGAAGTTTATAAAGATAAATAATCTTACTATATTGTTACAGAATATATAGATGGATATAATTTACAATAATTATTATCAATCAGAAAAACTCCATATTCTCTATAGGAGTCATTACACATTGTTGAAGTATTTTTATATAAAACTAATATAGTAAATTCTAAAAGGACTAACATAAATTCATTAATCTCATGTTATTCATAGAGATCTTAAACCTTCTAATATTATGTACAATTATAACAAAATAAAAATTATTGATTTCGGTCTTTCATGTTTTTGTGGTAAATAATTGAATGAATTTCCAAATTGTGGAACAACTGGTTATTGTGCTCCAGAAGTCTTAAATGCAAAAAAAACAACATTATCCTATAACTATAAAGTAGATATTTTTAGCCTTGGATGTATATTTTATGAAATATTAACATTGAAAAAAGTTTTTCCTTACAATAAAGAATAATCAACTTATTATTTAAATCAGAATTGCTTAATTAATATTGAGGAATCAGGATAAATTTATGATTTAATAAAATTATTTCTAAAAGAGGATCCTAAATAAAGGTTAGATACCTTTCAAGCTTTAAAATTAGTCTAAAACTTTATAGAAATGAAAAATTTTGATGTAAACACATGGTATAAAATATCATTTGAAAAAGATAAATAAAGAAACAACTCTGAAGAAATTTTTTCTTAAAATTTGTCAGGTTTATTTAAATTTTGATTAACTACTGGATATAAATATATATTATTTAATTTAATTAAATCTTATGTATTACAATTTTGCACTTTAATTTTCATCTTTAATAACATTTATTAATTTTATAGTTTCTGATTAATCAAATACTTATTTCTGAAAATATATAGATTTATTCATTATTTTTTAGTTAAAGTATTATTCTATATGTTTTTATTGCTTTTTCATATATATAAATTAAAGGATTATTCCCTAATTTTAATAATTGGATGTTTATAATATTTTTTCTACTTAACTAATACATTTTAAAAAAAAAAATCTTAAATGTAAAAATTATAGTTTTATATGAAAATTACATATAATTTATCCTTAAAGTCAATTAATCTCCTGAAATTTCTTATTCTTTATGCATTATAAGCATATACGGAATTCACATTAATTACACTAAAAAGCAATAGGTTAAATCATGTCATCTCCTTTTTTGTCACAAACTGAACATCTAAAATCATCACTTATTTGATTCATTTGATGTTTTGAAGGACAACAAGTTTACATAGGTTGTTTTTCAATTTTTAATTCTGGAAAACAACATTTAAAACAAATAAATATTTAACATTATTGACAAAAATATCTACAAGTAGTATTTTACTTTTAACATTTGGAACAATTTTTTTTCTTTTCTTCACCACAAGGTTTTTTCCAAAAACTTAATTTATGTTTTTTTTCACAAAAACTTTAATTACTTTCCATCAATTCTCCTTTAGTGATTTAATTTTATTATTATTATTATTATTATTATTATTATTATTATTATTATTCAAATTTTTTTTATTGATCCAATTTCTCAATATTCTCTTTAAATTTTTATAGTTGAGCTTGTAGATCCTATTTTAATTGCTTATTTTCTTCTTTGAGATTTAAAACTTATTAATTAGCTGTAGCAATTTCATTAATTCTTTAATTCTATTAATTTTTTAATTCCAATATAGCGTAATTTGATTATTCTTTATAATCTACGAATTTTTCCTCAAATTAATTTATAATTTGCTAAAGTTCAAGAACACATTTATGACCCTTGAATTCTTCAATTGTCAAATTTTTCTTGCAAATTTGACAACTTTAAGTTTTATAAAAAGGGCATAAATTTTTCTTAATATTCTAAAAATTTTACATGTTATTCTAGATTTCTTCTTTAATTAGATTTTCCACATTTACAAGTAATTGATTGATATGGACATTCTTCCGCATGTTTTATCACATTTTCTTATGACATTTGGATTATACACCCCTCTTTATAATTTATACATTAGAATTAGATTTTTGAAAGTTAATCCCTAATCATACGATGAGGTATTTTAGTTGTAAAAGGTTTAATACAATTTAAATCAGGGCATCTCAAAATTATAATTAATAATATACTTATCATTTTAAGATTTAGTATTTTAATAACATTCTAAGCAATAAAGGTTTTCACATTAAGTACATTCAACAGGATCAATAGAGAGATTATTGCAAATTTTACATAAAAGGCTTTAATTAAATTTACCAATAGGAAGGTATAATAATCTTTTATTAGAATACATGTTAATAAATAAATAAATAAATAATTTATCATAGTAAATTAGTTTCACCTATAATATAAATATGCTTCAGCTTCCAAACATTTAAATCTTGACTAATTACTAATTTTTTGAAATTTTCCTAACCTTCTTTCACAATCATTAATTTTTGCTAACAAACTTTCTGGCTATTCAAAATCCATAGACAAATTCGCTTAATTAATGATACTACCATTTAAAAGTAATTTATTTTAAATTGCTTTTATTTATTTCTATTTTATTTAGTCTTATAAATTAATGTTGAAATAATTCAATTTGTTTAAGTAGTCATAATCAAATTTTAATGTTTCGAGTGACTTTTATAATATATCTTCAGGTGATAGTGAAATTGATTGCATATCAGGTGATAAAGCTTCTCTATTCAATAATTTATCTATAGTTGGATCTAATTCAGGTTCAATTCCAATTATAAATTTAGAAAAAATTAATGCTTTAGATATATTTTTTCTTAGTTTAAAATGATATTCAAATTAGGAAATATCATTAGGGCAATTAGGTTTAATTTCTTTAAAGAATGTATGAATGATTTTTCTTTTGTTATAATAAAATTTACTTGCTTAAACCTTGAGTCTTTAAAATAATTTTAGTAATTGTTTTTTCTATACGAAATATTTATTTAAGAATCTCGTAGTTCATAATTACTTATTCAATCATATATTTAGGATCTTACACTTAACGATTTTTGTCTAGAATTAAATCATTAAAAACTATTTTATCATCTAAAACATATTCACATAAAACATTTCTTAATGTTTTTTCTGTTTAAAGCTAATAAATTCTAATTAATTATTACATTAGGTCTTCTTTTTGGGCTTTCAGTTCTACTCAATTTTAATAAACTACTTTAAATGAGATTTTAAGATTTCCCATCATTCAACTAATCTTAAAGCGCTTTTTTTATATCTTAAATTCTAGGTGATTATCCATTTATTGATTTATTTTAATAAAAAGCTTAATTCCATTAATCTAAATCATATTATCTTTTCGAAATGTTATGAAATACTTTAATCCTCTTTTTTGTTTTATTCAATTATTCTGTTTGAGTTTTTTATAAATTTATTTAAGGTAAAGTTTAATTTGATTATGACATTTCTATCACTTTTATTGGCGAAGAAATTCTTTCCTAATAAGATTCCTCTTTTTATTTTTTTCTTGTTGATGATTTTTATAATGTAATAAGTTCATCATGTAACATTTAAGAAACTGATCGACTCTTAATTAGCTATTGCATTGGCATATTCATACAAAACACTTTTTTTTATCTTTGCAATGGTAATGTTTCAAAGGTTCCAAAATCTTGATCTTAAATATATTTTAGCATTAGAAATTAGCAATCCAATTAATTTATTATTAAATATACTAATCTATAAACAATAAATTATTCAATTCAATTAATATATTTAAGTACGTCTAATTTCTGTAATAATAATAGTTTTTTATTTAATTTCTAATTGAAAAAACAACAAATATTTCGATATTTTTCTATAATTTTCTATCATTTTTACTGATAAGGGAATAAATCATAATTTTTCTTAAAAACTATAAATTTAAAAGTTCAAATGGATGGTCATGTAAAATTAGATTAAAAAATTTAATTTTTGTGAATAGAATATTATAATATGCTTATAGATTTCTGAATTTGAAAATTTTAATAATACTTTCGATTACTAACTACCAAACTAATTATTTCACTTTTTTATTTCAATAAAAATCCTGTGTTTTTGATTGATTGTTCTAGGGCAGCATAATTAATTTTAAAAGAGAAGGGAGACATAAAGTTAATGCTGATCAGTTTAATAAGCATGATTCCAATCACTAGCTTTACAATAGCAGCTTTTTGAATTTGATATGTTAATCATTGAAGTTTCTTTCATTTAACAAATTTTTTTACAAAGATAAATTGTACTTTTAGTAATGGAATTTATTAGTACTATCACTTCATATAAAATTTCTATCAAATAAAATAAAATTTAAAAATATTAAAATTTTCAGAATCAATCAGATTATACCATTTTATATCTTTATGAAATCAAATGTTTACTAAATAATTTATTAAATGTAATAGGGTGTTGCTACTATTGGAGGTCTATTGAAGCTCAATTTCCCTTTCTTCGAGTCATTTAACTATTCTATATTAATAAAGAGGAGATTTATAAATAAGAAATTTGGATAAAATTAAAAATATTGAAACATTTTATATATAAATTATATTTGATGATAATTTTAAAATCATTTTTATTAAAAAAATATGATTAATTTGTTAAATCAGAGGAATCTTAATTTAAAATCAGAATTTTAAGTTGTCTAAAAGTAAAATATATAGAATTAAATATCTTCCAAAATGTAATAAGTAACACTAATAAATAATAAGCAATTCAAAATATCCAAAACCTCTACTTTCTTTAATAATTCTTGGATGTTTCTCTCAATTAAAACAGATTTAATTAGTTAAAGATTTTGATGTTTTTATTCCTAAATCTTATACGGATTAATTTTTTTAATAATGATTCATATATAATTTAGAATAATTCAAGATCAAATTGATGGAAGGATGAAATGATTCGACTAAAAAATTAATAGGAATAGAATAGGATAAAAAAATAATGAACGAAATCATTAAAAATAAAGATCACAATTATAAATATCTTATATTGAATATTAACTTCTTAATAATCAGCAAATTTACGAAGTCCAAAAACTCAAAAATTAATGAGTAAGCAAATCAATTATAAATAAGAGCTTTAATCAGAATCAAATTATTAAGCTAGTTTGTGCTTATCCATGCATTTAATTGTTTAAGATAACAATTATGATAATGCTAGACTATTACTAGTTTATTAAGCAAAATCATTAAATAAGATAGTTTAATGTAAAACTGACAGAAATACCATGGCAGTAATTAAAACTTTAATGAAAATGATAAATATTATATTCCATTTATGTTTAAGCTTTCAAAATGTAAAAGTTTTTCTTAAAAATAAATATTCAATATAGAATGCATTTAATATGATTACTTTTTTGATTTATCATGAGATTTATGTTTTCTTAATTAATTATATAAGAAAACTGAGATATTTAAATATTAATTATAAGAAATTGCATTTTATTCAATAAATTTAATTAAAAATTTCAATTTTTTAATTTATGTCAGAATTAAAATAAATGAATTTCTTTGAATTTTTATTTTGTTTATTTATGGAATTTTAAAAAAGTTTTAAGAGTAAAGTAGAAAATCTTGCTAAAAGTTCAAGATATTTTAAAAATAATTTTGTATTATTATTGACATAAAATTTATTATGAAAAATTATAATTCATATCAAGAATATAGGAAAACATCTGTTCCTTCAGAGGCTTCCTCAGTTAAATCACAAATAACAGTTCAATCATATTTAACAGTATCACCTGTAATTATTGAATAATAATATAAATGATTAGAAATAACGAAACTAACTAATACGTTCATCTTTTAAGGTTTACTAAGAAATGATTTAGGAAATCAGTTAGAATTAATAATGTAAATTATCTTTACGTTTTGAACAAATTCATTTATTAATGGCTACACAGAAATTGTTTCTACATTTATAAAAGATGCAAGTATTTTATCAGAAGCAAAAAAAATAAGAGGCCTTTTAATCAATATTAAGATTAGGTGCAATAGATTATAGCAATAATAGTAGTATGTTTAAGACTCCTTAGAGAAGTCATTCTCCAGGAATAGTGTCTAGAGATATAGGGTAATATGTTATTAAATTATTTTAGAATGGAAAAGAATATACAAAATTAATAACTTATAAAAATTATTTAAGATTTATAATCACAAATAGCTGGTAAAGAACTTTGTAAGACAATTTATTTAATTTAAACTAAGATAATGAAAGATAGTTTATTTTAAATAAAATATCAAATAAAATTATCATTAAAGTTCGAGAAAATTAAAAATATTTTAGAAGTTTCTTCAAAACGATTTGCATTAAATGAATTGAGAGAAAGAAATAATAAGAGCAAGAAAATAGAAGCTGCTAGTTATTTATTAGCTTTTAAATTGGAAAAATTTAAGTTAAATATATAATTTACTTTTTTTTATTAACTAAAATTATCATAGATGAAATAATAATTAATTACGAAAGATTAGATTTAATTAAAATTAAATGGATATAAAATGGGAGAAAAAAATGAAAACATAAAATTATTAAAACTTCATTAGATGATAATTAAGTTTTGTTATAGATTTCCATTTAATTAATTAAAAAAATAATAATATTAATAAATAGAATTAATATAGAGAAATAGTGCTTCAATATAGAGATTTTCTTTAGGGCAATTATCATAAACAATGTCATAATAGGTTTCATAAGTTTTAGAAGCATCACCAAAAAGTGAAGAATAAAATGTAGAAGAATAAGAAGTAGAATAACAACCAATTGTAGTATAAAAACAAAAATCTTTTTAAAAAGCAAATGGAAAATTAGCAAAATAAATTAAATTATACAGTAATAAATGATAATATTTTGAATAGTTAATAAATGTGAAGAGTAGAAGCAACTAGCATAATAGTAGAAATTAGAATTTATGTCAAGATCATCAAAAAAAAATATTTAGGATGAAATAGAGTTATAGAAATAAAAATCTAAATCTAATGTATAAGGTAGATTATTTTTGGTGGCAATATTCATAATTATTTTAATTTTTTTATTTAATGTTATTATTTATTGAATTTTTAAATTAATATATATATATATATATAGAATAATAAAAAAAGAAATTTAATTTATAAATCTAAATATTATTATATTTTGAAAAGTAGTGAAGCTTAGAAATCATAAATTATGCAATATCTTTAATAAAAATGGTGGTATCATTTCAAATAATTGACATCTCCACAACACATCATAATTAAAACTTAAGCTTCATGAGTTTTACTTTCTATCAGTTTTCTTATTCTCTCAATCGGAATTTCTTAATCGTAGCTCATTTTTACTGCCTAACTATTTACATATAGTATTAACATCAAAAATTGATCTTGTAACATATTCAACCATATTTAATACACTGAGTTCACCTTTGGAATCTTTTAACATTTCTTCCATCATTAAAATACATCTTTTCTTGATTTCATCATATGATAAAGATCCATTCTCATTTTCATCAATTAGCTAATAAATATTATATAGAAATTACTTTTAATATTAATTCTATTTTATTATCATTTCTTTTTGCTTTAATTAAATTAATTGCTTTTAAAAACCCTTCAAATGTTAAAGTATGTTATTTTGCAAAGAATTTAAAAATTTAGTCTACAACTCCTGGAGGTGCCATTGATAATTCTTCAAGACCAGCATTAAATGCTTCTCTTGAAATTCCGTTTGGTATCACTTCATAAATTTTAAAATAATTACTATCTTTAGTTAATCCTGGGATTAATGAACATTCATAACTAAGTAAAGCTTTGTATCTACTATAAATTTCATATATTTCTTATCTATCAAATCCTGTTTCTGACATTAATTAAGGAAGATTGTAATTAGTCATGTGAGGAAGCTTTCTTGCAATATGATCTGGTATATTTGTGTATTAATTTCTGTTATCAATAAATAATTATACTGATTCTTTTGTTTAATGGTTTATTATTTTAAAATTTAACTATATTATGTTTTAAAATTTGGTAATTTAAGATCTATTAGAATATTAATAACTTACATCTACTTGATGATCTATTTTTACTAGGATTATAATATCCTTCTTTTTCTAAAATGGTTTAGAATTCGGATGGTTTAGGATGAGTAGTAGCAACAGTAAAATCTCGAATTGTTTCTTTTTCTATTTCTGTTTAATTAATTATTCTATCTGAATATAATTCATGTGTAGGTTCATCTATTAGTTTTTATTTTTAATGATCATACACATGAATACTTTTATAATATTCTTTCATTGCATCACTATTTCTTTTCATTGTTAATAAAGATTCATCTGGGATAATATCTTTAGTTTCCATATAAGTATAAAATACATCTTTATCAAAAATAAATTTTTAAAGATCTTAGATATCATTGATTTTGCTTATTATTGTTAAAAGTTTAACAAATTTATCAAGAGTGAATAATAAATTATGATGATTCAAGATAATTGTCCAAAAGTCTTTATTAATAGTATTACTTAATATTATAGTATTGCAATTTAATGGAATTTCTTCTGTAAATTATATAATTTCATAGTTTCCCAAAGATAATTGATTGAAAAATTTAGGGACATTTAATCCTTTTTACATCTTTAATAATAAATTTTATCTTGTTAGATAAATATCTTATTATTATTTAGTTTGTAATTCAGATCTTTACATTTGAATGACTTTGAATTGACTCATATCTTAAATTGATCCTTTGAAAACAAAAATAGATTAGAGATTTGATTATAGATGGATATCATAGGAACTCATTCCTAAACGGTTTGTTGAATGTTTCTTTAGAATACATTTTGATTTAATTTTTAAAGTAGGAATCTTAAAAGAATAACCAATTCTTTCTGATGATGATATTTTGATTAAAGAAGATAATTTTTCTTTAGGTGGTGATCCTATTTAAGATTATTAAGTAGGTATATATTATTAAGAACAGTTAGGACTTCTTCCTTTTAATTTGGGACTATATCCATTATAAGTTAATTATTATCTAGTAGCATTCCTTGAGACTCTGATATTTTAGTAGGTTGGTTATGTGAGAGCATTCAGTTTCAGCTAATTAATATTTAAAGTTGTCATATAAATTAAAAATATTAAATGTCTAATGAAAAGAGAACATCTGCAGACTTTTTCAAATAAGTCTTTGGAAGAACAGTAACTGTTAAATTACATAATCGAACAGAATATATTGGTGTTTTAGCTGCTTTAGATGGAAACATGAATCTTGTATTGGAATAATGGTATTATGTAGCTTAATTTACTATAGTGAAGAATATTTAGAATAGAAGCTTATTAATAAATATGGATAAATATTATTGAGAGGAAATAATGTTCTATATATAAGTGCTAAATTTAATCAAAAATATTAACAAGAGGCAGGAATTTGATTAATTACGTATATTATATTTATTTAATATGGATTAAGAAATTAATAATTTCAATCTACCTGATATCAGAGATAAAGATGATTCAGATGATCATGAAGATTATAATCCATTTATCTATCATCATTAATAAGAAGACTATCATTCATTTGAAAAAATATTTTAGAATCATTTTGATATTATTAATAATAGATGGATTACAATACCAAGATCTAAAATCTATTTATTAAGATCAGCTATGCATAAATTGAAAAAATGGTTACTTTATTTAAGATAAGAGCATAATATCATTTAATCTATCATTAAATAAAATGATGATCTCAAAATACAATTAAAAAAGAACCAAGAATTATAATCCAATCATTATCTAGTTGAATAACAAAGAATGAATCAAGTATTTCTAAATAAATTATTACTAAGTTATATGAAGAAATTAGAAATTTAAGATAAGAGTTAAAAGATAGAGTTTAATAAATGAATGATCAAATAAAATAACTCAAAGATTCAATTGGTGAAAAGGATAAAAAGATTTAAAGATAAGAGTTGACAATACAACGATTGAATGATGTAAGTAATGGATATGAGAATCAAAATAAAGGGTTATAATAATAAATAAACAATTTGCAAAAAGATTTTACATATTTCAATAATATAAAAAGGTAAGGTTTCATTGATGAGAAGGCATTAGTTGGTGGAAATATGAGTACTTTTGAGTTGATATTAGCATCTAAGGTTAAAAATAAACTATTATAATTCTTATCGTTAAAGGATTATCAAAATCTAATGATTTGCAACCGTAAATTATATCTTTCTTTAATATCACATAATACAATCATTCCTCATGCTGTAAATTAACTTAGTTATAAATTTAATCAGTAATTTAAATTATTGTAAAATGTGAATGAGGAATTCAAAGTATTGAAATTAAAAACATCATATAATAGAGTGTTATAAAATAGAGTGATGATCCTAAACTTAGAGAGATTATGATTAAGTAGTTTGAATTAAAGGTTAATTTCTCTGAGTATATCATTCCTACTTTACGTGAATGTTAATCTTTGATAGATGGAGATAATTTTATAGGATTAAAAAATAATCAACACAATAAAGATTGTAAACTATCATTATTAATTTAGTGATGGATCTTTTGGAAGGTTATTTAGCATAATAATCTTAAAGTTATTAGGCAGCATTACAGAGTTTAGTATAAGACAAATTCCCTTGGAATCAATTCTTTCCTAAAACTTAAGCTACTGTCTAATAAGTTTAATTATAAAGAAAATAATTTCCAACATCTTCTTAAATGTTTGCTTAATAAATAATCACAAGATTGTATGATCTTAGTACAGTCTGTGCTTAGGACTCTTCAATATTTGGGATGTTTTTATCATAATTATAACGTTGTTTAGCTTCATTATTTGTTTATGGTTAACATTTAACATAAGAAGTTAATGATTTATAATCACTTAATTATTATATAATGACTAAGTTTTTCTTTTTGTTAAAAGAAAAGAAAAATATTGAAGATTAATATGAAGATTTTAAAACATAATTAGGACTATATTAAGATGCAAAAAGATTTTTAAAGTAATTTAATTAATTAATATTATAAGTGAAAAAGTAAAAGGTTTAGAAAAGATTATTGAAGATAAAAATGAAAGAATAAATAATTTAAGTTAATAACTTTACTTGAAAGAGAGTTCATTAAAATAAAATTAAATAGTTGTTTAAAGAAATAATGAATCTATAAGATTATATTAAGATAAATTAAAAATATTGGCAAGAGAAGTAATGGATGTAAGAAGAAAATATAAGAATACTTGTATGGAGTATAATGAAATAGTTTCTAGGTTTAATATGTTAAAAATATAATTGGAGAAAATGGAAAAGCAATAAAAGAATTGAGTATAAAAATTATATTAAAAAAAGTATCCTTAATTTAAAATAAATGTCTTCTTCAAGTTCGTCAAGGTCACGATCACCAAAGAAGAATAAGAAAAGAGTATATGTTACAGGATATTCTCTTAAAGAGGATTAACATGATATTAAAAAGTTATTCAAAAAATTTGGAAAGATTGAAGAATTTGCTTGGAAAGGGAAATATTGTTTCATTGTAAATATAATGAATTAATAATAGGAATTTAAAGATCCAGAAGATGCAGAAAAAGCAGTTAAAAAAATGAATAAGGAAGAAGTAAAAGGATCAGTGTTATAGGTTGAGATGGCTCGTGGAAATAAGCCGAGCAAAAATAATGGCCTATGTTATTCATGCGGTCGTTCTGGACATTTGTAAGTTTTATAATAGCATTTACTTAAACATATATATAATACCATATATTTTTTATTATATTCATTTACCATTTTATTAGCGCTAAAAATTGTAGACATAGATCATCATCATCAAGTTCATCTAGCTCTAGTAGGTAAAAAATTAATAATAATAATTTTTTAGTGAGTCTAGAAAAAAACATAAGAAGAAACATAAAAAAAAGAAGAGCTCTTCCAGTTCAGATTCCTCATCAAGTAGTTCATCAAGTAGAAAGAAAAAGAATAAGAAGAAGAGTACAAAAAGAAAATCAAAGTCTTCATCAAGAGACTCATCAAAAGACTCATAACATTCAGAGTCTTCTGCCGACTCGTACTTTTAAAGTTGAATTCTCTTTAGCATTATTGGCGAAAAAAAAGAAGAAAAAAACCATATTCAAGAGGAGAATCAAAGAAATCAAGCAGATGGTAAGTAATGAAGTACCAGTGATATTATAAATAAAGTTGATGTCCAATAATATTCTTAGTATTAAATAATTATTTGTCAAATTTATTTTATTTCATTTCTTCTATATTTTTTTTATTTAAATTCTATACTATTACTTTTATAAACAAATTGATCTTCATAAAACTAGTCATTATTTGAATAATCATAAGAAATATTATTTTTTTATTCCTATTTAAAATTTGTTATCCTATTATTAATCATTTTAACCCATCTATTTCCTAGTAAAATTCCTAACTTTTTTGCTTTTTAATTAAATTATAAATTGTTTAACAATCTTTTTCCACTTAAATTAAAGAAATTTTTATTATTAATCCATCAAATATAAATTCCTTTATATTTTAAGTAGATTTTTGTAAAATTTTATAGGTGGCTGATTTCATTTTTAATTTACCCTTCAGATCTGTTGATAATTAATGAGATTTTAATCGTAATATAGTAATATAGGAAATACTACATATTTAACATTCTCTATAGAAAGTCTTTAATAGACAATTTTATATATACTTAATTTTCCTATTGCAATGTAAATATGAAACCATCAACTCAAAACACATTTAATTTGTTCATAAATTTTTTAGGCTGTTATGAAATGATAATTTCTATGATTCATCTTTTTAACTCTTTTTTTTTATTCATTGCGTAATCATTTATAATTAGTAATATAATAATTTTGAAGCGATCTCTTTCCATTGATCAAGTAAGTCATTTATAAACTAAATGAATAATTATTAGATATAATATTTTAAATAATAGGACTCTTATTTATAAGTGAGAATATTTATTATAACATCATCATATGAATTGATAATATTCCATAAATTATTTAATTAAGTTGCATTCTTTATTAATAAACTATTTTCAGGTATTATTTAACTTCATTATAAATATTATTCAACTTAGGATATTTTTATCAACAATTTATGATGCATTTTTTCAATTTTTAGATGCTTTTATAAAATTTAATTTATTTTATAAGATATTTAAGACATTTGGATAGTTTATATATATTGATGATTAATGATAAATGCACTTTTCAAATTCCGCAAGCAAATATATTAACTATGCCAAGAGAATTTTCACTTTCTTATTTTACTGCTACAGATCCATCTGTATTATTATCCCAATAACATGAAGCTGAAAGATTGACTCCACAATCAGCCTTTTAAAGTATAAGACAGCTAACAACAAATTTAAAATGTTTATTATTTAAGTCTTTCAATTTCGTGAGAATAGCATCACATATTATATTACTTTTTTTCTGTGCCTCATCACTATTATCATATTTATAATTTTTTATTTCTTAATCAAGTATTGCCTAAGCTACTTTTGTTGCTTCTCCTTTCAAAACATTATTAAAAACGTCCTCTTTTTCAAAATTTGCCATATTTTTTTTTTCTATTATTTAATAATTATTTTATTGATATTGATAAAAAATAATTTTAATTTATCTAATATAAAATGTAGAAATCTAAATGAATCAATATTAATATTGTTTAATATTATTTTTATAAATAACACAGAAAAATTTATCATTTTTTATATATTAATGTATTGATTAAAAGCTTTGAAAATTAAAATCATAATAATATATCATCTAATTTTGCTTATGGATTTTTTATTCTATTTGCTTTTTCTAAAAAAATTGTTAGGATTTTATATTTAAATATCAAACTATTAAAAATCCAATTTTTTTTAGACGCTCATTTTCTCTTCATTTGATATCATACTTTAAAATTTATTTCTTTACGAAATGCTCTTCAAATGGCTTTCTTTTTTCTGTATTTTAAATTAACATTCTGTATTTTAAATTAACAAGGAGTAATAAACATTAACTGATCAATTATTTTATTAATAAAATATATAATGCCAAATATTTGTTAAATTAAAACTGATCATTTCGGAATTAATATATTTATTAAACCCATAATTTTAAACTTTTGATTTCTATATATAAGAAAAAAAATTATTTAATAAAAATTCAATAGAAATTTGCAAGTACCTTACTAAGAAGAATTTTAAGATAGTAGTGCATTATGGAAAGATTTGATATTAATTATATGGATCCATTTATAAACGCTATCTTTATTCCTATAATTAATTAAAATGAAATATTAATTCGGATTCTAAGTTCATTGTAGATGGATTTCTCAAAATAAATACAAGAATATATATATTTTAAAGAACAAAATGTTTTATAGTAATGTGTTTGAAGATTGGCATTTTAGAGTTTAGAAAAATCTTTTGGATGCGTGAAACTGAAAAAAGAATTTTAAAACACTCTATATGTCAGGAAGATCTTTTGTATTGTAAATAGTTTGTTAAATTATTTCTCCAATTATTCGTTTAGAAGATTATTAATACTTTAAACCCTTTAGAATACTAAAAATTATTAATTATAGTTTACCATATTATTTATATGTTTATGAAATGCTTTTCATTTAAAAAAATGGAACATTTACTTATAACTTTAATAATTTTAGAAATTTTGCCTGATCCAATTGATTTGGAAAATCTAGAAAAGTTTTAGTTGTTTTCTCATTAAATTTAGAATTATTTTAAATTAAAAATGCCACAATTTGTTATGAAAAATTAGATTTGAATAACAATTGAAATTTCTTTAGAGTTTTTCAAGATTTTCTGTATTGTCTTTAATGTTGATTGTTTTATATTAAATTGGAAATTTGGGATTATCTTGTTATTTTTTATAGAAGACTTTTCAAATTTACCAATCTTTTTTAGAGTTGTTCTTTTATTGGATTTAAGTTTATTTTAGAAATCAAACTTTAAAATGAAATCTTAATAAGAATATAATAGTGAAAATAATCTTAGAATAAGAATAAGAATAATAAAATCAATAATAAATTAGAATAGAAAGTTATTAAGAGTGAGAGATATATACAAAAAGAATGGAAATAATTAAGATTTTAATAATAATAGAGACTTATGAAAATTAATAATTAGTACAAAATCCTTATGAGAAGAATTATTTAATAAGAGCCTTAAAGATTAACCTAATTATTTGGAAGATTTTTGAAATACTCTTAATTTTAGTATATTATTGTAGTTTTAGCCTGCTTAAATTATAAATGATTTTTACTGGAATAAAATGATGTTTTATTTAAAGAATTAAGTGATTGTGTTGTAAAATATTAAAAAAAGTGTTTTCTTTTTGATATTTTATGACATAATAAATTAGTCTTTATCATAATTCTTTAATTTTTACAGTAAAATCATCACCTTTTTAAAATCCTGCAATTTAAATTAGTTGTTTTATGTATGAATATTTAAACAATTGAAGTTTACATATCATGTTTAAGTACGAATTGATGTCCAACAGAAACTAAGAGTGAGTTTGTTAAATTCTTGTTTTTTTTAGAGGAAATATTTCAAGTAGATAACTTTATAATAGGATTCCACACTTGGTTTCTGTTTCAAATATTTATTTACCAAAATCTAGTGCTTGTACGCTAACTTATATACAATGCCAATGAAAAGAATGAAAATAATTAGAAGAAAATAAATTATTCATTTTGAAAAGAATGTAGTTAACTTAATTTTAGGATAAACTCATTTGAATGAAGAAATAGAAAAAGAAAATAGAAGAAAATAAGAAGAAGAATTTTAGATGAAAAATAGAAGTTTAAAGAGAAAATAAAATAAGAAATATTATGAAAGAAGTTCAAATGTTGTTTTCCAAGAAAATAAGAAGAAGAATAAGAGATTAGAATAGAATAAGAAAATAAGATTAGAAGATATGAAGATAAGAGAGACTATTAAAAATAAAAAAATAAAAAAAATAAACTAACTTTAAATATATGACGTAGATAGATTATTATTAGGCTACGTCGCTAGAGTGAAGTGTATTATCAAGACCCCTGAATAAACCTAAAAAATAAAAGATAGATCTAAAAATATAAGAAATGATAATAAAATTGAAGTAGATAAATTAATTTTAGGTTCAAATCACACATTGTTTTGTTTCTGAAGTTGAACTAATTAAAAATCAATAGAAAAAGCACTTTAAGATTTCGAAATAATTGTTTCATTCAAAAAAGAAGAATTAATAAATGAAGTAACTACCTTTATTTTAGATTCCTCACGTGTAGTAGATGATAATAATAGCGAAAATGAATTCTAATAATAAAAAAATAAAGAATAAGTTGAAGATTTGAATGATAACAAAAGTTTTGAAAGAAAGGTTCGTATAAAATGACATAAAGATCTATCTTTTAATTTTTTATAAAGTAAAGGATTCTATAATAGATTTAAAAAAAGAGTTGAAGTATAAAGAAGAGTAAAATAAAATTTTAGAAGATAAAGATTAAAGTTTAAAAGTATTTATTAGTTAGCCAATGATCTATTCTTTACAGAGTTGAATTCTTTCTTTCGATACCAGAGTATTACCACCTTGACTAGCAGTACCTCGAACATCCAGAACCTCTAAGTCTAGAACCTTAAGAAACAATATAACTAAGATCTAAGACCAATAAACCAGAGATAGACATAATAGATTCAATCTAGAGAAGTTACCATAAGACCAATAGAAAATCTAAAAAGACATAGAAGTTTTCTACCTTGTTCTTTTTCCAGTTGAGCCAAAATAATCAATATATCTTTAGAGAGAACCTAGTAGTCTACCCCATGAGACAAGACTTTAGAATTAATAGAACAAAAGTACATAGTATCAAGAGAGAAAAAGACAGAGACAGACTATTCTAGATTTTCTTCAAAAGAACTAAGCTTCTAAGATTCCTTTATAGAATAATTCTCAACTTCCTGTTTTATTAGATGTTCCAAATTAAGAATTCAGATTACAGATAATCTTTCTAAGATTCCTTTTCCTTTAAAATATGTTAGACCAATCATTAAGAACTAATAATCTTTATGAACCTATCTAAGAACCCTAATTTGTTTATCAACCTAGCTGTCCCCTAGATTTTTCTAATTTTATTAAGATAGAGACATTTCCTATTAATTTAAGAGATTGTTCCTTTATAAGAGATTGTTCCTTTTATTTTAAGAGCCAATTCATAAGAATATTTCTTTATATTAATAAAGTTTGAAGTCATAATAAAAGAGTAATAAGAATTCCTTATAATGTCATTATTAAGTCTAAAGTAGAGATGCCTATTTATTATAATAATACCTTAAAAATCCCTAGTTATTAATGATTTGATTACCCATCCTAAAAATTCTTAAAAAATAAGAATAGATCGTAATTTCTAAACAATCCTTTAAATAAGAAACCTTATAAAATCTGTTTTTAAGAATAATTGATTTGATGATACTTTTTTTGGAATAATGAATTCCTTAACATCCTCCTTCCTTAAAATGAGAAATAATATAAATTTGTAGTGTGTGTGCCAATAAGCCAATAAGCCAATAATGAAAGTTGTGCCAACTTGCCCATTTATTGAGTTTTTGACTTGAGCCACCAATTCAGATAGAAAGAGTTACTAACACTATATGATAATACCNTTAGTTAGCCAATGATCTATTCTTTACAGAGTTGAATTCTTTCTTTCGATACCAGAGTATTACCACCTTGACTAGCAGTACCTCGAACATCCAGAACCTCTAAGTCTAGAACCTTAAGAAACAATATAACTAAGATCTAAGACCAATAAACCAGAGATAGACATAATAGATTCAATCTAGAGAAGTTACCATAAGACCAATAGAAAATCTAAAAAGACATAGAAGTTTTCTACCTTGTTCTTTTTCCAGTTGAGCCAAAATAATCAATATATCTTTAGAGAGAACCTAGTAGTCTACCCCATGAGACAAGACTTTAGAATTAATAGAACAAAAGTACATAGTATCAAGAGAGAAAAAGACAGAGACAGACTATTCTAGATTTTCTTCAAAAGAACTAAGCTTCTAAGATTCCTTTATAGAATAATTCTCAACTTCCTGTTTTATTAGATGTTCCAAATTAAGAATTCAGATTACAGATAATCTTTCTAAGATTCCTTTTCCTTTAAAATATGTTAGACCAATCATTAAGAACTAATAATCTTTATGAACCTATCTAAGAACCCTAATTTGTTTATCAACCTAGCTGTCCCCTAGATTTTTCTAATTTTATTAAGATAGAGACATTTCCTATTAATTTAAGAGATTGTTCCTTTATAAGAGATTGTTCCTTTTATTTTAAGAGCCAATTCATAAGAATATTTCTTTATATTAATAAAGTTTGAAGTCATAATAAAAGAGTAATAAGAATTCCTTATAATGTCATTATTAAGTCTAAAGTAGAGATGCCTATTTATTATAATAATACCTTAAAAATCCCTAGTTATTAATGATTTGATTACCCATCCTAAAAATTCTTAAAAAATAAGAATAGATCGTAATTTCTAAACAATCCTTTAAATAAGAAACCTTATAAAATCTGTTTTTAAGAATAATTGATTTGATGATACTTTTTTTGGAATAATGAATTCCTTAACATCCTCCTTCCTTAAAATGAGAAATAATATAAATTTGTAGTGTGTGTGCCAATAAGCCAATAAGCCAATAATGAAAGTTGTGCCAACTTGCCCATTTATTGAGTTTTTGACTTGAGCCACCAATTCAGATAGAAAGAGTTACTAACACTATATGATAATACCTGCTGAGCCTCCAGAGATTCAATTTGTATCCAATGAATATTAAATTCATGGAAAATTGGTCCCTTCCCATATATTTTATGGTTGCCTTAGAATGTGTATGTGTGAGTCCCTTCAACACAATGATGTGTTTGATATATAAATTCCTTGGAAGTTGATTCAGAGACTATAGAGAGAGTGGGCTATAGAGAGAGTGGACTTAAGACATGACATGCCGACTAAGATGAGAGAACAGAATATTTAATAAGAGAGAAGGGAGTGACTATATACTATGGAGGAATATTTGGATATTAGAACTAATTCAAAGAAGAACTTAAGAAATTGGATATGGAATCTAGAATATCTACTACTATTAGAATTAGAAACTAGAAATAACAAAAGGGCATTGTAATTAACAAATTATGCTTACAGGTAAATATTTATTAATAGGTATTAATAAAATAAGAATGGAATGAAATGACACAACAGAATTGATTCAGACAACTTAGACCACAAAGTGGAAAGAGATATTTGGATCAAATTTGGATGTGAATTTTTATACATTTGTATATATTATTTAAATACAAACAAATAAAAATATCAATTTTCCTGATCATCTTTAAGTTAACACTTTTTTTTATTACTATTATTTTTAGCTGGAGTAGCAACTTACCATTCAGGATATGTTGAATCTCTATCATGATGTAAATATCTAAAATTGTAATATAAATATTTTACATCCATATTTTTTTTTCTTAATCATATTTAACACATGGGTCAGTTGATTAATGCAATCTATCTAATGCTCCTGAAATAATTGAACTCATTTTCTCTTCTGGTAAATTTTCATTAATATATTAAGAATCTCTAACTAAATTCACAATATCAGCTCTAGTTCCAAAACCTTTAGGTAATCTTGCGGAAGCATCTCTTACAAGTGATAATATTGTAACATATGTAGGTCTTTCATTCTTTAATAATTCATGTTATCTTGGTTTCTAACTTGATCCAGATATCAATTTCTTAGCAACTGGTGCTACTGTTACTTTAGAACCATCTATGCATGTAAATGTATATGGTTATAGTGGATTTTAATATCTTTCTCTTTCCTATTTCCAATAAAATTCTAACCATTCTCTATTTGTTTATCCATTTGGAATATTAGACTCTTAAACATTTTAAGTTTAATTCTTATTTTATTATTTTATTGATTTTTTGGCTTGCATTAATGCTAATGTCATTGCTGTTGTAGCCATTGATGTAGATGTTAAAGGTGGTAATGGTGTTATTGGAGTTATTATAAATAATGATTATGCTGATGGTATAAATTATTATTAAATCTAAGGTTAAGGCTATAATGAATATTATTGCATATTTGCTGATGATTATGATTAAGATGTTTATGTTGAAAATCCTTCCTCATCTTATTCTTCATTCTCATCTAATTTTATTTATTTACTTATTTCATAATCCTCAGATATTTATGATGGAGATCTCTAAAATTATATTCTTTTCTTTCTTTAAAGTACATTCGAAATTCTATTCCCTTCTCTATGAAAATTATCATATATATTTGAATAATATTCATTTTAATGATTTCTAGATATCTTCTATTCCAATTTATCACATATTTCTTTATTTCTTGTAAAATATCCACTTTTCATTTTCATTAGGAAAATATTTAATGGGCTTCCAAAATGAAAATTTTTATTCCCCTCTATCACATCCTAAAATAATCCCAAATCAGCTTCTGGCAATAAACAACATAATGAATCTATCTCTTATTTCGTAAAATTCTCTATTTAAAATACCTATCATAATAATATATTCCTTTACATTCTCTAAAGAAGACATTCCCAATATACTTAATGGTAAAATGTATTATTATCCTTTGTAATATAAAATTATTTTGTCTCCCTAAAATACTAGAATATATTTATTTAACATTTACTTACTTTATTCTTCATCTTCTCCTTCATCACTTGTAAATTATTTAAAATTGTCATACAACATTTCTAACTTTATTTTATAAACTATTACATTATTCTACAAACTATTCCAAGTTTTTCTTATTTATTTAAAAAGTCTTTTGATAATGATCAACACGCGAATTCATTAAAATTTTAAAATAAGTTATTATAAAATCAAATTTAGGGTTCCAATTACTTTTTTACTTCTCTAATTACAGAGATTATATCTATTATTTTTATTGGTTTTGAGACAAAAGCATCAAATCCTTTCTATTAACATTTTTCTTTTTCTTTCAAATCATCATAACCACTCAATGCAATTATATAACTTTTTGGAACGAGATTATTATTCTCCTATACTTTATTAAATTATATCAATACCAAAATTCGAATCTATTCTGTAGCTTCATATCCATTCATTATTGGCATTGTTAAATCCATAAATATATATTAATATCTTCTATGATTCATTAAACCCACTTTTATCTTTTAAATTGCTTATTCTCCATTATAAGCTTCTTCTACTGTAATAAAATCATATTTTCTTAAAATCAATCTAAATGCAATCACATTCACAGGTGAATCATCTACAACTAAAATTGTACAAGGTTCTGGGAATAACATTCTCATCATATCATCTATTGATTCTGTTATCTACATAGGTTTACATTATCTATTTTAATTTAGAGGTGACTCTGTACTATCAATATGATATATAGGTGTATTCATTGGACTATTATTATCAAATTATTTATTAATTTTTTAAATTTATTTAGCATGAGTTATTTCACTACTTAATTCTAAATATTATTCTATATTTTTTGATTTTGAATGATCAGAATCTTCAACACTGCACAAATTGCATAAATTACCTATATTACTCTAATCTCTTTTAATTAAAGATTTTTTTTAAGTTTTCTTTCTTTAAACTTTTCTAAATTAATAAATTTAATTAGATGACTTTTTATCTTAAATTTCTTAGAGTGTTGAAATATCTTTTTTATTTAATTTTTTAGCATTCTTTTAACTCTACATTTAAGATGCTAAAACTTATTGATTAAAAATTGTTATTTAAGATGTTAATAATTAATTTGCTGAATTTTAATCAAATGACATTTATTTTGTATCTTATTTATAAAAATTAGTCATCTCTTTTGAATTAGTAATGGTTGTTAAATTTCTTTAATCATTATTAATATAAACATCAAAACTAAATTTAGATCCAATACCAACTTAACTTATTAATTCAATATTATCAGTTGGTCCTAATAATCCAACTAATTTCTTACAAATAACTAAACCCAATCCTATTCCATGTTTATTTGAACCATTATTCGTAATATCAAATGTACCATACATTTGAAATAATTTAGGTTTAATATTATCAGGAATACCTACTCCTGTATCTGATACACTTATTGTAATGAGTTTGACTTATTGATTTTCAATTTCACTATTTTTATAATCAACAACTATATCAATTTTACCCTTCTCTGTAAATTTTAAAGAATTACTTAAAAGATTCAATAAAATTTATTTAATTCGATTCGGATCTGAATACATCAATCTATCTCCAAAAGTTATATTTTTCTATACTATAATACCTTTCTAATTTGCTAATAAGGATACAAGATCAATAATCTCTTATACTATTGCTTAAATATAGAATGTAGTATTAGTTAATCTTAAAGAGTTCTTTTAAATCCTTGAAAAATCTAGAATGTCACTTATCATGTATAATAATAATTAAGCCCATTTTTTTAGTATAATTAAATAGTTAATTTCCATTTAATCAACAATTATTCTAAAGAAATTATTATAAATATTAATACTATTCTAAATATTGAACAATAGCTACTATTCCATTTATTGGAGTCTTGAAATCATGTGATACACTTACTAAGAGATCATCTTTATATTAATCTCTCAATTTTAATTCTTCAATTTATTATTACTATTATTTTTCTTATTAAGATTAAAAAATAAGCATTATTGCTGGTTATTGTTCCCAAATCACTTCAAGTACATCAATATCTGCTGGAAAGTAATTTTTAATTTATTCTTATTGTTATAAAGTTAGTGAACATATTTCAAGAGTACAATGTTCAAATCGCTTTTTACTATGATATTAATATTATCTATTTTTTTAGAACTTTTTTATAATTAAATATGATGCCAAGCATTCTTTATTTGATTTTGATGTTATATTTTTGATTATTTAAGGTGTTAGTCCATAATAATCTATTTTAAATTAATTTGTCATAAACTTATATTCTAACATTAAATTCATAACATACTTTCATCTTGAATGATACAAAGTGATATTGGAAGGGATTCTTTAAAAAAATCAAAAATTTATCCAACCTAATGTTTTTCTATATTCGGTGTTTTATGCTTTAAATAAAGAGCTTTTTTATAAATTCAAATTATTACTTCTCATTATTAAGATCGAATATCCAAATATAGTTAGATATGCCAAGGGTTATGAATAAAAAGTAGTTCTAAAAAGTAAGTAAAAAAGTGAAAACACAAAATATAATAATTTTTATGTATCAAGCAAGATGTAAGCACTTAACAATAATCTCATACTTAGATAATAACCTAATATCTAATATAAAAAATTGGTTTTACTTCTTTATTCATATTTAATAATTCATTTGATAGACATATACTTCCTATAAGTAATATTAATAATATTTTCTATCCAAAACATCCAAATATTAATAGCAAATCTATTAATAAATAGTAATTATCTGATTATTGAGTAACTCCATTATAAATTGCTAGTATAATGGATTATAAAATCAATGTGGCAATAATAATTATCATATATTTAATTAAATATATATATATTATTGTTATTTCTAATCAAGAACATTCTCATATAATTAACTAAAACTCAAATTAAACCAATAAAATGTAAATATAGATCAAAAATAATATTTGCTGAGTATTTTTTTAAGTTGTAGAGTATCTATAGGTTTAGGCAAAATATCATTCATTCCTGATTTATAAGCAATGTCAATATTATCTTTACTATCAAAAGCACTGCACATAATAATAAATGAAGTAATATTCTTTTATTATAAAAACTATGAGATTTCTTTGCTACATTGATAACCATCAATTCCAGGCATATCAATATCCATAAAAATCAATTTATATCCACATTAACAATTATCATACTTATTCTTAACCATTTCAATAGCCATACTTCCATCATAAGCACTATCACATTTTATATTAAAATATTTTAAAACTGTGATGAAAGCTAAATGATTAAAAGGAATGTCATCAACAATTAAAACAAGATTACTATGACATTATTTTTTGGTTTTACTTTTATATGGTATTTGAATAAATTCATCTGTTGGAATAGTTAAAATCTCTTCTTGTGTATTCAAATCTTATACATAAAAGCGACTCTTTGTAAATTAATTTAATGAACTTGTTATAATCAGTTCACCTTTTTAACATAATTTAAATGCTATTTAACTTGAAACTTTTAATCCTAAACCAACATATTAGATATAATCCTCATCTCCTCTTTTTAAAATATCCATTTCTTGATTCTATAGAATTTTATTAATAAGATATAGTTTCTCTACAGAAATGCCACATCCAGTGTCAAATACTTCAAAAGAATACATAGAACCTATTCTATTAATGTTAAATTATATTTAACCATTTTGTTTTGTAAATTTAACTGAATTATTTAATAAGTTAACTAAAATTTAAATTATCCTATCAAAATCATTATTTATGATACAATCATCACAAGTTTAAACTATAAAATTTATTTACTTTTATTAACATTCATCTTTAAAATAATATTCAATTGTTTATAGTAATGTTGATATTTTAAATTAAGTTGGTCTTAATTAAAATGTTTAAGCTTCAAAATTTGCATAATCAAGAATATCATTAATTTAATGTAATAATTTTTTGTTTGAAATTATTGCAGGTTTTAAATATTTTTACTCTATTAAATTATGTTATTATATTTTATCAGATCTTAATTCTTATTCTAAAATTTATAATAGTGATAAAGAACAATTTAATGGAGTTTTTAATTCATGAGAAAATGAGTTTATTAGCAATGATTAGAAACGAAATCTTTCTCGAATTTCAAATTATCTTTCTTTTTTTGAAATATTTTAAATACATATCATACTACCTTAAGTAATTTCATATATTTTAATTTCATATGTCTTATTAGCATTTAGATCTCTATATTTGAGAGAATTTTAATTACAACTCTCTGAAACTCCCTTTATTGTTTTATGCTTATTAATTATTTAAGATATATCAATTAAATTATTAAATTATCTCTGTTAAGATATAGCTTTCTTTCTTGTTTAACTAAAAGATTATAATCTTCTCATTTAAAATTCAGAAGCTTAATCTTCAGAAGAATTAAAAATAGATTTTTTATCTAATTATTATAAACAAGCCCTTATTTTTAAGATATATTATACCTTGAAATCATCATAAATAATTGAGATTGAAAATTTTCTTCTTTTATATTCGAACAATATTTTTTAGCTTTGTAGTTAGAATTAGTTATGTTTTATTTATCATCTAATATACAAATTCCAAAAGGTAAAAAATTAAAGAGATCAAATACATCCTACTAATCACTTTAAGAATTGATATTTAGATATGATAATTTCCTTTCAGATGTGAACTAATTCTTACTTTTTTATAATTTACTATCCTAAAAATAAATAATATGATACATGGGTATAAATATAAAATATGAATGATATAAATAAGATTCCTAAATAAACCCAATCTATTATTTAAAAAACTTTGAAATATATTAAGCTAACTCTACAGCAATAAAAGACCAGTATTACGATCTTAAACTTGATTTTTAAATTTAAAGTGGCTATAATTGGAGGTGTAAATATATGATCAAAGAAGCTTAATTCTAAGAGAAGTAAAATTCTAAAATATTTCCAAATTGAATGCAAATTCTTTTTTAGTAAAATGATTAATATAATTAAATTTGCACCTGATATTATTATTAGATATATATCTTCAGAGAAACTTGCAGTAATGAGATGTTTAAGAGCAAATAAAATTTGTATTCCAATTTTACTTTTATATTTTATCATAATATTTAAATAATTAATAACAAATAAGAAATCTCGAATAAATTAGCAATATTAAGATGAAAAATTAAATAATAAAAGAAATTATGATGCCAAATGATATTTAATCTTTTTTAAGATATAAAAATACTGATGATATTGTGTGATGTCAAAATCATTCTGGTAATTGTTAAAATTAAAATTATTCATCTGACATCTATCTTCTTTTAAATTATTGGGCTGCTTAAATAATGATAAGTCAATACATGAAAGCATTCTTCCTGTAGATCTACTTTCAAGGGATTTTCTAGCTAAATCATTATAATCTTGATTAAGTTCTAAAATTAATAATTAAATATAACTTGTCCTCTTAAGTATAATTTATTTGTAAATTTCATTCTTTTCATTATCTGGTTACCAATAATTTTTATTATAAATTGACGAAGCAGATTAAAGTCGAGAGAGAAACTTTTAATTTTCTTGATTAATTTTGTATTTCTCGAATTTTCGTTAATTAAGATTGCTGACATGTGATAAAGATAATGGTAATTATCCAGAACTTTAACTTCTTAAATTATGTCTTTAAATATCCATCATTTTAGATAACAATATGTTATTTTAATGCATTATTTTATTCTCCTCCTCTTTGTTAATTTTTATATATTAAATTACAATTAGTATATTTATTGTTAACTTTGGACAATGAATGAGAAGGTTTCCATGGTTCTGCATTATTAATTGTTTTTCTCATATTTTTACAATTTAATAGTAATCTCTCTTAATCAGAAACTAATTTCTTTTTCTAACAAATCGGATTAATTGAGATTATATTCCACATTATAATTAATAAAATAATTAAAATATATTAATTTAAATCAGGAAACTTAAACATTCATATAATTTTTACTCTTTCTCTTTAAAATTTCTATTGCAAATCTCCATCTTCTACACATAATAATACTGAATAATAAAAAAATTATAAATATTATAAATCCTGAAATTAAAACAACTTCTACAAGTAATTGTGATTATAAGTCTAAAAATATTTCATTTATTGATAGATTTATTAAATGTTATTCTTGACAAACAATGAATGGATTTTTTTCTGCATTTTTACATTAAGTTGAATTAATTACAATCATATAACTTTATTCAATTTAATTTTAAGATGAGCATTATATTTCTGGATATCTTTCCCTAATACTTAATCCATATAAATAATGAGGAGTTATTCCTAACGAAAAATGTACTATTGAATAAGAATCTTCAAATATAATTCCTTTAAATTCTTAGATTTTCTCTAATAAAGGTATCATAAAATCAGTTCCATGATAGAAATTATCATTAACAAATCCTCTATAAATATTACTTCTCACTAATTTATGCACATCATAACCAATCAAAAATTAATATTCTTCTGATTCTTACACATCTTTTAATTACATATCTTCTAAATAAAATTTGTTATAAAAATATTCTTAGTTTACAAAATTTATCAATATTTCAATTCCAAATCTAACTTTATCTTCATTCTAGGTAATAACTAAAAATTAATTATTTTTTTAAACAAATGAAATTGGATATTCAATAGGAATAAAAAATTCTAAATATATTAATTATAATATTTTACTATCAATTATAAAATTATCTTCTTTTAAAGAAACAAAATGTATTCCTTTTTTATCATCTAATATAAATAGATTATTTTCATTAGTCTAAACCTTTATAAGATTATAATCCATATTAATTGTATACACTTTTTTAATCTCTTCATTTTCAAACTTATAAACAATTACTCCTTATGTTCCAGCAACTATAAATATTCTATTTAAAAATTCATCATAATGAATTTGATTAATATTTTTCACTGTTTCAAATTTATATTTGGTTATATTAGGTAAAGTATTATTTATCCATTATTTTGTATTAAAGCTTAAAGCTCCATTTTCTGATATTATGAATAATTATTCTTTAATTTATAAAAACCTAGGTTTTCTGAATTAAATCACTTTTAAATCATTAGAAAAGTCTAAATATTATTATAAAACATGGATTTTCTATTAAAATATACTAAAATTTAATGTACTTTCAATTCTTTCCCATTAATTAAAATATCTGTTTTAAAAATCTTATTATCATTCCTTAATAAAAATGCTGATAGTCCAACAATAGCAAAATCAGTAAAAATATATTTACCATCATCAGGGAGCTGATATTATATTTAATCTTCAACTTTTATTTTTCTTTAGAAATAAGAGCATCCATTTCCATAAAATTAACTATTATTTATCTTTTCATAATCACTCAAATTTTTTGAATTACTTATGCCTTATTTGTAATATAAATTAACATCATATGCATTAGGATATTTTAAATGATAAAAATTATCAGTGTTTATAGATACAGATGAATCAGTTTCATTAAATTTTTTAATTTTTATTTAAGGAGTTCTTGTCCAATTTGAATAAGTTAAACCTAATAGTGTTGATAAAATTAATTATGAAAACATTTTTATATAATAAATTAAGAAATTTATAACATGAAAATTAGTGATATTTTTATTTGCACTAGTTTAAAAGCTATATACAAAGAGAATTAATAAAATAAATAAAAATTTTCATTTTTATTCACTTCTAGCAGTTTGCAAATCATTAAATTATCTTTTTGAATTCCCAAAAGGACATTAAGTAACAATTCCACTAATTCCTGAAAATTTAAGTAATGGTTGATCAAATTGTAAAGGTCTAACTGCTTTAGGTTTTTTTTATTCCTAATAAATTGGTGAAGTTTCCACTTTATGTTTTATGAGTTTTTTATTCTTAATATTAATTTGAATATTATTCATTTTCTATTTTAGTTATTGATTATCTAATTTTAATTTTTCTGATTACAATTAACATTAATTGAGTTATTATATCAATTTGTTTTCTGAGATGAAATGCTATTCTAATTAATTTTTTAACTTATCATTTTCTTATTATAAAACATTAATTTTATTTCTCATTTTTGAAGATGTATTCTAATCACTAGATGAATTGTTATGATTTTATTACTCTTAAATATTGAATGATATAAGTTTTTTTAATTCTGGATAATTTTTTCTTATTTCAATTTCAGATAATGATTACAAACTCTATTATATATTGGGTAATTGAGGACTCAATAGTAACTAAACTAATTATTCGATTGTTAATGTTATTATTGAATTGGTATTCATTTTATAAAGTTTAATTTATAAATATGTCAAATTAAGATGAATTAAAAAAGCTTATGGAAGAAAAAAGGAAATAAAAAATTACTTAAATTGAATTACCTAAAAATGCTTAATTGGTGGAAGGGAAAATATTTGTAATATCTAAAAATAATAATTAAATAGTGTATAGAATGTGAATAAATGAATGAGACTTTGGTAGATTTCAAAAGACATTTGATTGGCTAAAAACATAAAAATGCTTTGTAAGTATTGAAAAGAAATGCCTAAATAGATGTAAATAGATTGGAAAATGAAGCATTTCGTGAATAGAAAATAAGAAAATAAAAATTAACAAGACAATAAATTGAAAGAATAAATAAAGAAGTGGATTAAGAATTTGCAGAAATTGAATAAATTACATATGAAGTTAAGAATTAAAATGATTTACCTGAAGATTTCTTTGAGTAATAATTGTTTTATATTTTAATTAGTTAAATTGAAGTAGAAACAAAAATTTAATAACAAATGTAAGAAGAATAATAGAGGAAGATAAAAGAATAAAACGAATAAAAAATGGATGAGGACATTGACATATAGAATGAGAAATAGGATATTTAGAAAAGAAGAGAAAAGATATTAAAGAATAGAAGTTAGAAATAGAAGAAAGTCGAATTTGAATTTAATGAGGAAGAACTATAAGAAGGAGATTTTTAATTAAATTGGAAATAAAAGGGTAATAATTGAAGAATTATATAATAATATCAATAAAATAAATATGTTAAATTTATAAACTGTTTTAAAGGGATTTGATGAAAATGGTTTAAAATAAGACAGGTATTGTAATTAAGATGAAATTTTGAATAAATTGGATAATATGGGTAGGAGAGAATTTGATCGTGAGATTGCTTAATAGATATTTGAGTAATGTCGTCCAACATAATAAAATTTGAAATTTGTATACAGACTAGCAGATATTAGTTAAACATTGGTAGATGCTAGTTTAATATTGAGTGAAAAGATAAAGAAGGCAGAATAGTAATTAAAGTTAATTTGTTAAAACAAAGCAATTTGCGAGAAATAATTATCTGAAACATGTATATTTTATATTAATCATTAGCTGTTTATTCAGATACAAGATATTTATTTTTGACAATATTGTCTGCTAAAAATATACCTTTAAAGTTAAAATACACAAATTGTTACTTATAATTAACTTTGGGTGTTACAAATTAAATAGCAAAGCCAGAATAATAATATGATAGAGTAAATCCAGAATTTAATTAAGATTTTGAATTGTAATGAAATAATTGTTAAAGTTAATTTTAAGTTCAATTCCTCCATTGATAACATCACTTTTGATTTAGTTTTACATTTAGACTAATTCTGCATCAACAACTGTATGGGGATAAGCATAATTACAAATTCAATAAATAGATGATTAAGCAGTAAAAGAAATGGAGTTATAATTGAAAGATCCATAAGGAAGAGAACTTGGTTCTACTATAGAATTAGAAGCTTAGATAGTATTAAATAAAGTATAATTTAATAAAAATAGTTAGCATTAATATTTACAAACTTAACTTTAAAAATTCGATTCAAAAATATATACTTTGGAAAATGATTTGAATGAGTATAGAACAGATTTAGATGTTGTTGAAAGACCATTTAAAATAAAATTAGTTAAAGAATAAAGTTTTAAATAATAAAAGAATGATTCGTTTGAATAATTTAATTAAGAGTAAGATTAAATAAATGAAATTGATTAATAACATCCAATTTAATAATAGGTTCCTGAACATAATTAATAATTATTATCTGTATTATAATCAGAAAAACACTTAGAGTAATTTGATGAAACACCAGATGCTCCTGAAATTTTGTAACATGGTGTTATAATATTCACTATTTATGGTTTAATAACATTATTTGTTTGTTCTGCTAAACCATCATTTTTAGATGTCATTATTCAATTATTATTAAAGGTTTTAGTTTGTCATGGTCTTATGTTTACTATATTTATGGATAGATTTGAACCATTCCATTTGAAACTAGTTGGAGGAGGTTTAGTTGCTTCAATATTTTATGATATTTTATGGATGAAATAATACCATGTATGTATGAAAGATCTCATTTCTAGTTATGGTGGTAAAGTGATGATCAAAATAATCCAGAATGGGGATTGAAAGCACTTTCCTTTTTAAGATTTGTTTTAATCTTTACTTACATTTAATTCTTATACAAAGTATTCTAATATTTATCTTATTTCTAGTTTATTGTCTGTTACTATTTATATTAATTTCATAGAGAATCTATTGACCCCACTAAAAGATATATCTTTACAATTTGGAGAATACAATACAAAGTAGGTAAAAGTAGAGATAGTCTATACTTATAATGATTATGCTCTTATTTTTATATTTTAGTTTATTCGTTTACTTTATATTATTATATTATAAATGAACTATATAAATATTATAATCAATCATTCTTAATCCTCATCTTATTATTATTATTATTTTTGATTGTTTGGATTATAGTATGATTTATCTCCAAAAGTTCTTTTATATTTGTGATCAATTGCCCATGCTTCATTTAAATATTGTGGTTTCATTTCATCTAAAATTAAATACATAATTCTTACTTAAAAAATTATCTCTCCAAAAAACCAAAAATTCATCTATTTCTTCTTCTGTTTTTAATTTCTCTACAACTTATTTACCCTAATCTAAATTATCCTCATTTTTATTAAATAATTCTTCATTTTGCTTCAAATATTCAATTAAATTTAAAAATTATATATCATTAATACTTATTAAATTTTCTTCATATTTTAAATTATTCAAATCAAATTAATTTATTTAGTTGAATTATTCTTAATTCTTTAAATTTTCTATTTGTTTTGTAAATTAAATCTAAAATTTTTAAAAGGCTTCTTTTGGTAAATTTTTGTTTTTCTTATTAAAAGTTTATACTGATTTTATTAAATTTTTAATCTATTCTAATAATGAATCTTTTTTATTTTATTTCAAATTTATATTATATTTTTCTGCAATTAAAACTTTTAATTTATCATTTAAAGCACTTGCCTTATGATGACATGTTAAACATAAACATACAACATCATAAGATCTTTTTCCTTAGATATGTTTTTTATATATAACTGGAACAATATGAAATTTAAGAAGTTCATTTTCTTTTCCACATATTACACATTAATTTACTCTTTCTATTGTTATATACTAAGCTTTATCTGAACCTTCCTCTTTGAATCCACTTGGATCAAATTTTAATTAAATTGTAGGAGGATCTTCGCTAATTAAATCTGCCAATCCTTATTTTAAATACCATCTAATTTTCTTTTCATCACAATTACACAAAAAGAAATTTTCTTTTGTATAAATTTTACAATTTCCATATGCTGGTTTTTTTCTTGTATATTTTTCAACAAACTCTGTTTATTTTTATTTTTTTTCTTCAATTTTTTATTAGGTTTGTTAATTTTTATTTTCTGGTACTTACATTACTTCATATATTAATGATAACCCATATTTAATAAAATTTTGATCATAAATAAAGCTTTAATATAGACCCTTACAAAATAATTAAAAATAAACTTCCCAATCTTTATCAATCTATTTTGAAATATATTCTAATGTCAATTCATATTATTAATTTTTATAATTCTAAAATTCAGGATAATTCATCTTATAAATTTAAATATTGGTAATATTCAATTTTTAATAAATGTGAATAGCAATTAAAATAACTTTTTCATTCTCTTCTAAACATTCAACCGGATCATTATGATGAAGTGCATATTCCTATCTTACTTTCATAATTTCTAACGCAATAAATTTTACCAATTAGAGAGCTATTGGTTGAGCTTGCAAGTATTAATATATTGGAGATTTATCATCATATTCATTTACTACTTACATTAATAAATTAAATTCTTTTTAAATAATTTTAGCTAATTCTTAATTCGATAAAATAGGTTTTTTGTATTCTTTAGTTACAGCTTAATCAAATTTGCGTTTAAGTTTGACTTATTCTTTAATATCAAGTTTACTTAATTCTTAAAGTAATACATATCTTAAATATGGTAAATAATAACAATCATAAGCAGCGTAAATCAATTATTCTTAAGTTAAAGGCCTTTCAGCCCAATCAGAAGTCTACATATTTGTTTTATAAGATTTTGAAACTTAATGATCACAATACAATTTCCATAAATAAATCAAAGCACTTCCTCCTTCTATAATAGATATCATTTATAAATCTTACTTAATTTGCATTTATCTGCAATTTCTTTAATATCACAAAAATTTCGAATAGTAATTGAAAAGTCTCTTTTCAACCACTAAACATCAGTATTTCCTGCATAAAATACTTTTACTATTTATTCATCTTCAAATATCTGCTTTAAAACTTTAATCAATTATTAATTTTCTAATCCAATTTCAATGACATCAATAATATAAACATTTTCTTCATCCTTAAGTTAAACAATACTAATCTATCCATCAAAACCAATATCATTTGTATGTTCAATATCAACTCCAATTACATTACCTCTCAATTAAAATTAATCTAATTCATTTTCCTTAGAAATATATTTAAATAATTTGGTTAGATGTTATTTTTATTGTATTTTAAAATTTGAAATGATTTCTTCACAAGTATTACCTTAAACTGAATATAGTTTTTAAAGAACATCAATATTATCTAATTATTCTTACATAAATTAATTTATTTATTATTTAATATCATGATTATAATTATTATTAATTGTCTTATAATTAATCTTAATTTTCTTATTCAGCCAATCTAGCAGCTTCTTCTTCTGCCAATCTTTAATCTTCAATTTCTTTAAGTCGTCTTTCTTCTTCCAATCGTTTATTTTCTTCTTTCTCTCTTTTTTTTCTTGCTATTTCTTCATATTTATCAGTAATCTATTATTGTCTTCTTTTTAATGAATTTGAATGCTCAATTGTAATAATTTCTTCAATATTATTTAACATATCTTTATAAACTTAATGATTTACTATTAAAATTTGAACCATTATCATTTTCATCAATTAATTAACTTAAAACGTTTTCATAAACCCATGGTATATATTCATATAATAATGCACTTTCTAAAGGATCTCTAAAAACACCTAAATCTTTTAATTTCTTAAAAGTATTTAATTTCAGAGGATTGATTAGTGATTTTGATAAATCTCTACACACTATTTTTTAATGACTTTGCTTTTTAATTTTTAAGAAAGTTTCATATTATAATTTTCTTCTAGCATCTTCTTAATCTAATCTTTGTTGAACAGCTTCTAATCTTTACATTTCTGATAAAACTGAAGTCTTTTATTTTTCATGTTATTTCTATTATTCTTTCATTAATTTAATTTCTTCTTCTTCTAAAACTTCCATTCTTGATTGTTCTAATATTTTATTCATTAAGACTTATAAGATAGGTTCTACTTCTTAATCAAAATCAAATAGATCTCCTTCCCAAATTTAAGTTTCCTATAATTTTGAATAATTAATACTTTATCAATTCCATTTTTTTTTGGTACAAATAATCTATCAGGTGGTTTATCAATATAATAATCAGTTTAAGCATCCATTTCTTATTCAGGAGGTTTATCTGTTAAAATTTCTAAATATTCATCTGTTTAAATATCTATATTAACTCTGTTTTAAAAAGGTCTTGGTGTACTAGGATGTAAATAGGTAGTTTATGGTTATTATGCCTAGAATGATAATTTTAATATGTAACTGCTTTTTGTTATGGTTTTTTGAATGATTTGAGTGTCATTAATTTTTTATCTCCTTATGTTTAAACACTTGCATATGTATTACCTCTGACAACTCTTTTATCAAACATAATATTGCATCCCAACAATGAACTTAATATAATTATAATTTACCAACCTATTTTTTTGATCATCTGATTGTTATAATGGTTATTATCTATATTTAGTTTTGGGTTTAACAACTTCAGGAGCTGCTTTGAATTCATAATTCTCTCCAGCTAATGCTTAAGCTTATGCCATTAAAATTATTAAATAATATTAATATGTATTATATATATTATATTATGAAACTTAAATAAAACAATTCTGACAAATCATTCAATTTTTGAATTCTTTGCTGCTACTTGAATTGCTTCAATCATATGATTCCAAAATTCATTAACAACTACTTTTCTTGCATATTCTACAGTTGGTTCAAGTCCATAAACTCCTTTTTTATCAATAACAGTTCTCCCATAACATAATTTTGATTCACAATCAATTGCACAATATACTGGCTTTATTACATACATTTCAGGATGTAATGCATAAAATACAGCAACAGCTAAAAATAATTTAATTAAATTAAATACGATCATGAATTGGAGGATAATCAAAATCTTAAGCTTTATACGCTTATTAATATTCTTTAAGCATTTCTAAGCACCAATCTGAAAATTTAGTGTTAATACTTTTAATTCTTTATTAAAGAGGTTCAAGTAATTAACATGTCTAATTTAAAATAATTATAAAAATATATTACGTAAGTTAAATCTAATGATATCATAATTAATTTAAGTTTATGTTATTAGCATGTATCAATAACAAACTAAGCAGCTTCAGGATCTGAATAGATATTGTATTCAGAATTTGGAGTTACATTTCCAAATCCTGATGTACCACCCATGAATACAATCTTTTTAATTTAAGGAATTATGTCATCATGATCTCTCAATAACTTAGCAATGTTTGTCTATGGACCAGTAATGACTATTACAAACTAACTCATACATTTCTAATACCTCTTTTTCTCCTACTGTCTTCTTTATCAAATCATATAAATCGCCTTCAATTATAGGTTCAAAAGAAGAAATCAATTTATCTGTTCCATATAATCCTTAAAACTCATTTATCTAATTATATACCTTAATTTCCATGCATTTTAGTCGTGGCTCTTGTAGATTTTAATGAAAATTCGGCACCTTTATAAACTGGTACATCTGTTCTTCCTAAAGTACTAAGTAATCGAATTGTATTATTTGTACAGTTTTCAAGACTACTTTAATTCTCTCACTATTACCTTGTGTTTCCGAAACATGTAGAAATTCCAAGTAGATTTGACTTTGGATGAAACAATGATAGAATAACTGCCATAGCATCATCATTCCCAACATCACAGTCCAACCATATATTTACTTTTTCAGCTTACATACTTATCGATACAAAAAAAAATATTTAAATAATGAATCATTACCCAAATTAAAACCTGTTTTATTTTCTTATAGATCTTTTTTTATATTACTACTCAATAAATACAGTTTTTTATTCATTATATTTACTCCACCACCAAATAATTTTATTTATTTATACTTTTCTTTTCTTTTAGTATGAGTATACAAAAAACTTTTAGGCTGATTTTACTTACAACTTTCTTATTAATCTCAATTCTTAATAAAATAATAATACTAAAAACTTAAGATTTTTCTTTAAAACTTAAAAGATATACTTAACAATGACTTTGTGTTTTTAATTTCTCTAATAACAACTGCTGAATAATCATTTTGATTTTTTCATCCCTTCACCAGTAATTATAAATTGTCTACCATTCTTTTATTATATATTATTTTACACTATTATATAATCCTGTAAATTTTTTAAGGTTGCTGTTATCTTTGAATATCCTTAAGCTACTACACAAAAATCCTTTTAGTATAATCCTGCTCTTTCTCTATTTCAATATTAATTTTAATCCATTATAATCAATATATGACAATGTTCTTTCTGAACTAATTCTTGAATCTGATAAGATACAATTAGCTTATAATTATATTTATAAGTTTACTTTTAATTTTAACTAAAAGTTGCTTTCATTATTTTCATAATTTCTATCAATTTATATTCGACATGATTTCCTTAGACAATTTTTATAAAATCAAGTAAATAAGAAGAGTAAAAACATATTTTAATAAATAAGTTAGAAAATATAAATGAATTAGTAAAAAGAAAAAATGGTTAGTGAAACATATGTAAAATGATAGATATATAAATGAAAGAAAATATTGCTTTTTTATGTTTTAATGATACATCTTATTGATATCATTTTTTTAGGTTAATTAATTAATTTATTTTGTTTTGAGGAAGAATTCTTATAACTTCATTTTGAATTTCATCTTATTAATTTATTAACATCATTATTATCATATTATTATCTTGATTTAGTGTCTTAGAATTTTTCAAAATGATATAAGAATCTTTTTCTTATAGTTTGTGTATTGAAAACAAAAACCTAAATTTAAGATTGAGTTTTATACATATAAGATAATAATGGTTACATTTTTTGCAATTAAGTGTGTGTTATTCTCATAAATTGATTTTTTTAATTCTTTAAATTATGAATTATGATTGTAAATGAATTAATTTGATTAGTGTAAACTTTAAGAGAATTAAAAGGAAACTGAAAGAGTGAAATAATAAAAATTTAAATGGATAATAAGATTAGATTTGAATATAAAGAGAAAGTAGAAAAATATAAATGATGAATATTTTATAAGTTCACTTTTTCTATTTGTGTTGAGATTATCTATTTAAACTTTAATTAGATCCCAACAAAGCACTCAGTCCTTTTTTGACTTTTTATTAATTTGAAGCAGCTTCTTAATTGATTGAAAGTTTTTCTTATGCTGCATTTAATAATTTATAATATTATTGATAAAGTTGCTGAGATGTGACTTTAGGTTCAGTTTGTGTATATGAGACATTCTTTTGAATAGTGATTGATGATGTATTAGGAAAAGAGGGAGCATAAGTTTTATTAGGTTATTATTAAGTCTATAAGAATTATTTGGTTGGTTTATTAGAGTTTTATCTAGGATTGATTAGTCCATTTAATGCAGATTGAACATATTTTGGTTATTTAGATTTGGATAGACCTGAATTTCTTTATTTAAGTGGATCTTATTGTAATTTAGCTGAATCATAACATTTAGCTGAATCTTATTGTTTAGCAGAGTCTTATAATTTAGCACTATCTTATGATTATTATGGTTTAATTTCTTAAGTTTATGGTCTTTCTCTTAATTAATTAGAATCTGAAACAGGTGGAGGAGAATGTAATTAAGAATTTAAATCTTCTTAATTTCTAATACTGTATCTCTTTCTGGTAGCTATTTCTTCATAAAGTTTATCTCTATATTCATTTGCAGAGAATTTCTAATTATCATCAATTGCTAAAGTAATTATTTTATCAGATATTGGTTCATCTTCTTCATTATGAAATCTATTATAAAAATAAGATAATACTTTGAAAAATATGGATGAGCTAAAGCTTAATCAGCTGTTAATCTAGTATTTGGATTAAATTTTAATAAACGATACATTAAATCTAGAGCATCATCACTGGCTGTAGGAAATAATTCATGAATAGGTTTAACTTATGGAGGATTAATTGCTTCTAACATTGTAGATGCTAAAGGACTTTAGATTGCTTCAACATCTTCAAAAGAAGGTTTACCTGTTAATTATAAAATCCTATTTAATTAATTTAATGTGGAATTCCCAGGAAATATTGGCTTTCCTGTTAATAATTCACCTTTAATTTATCTTTATTATTTATACCTAATATACAACCAATACTCCACATATCTACTCCTTTTGTATATGTATGAGATCCCAATAATATTTCAGGTGCTCTGTACCATCTTGTTGCTACATATTCAGTTAATATTGGAGATGGCTCATCTTAACGACATGCTACTGATCTTACTAAACCAAAATCAGCAACTTTTACAGAACAATCACTATTTAACAGAATATTTGAAGGTTTCAAATCTCTATGCAATAATTCTGCTGAATGCATATATTTAATGCTCTTTAGTATTTGATATATTATATATTGTTTATGAACCTCCTCCAATATCCCTGCTCGAATTACAGCATGTAAATCTGTTTCCATATGTTCAAAAACTAAATATATATCTTTATTGTTTTCTGCTCTATGCACATTGTATAGTTTTATTATATTTTGATGATCCAATTCATACAGAAACATTATCTCTCTAAATGTTCTTTAAGCATCTGTTGCATTTTAAAATGCATCAAATATTTTCTTCAATGCAACGCATGTGTTCTTACATCTTTTATCTATCGCCTTCCATACCTTTGTTTATACCATATATTTATTACCACTCCATAAGCACCTTTACCTATCTTTCTCATTATCTCATATCTTTTTAATATATGCGGTTCGATTTCGTCTGACATTATATAATTATTTATAAATAATCATTATCTTTCTACTCATCCTAAATCAAAATCAAACTCATTGATCTTAGCCATCCTCTCCAAATCAATTACTTATTTCTATCTCATTCAACATTCTCTTTCTATCTCTTTAATAATTCATTCAAATTATATTCCTAATTCTCTTCTATTATTTATGTATTTAATTTAAATTATTTTATAATTCCCCATTCTTTTAAACATTCTCTATTCAGATTTAATTTAATTTATCTATATATATCAACAATGATTCTTTCACAAATTCTACAAATATTCTTCTTTTTTATTATATCTGATTTATTAACATGTAATATATTAATTATTCTAGTAGTTATTTCGAATTTCGGGGATAACTAAATATTTCGACAAAATATCATTAAAGTTATTTTTTATTAGAAAGTCAATATTTTAATTCTTTTAAAGATAAATCAACTTAATTCGTTTCTGATGTAATACGTCATTGTCTAACATTTTTAAACAGTCCAAATTGTTAATAAATTAATATTAATTAAAATAGGTAAAAATGGGATGTACAAGCTCTAATTAAACAACTGATCAAGTTATTTGTTAAGTTTCGAATACACAAAAAAAATAGAATGCCAAACTAAATATAGGTATCAATCTAGATTCAGAAAACTCAGAAAAAAGGATGTTTTCGATTACAAAAAATCCAATCGTACAGAGAAGAATTCAAAAATCAACTAAACCTTAAGTATTACTTACAAAATAACACACTGCTGAAACCTATGTATCTATTTACTGAAAATCTCCTTTCGGCTAATCAACTTAGAATGATATATAAACTTATAAACTTTTATATAATCTCTCTAAATATATTCATCAAATCTAATACAATCTCTTGACTTCTTAAATTTGTTTATCTTTCATTCATCCTCAAATTCAATAAAGAATAAAGATATTCTAACAGAGAATTAAATTGAAAATTAACTACACATACTCTAGAATTCCAAAATATCATGAAAAAAAAACTTATTTTTCATGAAATATTGATATGATTTCTAATTCATTAATTAGAATTCATCTTATTTCGACTTGTGATTTAGTTCAGTCTTTAAAAAAATTTAAGAATCTCTTTCATTATAAACATCATATAAGGTTAGATAATTATTTTAAGAATACTTTTATGGTAAAAACATACAAATTCTTATGTATAAATTCTTAAAATTCATAATTTTCTCAAAATGATTGATTATAAAATAATGAATGTATTAGTTTTTATTCAATAATTATGTAATTAACCTATGACCTGATTTCATAATGTAAATCCATAAGAATGATGAAAACCAAAATGATAACTTCTTAATTATAATAAGAAAATACACTAATATAAAAAAATTAAGGTATTAATTAATTATTATAACAGAATAATTGAATTATTATAATCAACATAATTTTAGAATTATATAAAATTTATATAATAAGATACACTCAATCAAGTCTTTGAAATATATCTAATTGAAGATTTTTAAATTGTTAATAAGGCAGTAAAAGAAATTCCCTATTTTTTAATAATTAAGAATGAATTTTATTTTATAGATGATCTAAAATTTAAATATGAAATATTTAATGATTATTTAAACCTTCTCAATTTATTTTTAAAGAGAGAACCTGAAAGGTTTAAGAAACTATTTTGAATTATAATCTTGAAATAAAGTAGAAATGTTTTGAATGGAAGTAGCATGATTGTGAAATAAAAAATAGTTTAATTCATTAATATTAACTATTTTTTATTGTGATAAATATAAATATATCATAATGGGGAATATTTGTAAGCCTTAGGTTTAGTTACTAGAAGAAAATGAATTAGATTTAAATAAAAAAGCTGAAATAGAAGAATAAAGAAAAAAAGCAATTCATAAATAAGAAAATATGCATGACTAAAAATAAGAATCTATAACAGATGATTAAAAACATTAATAAGATAACGAGGATGGATAAAAGATGAGAAATGAAAATAATTAAGAAGTATATTATAAAAATAGTTCCTTAGTTAAAAAGAAGAGAAAACAAAAAGATGGCATAAATTGCAGCAGTTATTGACTAGGTAGTAATATATGAAAATATCTAAAAACAAAATAAAGAAAAAACTCCTATAGATTATTAACTATTATTAAATGCATTTTCTAATAGTTTTATATTTGCTCAGTTGTAAAACGAAGACAAGTATCAAGAATTTAATATTATTTTGAGTAAAGGTTATTGAAAAGATGTTCTATTGCACAGTGAATGATTAGGAGATGGTATTTAAATAAGGAGATAAGGGAAGTTCATATTTTTTGATTGAAAGAGGTTAATGTTAAATAATAATAAATAATGATGTAAAGAAAACCTTAAAACATGGAGAAGCATTTGGTGAATTAGCATTATTATACAATGCTCCAAGATCTGCTTCAGTGAAAGCCATAGGGGGTAATAAAATTATTAATTTAAAGATTGTGCATTTTGGGCAATTGATAGAAACACAGTTAGAAAAGTAATAGAGGAAATCTCATTGAAAGATTATGAATAAAATAAGGAATTTATTTAGAAGGTTCAATTTTTTGGTAATAAATGAATTTATAATTAGAGTCTCTTACTGATGATTAAAGAACAGCAATTACATCAGTTTTGATAACACTAAATTTTAAATCTGGTGAGATTATAGTAAATGAAGGGGATTAAGCAGATTCATTTTTTATAATAAAAAAAGGAGAGATAGAAATTTGTAAGGGAGGAAAATAATTGAGAATTATGTAATAAGGAGATTCTTTAGGTGAATAAGCATTATAAAGTAATTCAGTAAGAGGAGCAACAGCAAAAGCACATAAGGATGTAATTTTATTGGCATTGTCAAGAGATGATTTGACAAGAATTTTAGGTGATAAAATATAGACTATAATGTTTTTGAATTTATAAAGATGGGCATTTGAAAGACATCCAATTTTAAAATAACTTACAAAACTTTAAGTGGAAAGAATAGTAAGTAATATGGAACAAAAATAATTTAAATAAGGAGAAGTAATCTTAGAAAAGGGTTAAAAATGTACTCATTTAATTATTGTTTTGATGGCAAATGTATAATATGGATAACAATCTATAGAGAAAGGATAAATGTTTGGTGATAAATTTTTGGAATAATCAAATTAAATTTTAACTGATTCTTTGATTATGAAATCAGATGGATTAATAAGTTAATTATAAATTAAAGTTTTTTTTGATATTATAGGTGGTACTTTAGAATAAATCTTCATAAAAAATGAGAAAGCACATGATAGATTTATTAAAAAGGAAGAAGGTTAAAAAAAAGATTAATATGATCATTTTAAATTAGAAGAATTAATTTCAATAAAAAAATTAGGTTAAGGTTAATTTGGTAATGTGTATTTAGTACATAATAAAACAGATAAAAAAAATTATGCGTTAAAATGTATATCGAAAGCTCAAATAATTGATTAAAATTTAGAAAAGCATTTGGGTTAGGAAAAACAAACATTATAAACAGCTAATTTTCCACTCATTATGCATTTTGTTAAAAGTTTCTAGGATAAAAATTACATTTACTTTCTAGAAGAATACATTAAAGGAATGGAATTATTTGATGTAATTAGAGAAATTGGGCTTTTAAATACATATGACTCACAATTTTATGTTGGATCATTGATTTTGTGTATGGAATATTTGCACCTCAATAATATTATCTATAGAGATATTAAACCAGAAAACATTATGGTTGATGATAAGGTAATTAATTAATTTATTATTTTAAAGGGGTTTATGAAATTAATTGATTTAGGAACTGCTAAAAATTTAAAAAATAAAAATGGTCGAACACATACTGTTATTGGAACTCCTCATTATATGGCTCCAGAAATACTATCAGGAAAAGGTTACACATATACAGTTGATTTATGGTCTATAGGAATTTGTTTATATGAATTTATGTGTGGAAATGTACCTTATGCAGAAGATGCTGATGATCCGTAAATCTTCATTTTATCTATTTAGATATGATATTTATGAAGAAATCTAAAAAAAACCTTTGACTTTTCCATCGGTTCTTAAAGATAGAAAAGCTAAAAAATTAATTGAATAATTACTAAGCAAAACTCCTGAGTTGAGATTAGGATCATCATATGCAAGCTTAAAAAATAATTAATTTTTTGAACATTTTGATTATGATTCATTGATGAATAGAGACTTAAAACCTCCATATGTCCCACCCAAGAGTAAACTATAAAGTGAAAAAGAAATTTAAAAAGCAATTCAGGCAGGAAAATTAATCACTGAAGAAATTAAAGTATTTTTCTTTTTCTATTTGATAGAATGACCCTACAACAACTAATAACATATATAAACCAGAAAAAGCTAGAGATCCTAATTGGGATTAATATTATTGAACAAAAAATTATTTCTTATGCTATTATCACACATCCTTATAATTAATCAATTTATAATTTCAAATCGCATGAAGTTTCACTAACTTAAAATTTCATAATAAAGCTTTTATCTTTACAACTGATTAAACCATTGTTGAAATGTAATTACAATGTTTCATCTAATAATTTTTATTCGAATAAGTATATTTATCTATCCTTATCATTCACCTTAAGTATTTAGGTTTTTAATAATTACTCTTTTCTATTTATCCTTCAAAAACATAGTACCAAGAACAGTTTTTTCTATTTAAGTAGATTAAACATCCTAGAAGGTAGAAGGTTTAAATGAATTCTTTGCTCAGTCGTTTATGTTTTTATTAATAGATGATTTAATATTTTGATTGAATCTCTATTTTCTTAACCTTTTAAGCTTTTTCACACAAATTTAGTTTTGTAAATTTATAAAACAAGGTTATTATAAAATATATAAGAAGTTTTAATTCTATAATATTTGTTTCATTTATAAGTGTAGAATTTCTATTTCCTATTAATTTACCTCAATCATAAGTACATATTCTCTAATAAATGAGCACAAAAATAAATCAATAATATTTGCTTTATTCTTTGTTTTCTTAGAATCAATCATTCAGTTAATTTCTTATCTTATTGAATTTCAAATTATTTTTCATCTTATTTCATTATCATATTGGTTTTTGATATTGTAAGAATGTTTAATTCTAAAAGTATTTCACAATTAGGAGAAATTTTAAATCAATAAATCATGTAAATTTTAAAATTTCTTAGTACAAGATAGGCCCATATTAATTAAGTATATAAATCATGAATTCTATAGCTTTTCCAAGTATTTATTCAGTCAATTAGGAAAATATTAAGTGAAAGATATATGCATAAAGTAATTAAATATATTAATATGATTAAAATTACAAGTCCACTGTTAAATTTTAGATTCAAAATGTTAAGAGTTTAATGTAAACCTTATGATAATGTTGAATTAATTCGAGATCAAATTATGGATGTTATGAATGAATATCTATAAGAAAATGATGGGTAAGAGTCTTCATTTATTTGTTAAAAGAAAACTTATCAATGTAAAAGTCATTTCAAATAACCAAATTGCAGTATACTTTGTAACAGGAATAGAAATGGATGACAATAACTGGGAACAGTAAATTACTAGAGGGCCATTATAGAAATTTACTATTTTATCTAATTCCATAGAAATTAGACCTTCACGATTTTGAATTGAAAAAAATTGATGATTTCTATTTTTATTTTTAATTATATACAATGGGAAATAACTCGTCATAGCATAAAAGTCATCCCAAGCCTAAAATAAAGAAAAAAGAACAATTTAAGAAATTTTTTGCAATAAAGAAGGATATGTAAGCTTCCTAATCAAATATATTAGTCTCTTTTCTAAGTTGTCTTAAAAAACAGCATCTTTAATAACAAGCTTTTTAAATATTTAAGAGTTCAACAATCTACTTTAAGCATCTAAAGTTACATTTGAAATATTTAATTAAACGTCTGGTTGCTTTTAAATAGAATGCTAAAGACTTCTTAATGTGAAGTGTGAGTTAATATAATCTAAAAATTGGAAATTCATATTATAAAGTGTAATGTGCATTCCAATCAGAACTCTACCATATGGAGAAGCAATTAAAAGTGTGAGATTAAACATCAAATAGTTTCCAATCTTTATAGAATAGAAAATAAATTATAGTGGATTTTAGAAAGCCATTCTATATTATGAAAATTAACTTAATGAATAAAAAAAAGTTATTAAGAGTTTTGATTACCAATAAGCACTACAGTTTGCATCTAATAATACAGATATAATATTAAGATTAAGGTAAGGACTTGAAATTCATACATAATTACCAGATCTCTTAATGTTAATATATAATTTGCAGGATTATATAAAAATATTTTGCCAATATTTGGAAATAAGATTTTCGAAATGTAACTTAGAATAATTCATCTAAATGTGGTAACATTATCAAGGATGGATAAGTTCAGTAGAAAATCAAACTTTTGACTTAATATACTAATTTAATAGAATTATTGATGAAAGTTTACCTTAATTTAAATTACCAAAATATACCATAAGACATTTCATGGTATGTGAATGGTTGAAAAAAGCTGACAAAGGAGAAATAATAGTCAAGTTAAGAGAAAATTTTAGATTGAAAATGATAGAATGTAGAAATTAAAATTAAAAATCTTAGTTTTTAAAATAATATGTTTAATATCTAATTGATATTAGTACTAATTAAAATAACATAACAAAATATGGTTATTATAACTTTTAATATTGTTAAGAACTTAATTAATTAATTACACTAACAATTGATTTAACTCCTAAATTAAATATTGAATACTAATAGGATGAGGATTTATTAATATTTATATTTGGATAGTATGTATACAATTATTATATATTTGAAATGTTATCTTCATTTAGAGTAGAATAATTCAAACATTAAATTAAGTAATTTCATTAAGAGAGTTAATAAATGTCTAAAATATTAGTGAAAAACTTTGAAGATTAACATAATCAGAATAGTATATTTGGAAATGAAAATTCTAACTTTAAATATCATTTATCTATATAATATAATGTTTAACTAAAAATTAGATCCTTATTTAAGTAAGTATCTCTAATGGATGAGGATATTAGTAATTCATCAGATAATATTGTAGCAGAAAGTATAGGAACATCAGGGATTTCATTAACTTCTACTAATTGTAGTTCAGTATTTTCAAGTGTAAAAAATAATGATTAATTATATCATTATATTAAAACTTATTAAAAAGAATTATTTAATAAAATTTAAAGATTTTATTGTAAAGAATAAGAAGTGTACTAATACTCATAAGAACAAGAATAAGGAAGTGAAGCTATATATGATGTTCCAGAGTTGGCTTAATACGAACATCTTTAATATTAAAATCTTATTGATTAAATTTTGAATAGAACTAAAAGATCAAATGCAATATATTAATTGGAAAGAAGATAAACTATTTTAACATCTTATTATCATGATGACCATTAATAAATCTAAACTCAAACTCTTAATCTAGCAGAATAATTAATTAAATAAGTTTTCAATTGAATTTAGTTATTGTTTATTGTATTTTGTTTAATGATAACTTCCAAATTTGAATTTTATAATTTATATAATTTAAAATAATTTTTTAAGTATATTTTATCTCTATATTCTATTTGAATTATATAAAGGAAAATGGATTTTATGATTAGATGATAGTTAGAATAATAAAATTATATAAATAATATTTGTTAATAATATCATACTATTTTACCAAGTGCATTTTTCATATTTTTAAAGTTCATTAAGACTTAATTTAATTTAGTTTCAACTTGATCTTTTTCTACTTTAATTTATTTGACAGCCTAAAATAAGGTTTAGTTTTTTTGTTCTTTTTCTTTATTACTATCTTCTAAATATTTTTCTTTTTTTTATAAAGACTAAATTATTGCTTTTTATTCATAATTCAATTTATTCAAAGTAAAGATTTATTCTTCAGCTTTAATAATTCTTTCTTCAAATCTTTTTGCTCTATCTTAGATATAATACTTCATTTCTTTTTAAGAATCTAATTCAACTTTATAGTCATCTATTTATGATTTTAATTAATAAATTTATTTATGCTATTATAAAATTAGTTTTGAAAAGTAATTGCATAATTATTACAATTATTGAGATTCTAAATGAAGATAATGTCCATGAGCAACAAATTTAGAGAAGGTCATTTATAAAGCGGACATAAAGTCTTAAATTGTAAATTTAGGTTGATAATTGGATGTTGGGATACATTTTCGTCCAGTTTAAAATAATTGTTGATTAATTTATATACTTTTTTTAACAAGATCAACCATTTCTCTTCTAGTTTATATTATTTAAGCTTTAAGAAATGGAACCTATAAAGATTCTAGAATTAATTAATCTATATCTTTATATTCTTATTGAAGTTGTATTGATAAATCACTTAAGGATTTAGCTTGTTTACTTTATTATGGTTAGGAAGGACTGTTGCTAATATTTTTATTTGTGTTTTATGTATACGATTTTATTTTTGTAAAGAGATTTGAAGCATTTTATGTTACATTATTTTGTGTTTAATTTTGTTATTTTTACTATTATTATTCATCTGTTTCTCCTAGTCCTAGTAAATCTTCATTCTAATAAACAGAGTCATTTTATATTTATTATTATTATTACTAATTAATTTATTATTAATTTTAAAATTTACCCTCAATTAATTCAAAAGCATCATTAAATATTTCATTCATATATTATCCAACATTAAATTTGAAAACTAAAAATTTAGCAATTCCAAGTTAAATAATTTCTTCAGGAACTTGATAAACCATATCATTAAAATAACTAAATAAAATTATAAAATTACTTAGATTCAGTTTTTAAATATTTAATTTCTTTATTTAAGACCTAAGTTCTATAATTTACAATAAAATTTAATAATGATCGATTATTTTAGATAATAAAATACATTTATTTGTTTGTCAACATTAAAGAAAATATATCTTTAGGTTCTAAAAATGATAAGATGGTAGATTTAAATTTATTAGTCAAAAGAGTATAAATATTGCTAACATGATATTATTATTTTAATATTTAATATGCGCTTTGAATAAATAATGCTCCTGCTCTAATTTCTTTTAATTATTCTAATTCATGAGAGGTTATCAAATTGCACTTTTCAACTTAAGTGAGTTTGATTTCCAATTCACTAACTTTTTATTATAAGTTATTATTTGTTTTAAGTAATTAATCATTTTGGGAAAGATATTTCAAATTAATTTCTTCTAATTCTTTGTTTCTTAATTTTAATTGTTCACATTCTTTGACTAAATCAAATTATCGTTGTTCATAATTGTTTTTAATCTACGAATAAATTGTGACCATTTACTTCTTCCATTTATTGCATGTAAGTATCTTCAATATTTTTAATAATTTATTCTTTAGACAAAATAACTTTGATCTAATTCTGTAATTGTTACTTAAGACTATCAATTTCATTTTATTATGTCTAATAATCATTTAGGATTTCTCTAAGACTTCTCACTTAATCCTTGACTTATTATATTTTAGCAATTCTCTCTTTATCAATGCTAATGTGGAATAAGAAATAATTTAATACATCTATTTAGATTATTTGATATATAGTTTATCTACATCTTTTTAAAGAGAAGTGTCCATAAAAATCATGAACTTGTATTAAGATGGTTATAGAATTATCATAGGTTGAACAGATTCATCTTATTTAATTTACTATTTCATTTATATTATATATTTTAATTTAATTAACGAATGAAGTATTTTCAGAATGGATTAAATCAAATATGTTAGTAAATAATAAGACCAGCTAGAGCAGAATACACAATTTATGATTTATGTATATTTTCATAAGTATTTGATCAGCTTCTTATTAGAATTAAGAAGAAACTCAATACAAAAGACAAGATTTTGATATAATAAATCCTAGATAAGAAGTGATCAAAGTTAGCTAATACATAGGGCAATAAAAAAGTGACGTTTGCATTATTTATTTGCATACTGCTAATGGTTCTAGAATGGAAATAACTAAATATATATCTATGATAATTAAAAATGGCTTTAGTTTGATTTCGTTTGATTTCACTGGATCTGGTATGTCAGATGGAGAATTTGTCACTTATGGATATAGAGAAGTAGGAGATTTACAAACTGTTATTACTCATTTTTAATCATCATATAAATAAATAATACTATGGGGTAGATCTATGGGTTCTGCTGTTGCCATCTAATATATGCAAAAATTCAATAATTAACTTATCAAAGGTATGATCTTGGATAGTCCTTTCGTTTGTTTATTAGATGTAATAATTTACTAAAATAGGTTATTCTATAAATGGCATCTAATAGAACTAATATTCCTAATTTTATTTTAAAGACCCTTTCAACATTTGTATCAAATGAACTCAAAAAATAAGCTGGATTTTAATTACATGAAATTAATTGTCTTAAAAAAATTACCTAAATCAAATGCCCTGCTATTTTCGTGACTTCCAAATAGGATACTATTGTACCACCAGAGTAAACTGAAAAACTTTTTAAAGCTTACACTGGTATCAAATAAATATAATACACTAACCAATAACATAATTCCATCAGAGACTCTTCCTTTATCGAATCTCTTATTAATTGGTTTAAAAAGCGAACCCCTATATTTGAGAGATTAGGGGTTGGAAGTTAAATTAAATAGAGAATTATGCACAAACAAAAAAGTACTTTGGGATCTATTAAGTAAGTTTCTTTGGATTTATATAAAGAAAGATCTTCAACATTAGAATGTTTTTATATTACTATAAATTTTAGATTAAAGAAGTCTTAATACTTCAATCTCTCCAAGGTAGAAGATTATGAATTAGAAATAACTAACTGCTGAAGAGAAGTATAATTAATTATTGGAAACCTAAAGATCTCTTTATAAAGATCGATCAGCATCTGCATAAAGAATTTAAATAAGCAATTCTATCGATTATTAGATGTCTCCAATGCCTTTAGCACCTATAAGTAATAAAATAATGAGTTCTTCTTAACATAATTATTTTTCTCATTCAAAACCTATTAGTTTTATAAAGGTTCCTAATAAGACAAAAGATTGCAAGCATTTTTGATTATATTTAATGATAAAGATAATGTTATTAATTTAATTTAGTATTTAAATGATGATTTAATAAAATTGAGTTTAAGATTAAATGTTTGTTACATTGAATAATTATAAATTTAAGGTAATAAACAGTCGAATTTATGAGTATCGCATGAATTTGAATCTAAAATATCAATAAAATTAAAATATAAAAATAAAAAATGGGATAAGAATGCCAGAAATGTAAGGTTTATTCAGGAAAGGAAGAGTTTGACTTAAAGAACATGGATTAGGATTTAGGAGATGAGAGTCCAGATATAGAATAATCATTTTTAGATGAAGAGGATGAAATAAAAAAGCATAGTAAATAAAGAAATTTATAAGTAAGATAAGCCCCCTTCTTTAGAAAATTTCAACAAAAGAAGAATGTTTGGGAAAGTAGAAAGCTATGAATAAAATGATGGAAAATAATCAGGAACAATAGAGAATAAAGAAATAGCATTAACTGAAGAACAAAGAGGAGAGGAGATTATTTTAGTGGATGGATCAAGATATTAAGGTTAAATAGTGAATAGTAAGGCAAATGGGAAAGGAAAGTTATGGTTGAATAATGGTGATATTTATGAAGGAGATATGATAGATAACATGATTTAAGGAAATGGTGTATATTATTATAATCGAGGACCTATATATAATGGATAGTTTTAAAATGGAAAAGCTCATGGTATAGGTAAGGAGATGTGGCCAGATGGATCAATTTATGAGGGATAGTTTAAAAATGGTAAAAAAGAAGGATAAGGTTTATATAAGTGGAGTTAAGGTTGTATGTATGAGGGAGAGTGGTTTGAGAACATGATTCATGGTGAAGGAAGATATGAATGGTCAGATGGTAGGGTAATTTAATATATGTATCTATAGTATTATAAAGGATATTGGAATAAGAATCAAATGCATGGAAGAGGTAAATATTAATGGAAAGATGGCAAATATTATGATGGAGAATATGAATATGATAAAAAATGTGGATTTGGAATATTTATATGGGCTGATGGAAAATAATATTAGGGTTATTGGTTTGATGGAAAATAACATGGGAAAGGTTTAATGATTAATAAAGAAGGAAAGAAAAAGTTTGGAGAATGGATGAATGGAAAGTTAATTAGTTGTAATGATGAGACTAATGTTGAAATCATTCCTGAAGGTTGGCTAGATAAGGTTTGATTTCTCTTTGTTTATAAAATGCAACTTACTTAATTAATTCAGTCAAATCATTTTTTAATTTAAAAATATCATTTTATTTTATAAATTATATGGAATTTTTTGCTGGGATTTAAAGAATACTTTTATTATTAATATTAATAATAATTATTATTATCAATAAATGGCTAATCCTAATATTCCTGTTGAATTTAATAAAGATGACGATGAATTGAAATGTCATCCTTCTCAAAGTGGTTCCACAGCTACTCCAACCCTATTTGAGAATCAAAACAATTCTAAAACATTCTGTGCATAATTTTTTGAAGATTAATTACATCAAGATGGTATATAATCAATCTAATTTATTAAAGATGATGAATTTGATGAATTGAATCAATAATTAAATCAAGTTTTACTAAATGATTCATTTAAACCCTCCCTTACATAAGCTTTTACTGCTGATATGTATTTTCTATTTTAAAACGATTAGGTCATCATATCTAAGTCATGAAAAGTTAACTAAAAATTCTAGAAAGATGTAATTAGAATATTAGAATGCTAATTAAAGAGAAAAAGACTTTGTATTCAACACTTATATTAAAAATGATATTGAGAATTTTAGTCTAGATAAATATAAACATTATGTACTTGAAAAAATTATTGAAGTTGGTAATCTTTCATTATTTATAGTCTAGGTCCACCATCACATAGAAATCTTATATTAGATAGAATATATAATCAAATTAATAAACTTATCAAAGATCTTTATGCTTGTAAAGTTATGTAGAAAGGTCTTGAAGTTATGACATATAATCCATAAGATTCAAAAGAATAACTTGATAATTATCTTTGTTTTATACATTAAGATAATACTTAAATGAAGAAAATATATATTGATAAAATTGCAAATCAAATTATTTAAAAGAGCTTGGAAATTTTAGAAGGAAATAATCTATTAAAATTGCTTTAAATTCTTAATAAATATGTATATGATTAAATTCTATATTTAGATTCTCAATAACAATAAAGATAAGTTTGAATTATCAACAGATTAATATGGATGTCTCATTGTCAATAAAATTATAGACATATACCCAAAATAATTTGATGTTTAAACTAAATCAATTTGTAATAACATTATAGTTAGAACTATCGAAAACTGTTCTTGTCTTACTAGAAGATAGTATGCTAATTATATTATTTAATAAATATTGGAAAAAGGATAAGAAATTCATAAAAGATTACTTATGGATTAATATCTCATTAAAGACTTTATCTCAATGTCTATGGATAAGTATGGCAGCAATGTAGCAGAAAAAGCTATTATCTATGCAGGATCCTAGTGGAGAATGAAATTATGGGAAGAAGAAGTATCTATTTCTGAGAGGTATAATATACATCATATTTTATAGCTCTTTTAAGAAATTGATTAATGATTAATATGCTAACTATCCAATATAAAGATTATTTGAATATTTAGAATAATTATAAAGAAATGAATTTATTGCTTTGCTAAATAAATTACAAGAAAACAATTAATTAAGTAATCATGGCTAAATTGTTTAGAAATTCGCTCAAGCCAATTATTCTGTTAAAAGATTCACTTAAAAAATTGTCTAAACAGAAATATAAAAACAAAATAAGAACCAAGAAAAAAATAATAATAATAATAAACAATCCAAAAATCAAAAATAATAATAAATGAATTAATAAATTCCTACATTTTAGATGTTATAGTAATAGTAATAATAATTATATCAATAATAATAATAATATTAATAATAATATTAATAATATCAATAAATGTACTTATAATAACAATAATAATATAAATAATTTGATCAATAATAGTATCAAGCTGCTGTTATGCAACAAATGTTATTTCTTTAATAATAATAACAATAACATTTATTAGCTTAAATGCCATAATTTTATAATTAAGATGTGAATTACATGCCTTATCCAATTATGTCATAAGAATAATAGATGATGATGTTAAGATGGATTCAACAGTAGTAATAACTTTGCAATACAAATATTCAATTTCAAAATGGATAATAAAAATGACAATCATGTTAATGATAAATATATATATTATAATTATAATTATAATTGATTCTTTTGAAATGGATGTATTGCAAAAGATAATATAAAAATCTGGAACCAACTTATCTCTTATAGAATTAGAATTCAAGTAAAGCTTTTAAAATATTAGAGATAAATTGAGAATCTTTAAGAAATCCTTCCACTGCTAATCCAATTTAAGAATCTCAAAGAAGTAAAATAAATCTATATTATTATAGTTAAATTTACATGGAAATAGATTAAGACAATTACCTGATGATTTGTCTTAATTGAAGACTTTAGAAACATTAGATATAACTAATAATATGTTTGAAAATGTAATATTTATATTGAATTTAGTTATAATAAGTAGTTCAATCATTAAAAACATTACCTTCATTAAATCATTTGGAAATAGCATTAAAATCAAAAGATGAAGAAGAGTTGATAATTGAAAATCTACCATAATTAGCTATGTTAAATTAATAGGCCATTAAAATTGAGGATCAATCTGAATAATAGAGTGATTTATAATCAGAAAGATCAGCAACAGGATTAGAAATAACATTATAATAAGAAGATTTAGAATAGATGGCTGTATACTTTTTTTTTATAATTAATAATAGTTGCTTCATGATAGTATCAAAGAGTTAAGAAAAGAAGATGAAGAATCAGAAAAATAAATATCTTCACTTTTTGAGAACTCTGTTAAAACTATAATGAAAGAATTATAGACAAAGTTAGCATTAAAAACACCTGAACATATGACAAATTTAACAATTTTAAAAGTTTAAATTAATATTTTATCATAGGCCAAATTCAATTTATATGAGGTTTGCTTTTAGTTGTTTATAAGATATTTTAAATTAACAGATAAAAAGTTAGAGTAGATTCTAACAAAATTACATGATTAACATGAATAAATATTTACAGATATGTCAAATGTTATTATGAATATGAAAGATAATTAATCGATTCAATCAATACAAAAGAAAATATAAGATGTTAATTCAGGATAATTAAATTAAGATAAAGGAACAGAATAAAGACTTAGACAAGAGTTATAAGAATTGTAAACTTATATTAAAGAAATTGAATAAGAAAACAAATCTTATTTAGAATTATTAATTAAATTTGGAAAAGGTGAAAAGATTCAATTAAATTCAATAGTAAATAATAATAATAATAATTAATAAAAGATGGATGTATAAAATATTGATAATTCATCTTAATTAATTTAATAGAATAATAATGATAAAACTATTGCTTTAAATTTGTTAAAACCATAATAATCTTAATATGCTTCAATTTAGAATAAAATTAATTAATAGCAATCAAATGTATTAGTTTAAGCACCTTAATTGGTAAAAATGTTAACTTTGAAATAATTTAAAGATTTGATTTTAGAAATATATGAAAGTAAATTAAAATTTGATTAAAAATGTTCTGATTCTCATTTACCAAGAGAAACCATGGAATAACATATGTATACATTTTTAAATTAGAAATATGGTTTAAAAAGTTTAATACTTGAATGGGCTTCTTGTATAATAAATGCATTAAAAAGATACGGGAATGATGATAATGATGTGGCAGTATTTGGAAAAATTTTGAGAAATGAGTGTGATGAGGAATTTAGATTTGTTTAAGGTTAAGTTAAGAATACAATAATGGAATTGTTAAAAGTAAATATTTATATAATAATTAAGATGTATTTAAGAGGAAAATTCCCTTTAAAAACAAATGCTGATATTAAAGAAATGATGAATCAAAGATTTAATAGTTTTATATTTTAAGAAGAAGCTGAAGATATCATCAAATATATGTATAATCAAGTTGATTCAGAAATAATTCTTAATAAATTAAAATAATATTTTATATAGCCTACAAGAAATGTGGAGAAAAAACTTACAAGAGAAGAGTAATTTTAAATTGTAAATGAGAAAGATAAATCTAAGATTGAATTTTCAATATTTTAGAAAGTTATTTTAGATTTTTAGATGAAATCACATGAGAAATATTTATCAAAATTTATATAGAATTTTCGATAAATAGATTAGGACTAAAATGGTATAATTGATGAAGTAATTATTATTATTATTATTTAAATTAGAATGAATTTAGATAATTGATTACAGATTTGAATATTGGATCAAATGATTTTGATATTTAGAGATATTTGAATAAAATAGATCCATACAATAATTAGTAAATAACATTTTCATAATGTGTTCAATTATTTTCTCAGGAATAAGCACCAGGAACAAATGTCCCAATAATCTAGAAAATATCAGTTGAAAGTTTTTGAGTTATTATTATATAATAAATTCTGAATATACCAGATGTTTCAAACATTTGATTCAAAAATACTATATATTAACAATATAAATTAATTAATGAAAATAATTTTATATGTTTGTGATTGTTATTTTTTTAAATTTAAATGACATAAGACATTTCAAAAGAAGTTCTTGCACTTTCAATTCATGTTGTAGCAGCTGCTTCCTAAATTACAATTTAAACTCAATAAAGAATAACATTAGTTACAAATAGTGTTTTAGACACTGTAGACTAAACTTTTAAGATAATAAATTAAATAATAATGCAATCTCAAAAATAGTCTCAATTAGATTCTGTTATAGAAGAGATTGATGATGAATATTATAAAGATTCAAAAACAAAAGAATGCTATATTGATTAATAAAAAAATGGAATTTAAATTGAAAGATTAGATTTAATTAAAATTGAAAATTCTTTTTTCTAAGAAAATTGCAATCCAAACCTATCAATCAAATCTATAAATTCAAGTTTATTGAGTGTTTAAAAATCTAAAAGCAATAATTAAATATTAGAAGAGCATCAATCTATTTAAAATATCTAAAATGATTTTCAAATGGAGAAGAAAAAATAATCAATTCTTTCTTAAGAGTTATCATAAATTAAAATTGATAAAGTAAAAGAAGAACAAGAATAAAAAGAATTAATGTACTAGATTGAATAAGTCGATCCATAAGAATTAATTACAAAATTGAAATCTATAGAAATGTGTGATATAATTTAATAAGATAATACAAATCAAATAGAATCTATAATTAATTTCAATGAACCATTTAATGATGAATAAAGAAAAAAATCATCTATAAAAAAATCAGAATGGTATAATAGTTCATCAGTTTAATATAAAGCTACTTCTTATAATACTAATGAATCATCTAATTTAGATCATCATTCTTATAAATGGAAAAGTAGTAGTATCGAAGATGAAAATTTATTATAAGATTTTTAATTTTAATCTTCTGTTTTTGATTTTCCATTTCCAGAAGATTTTTGTACTAATAGTATGAATGTTCAATAAAATTTTTAACATTTAGAAAACTAAAATTAATTTACTCCTAAAAAGAAGAGGTTATTTTGTAATAATAAAAAGATTCCTCATTGGGCTGAAAATCTACAGGTAAAAATTTTCATTATTTTTAAGATAGTTTAATAATATTAATCCTAATAATAGCATTTATCATAATATTAAATCTTTGGTGTGATGAAGAATAAAGTTTTAGAAATTGCAAAATAGTTTTCTGAAAATAGATATTAAAGAAGAGGAAGTTCAGCTAAATGGTAAATTTCAAATTAGAATTTTTAATATATGCAACATTAGATGAAAAAACTATAATAAATTTAAGATGAAAATATTTTAAAATTGTAGCAACATTAAATTGATGTAATAATGTACTAATTATAAAAGTCTGCATAAAAAAATTAAGGCTTATTTGCTAAAGCATAATATTTTTTAACTAGTATAAAAAAAAAGATCCTCAACTCATTTGAGAAAGATTCAAAATATAAGATATGAATATAAATTTTATTATTTTCCAAACAATATTGAATTATCCTTCTATCTCTGATACATTAGTTTATTTATTAGAAAAATTTAGAATATAAATAATAAAAATTTTATATGTTTAATTTCAAAAACAAAGTTAGATTAATATAATTAATTTTATATATTTATATTTTTGAAATTAGATAAAGTTTCAAGAATTATTTGATACTTAGGTTTATCAATAAAACTAAAATTAAAAATCCAGTTTATTTATGAATTTCAAGGAAGTATAATTTAGTAATCATATTTTAGGAATAAATAAATTAGATTTTTAACAAAAAGATTTTGTTTTTACATTTCCTATTTTATTTAGATTATATTTGTTGCAGAGCAATCAATTGATGATACAAATTGAAGTTAAAAAGTTTTTAGAAAATCGATTATTTAATTTTACAAATCTATTTATAATTATTCTGATATTACATAGTAAGTATAATATTAAATTAATAATAAATGTTATTTATGGATGAGAATTTAAAAATTAAGGAATGTTTTAATATATTATTAAATAATTATTTCTAATGAATAGTATATTATTTGATTATTATAAGAAGAAATATTAAAATTAAAAAGATTTTGAATTGCTAAATTTAGATGAGCAATTTTTGAAAGTAATGGAATAAACAGATATCATTATTTTATAGAGAATTGATAGATTTATTAGATATTGTTAATGCAAAATATATATCTCAAAACAAATATTTATAGCAATGAAAGTACCAAATTAAAATGATTCTAAACTTTAATTTAAATATTCATTTGAAGTTAAAAAGTTACAGGCGATAATAACATTTTTTTGTGCTTTATTTTATATTGCTTAAATTAGAATGAAAGAATTGAAAATATCTAAATATTGCATGATATTATTGAAAGAAAGAATTTAATAATGGCTAAATTTGTTAAGATAGCAATTGAATTTGATTTGACCAATATATTATAGTAATATAGGAGGATTAAATAAATTTGATAATAATAGAATTTTTAATAGAACTTTAAAAAAGGGTATGTTTTAAAAAGAATGATAATAGAAAATAGCTAATTATTTGATTAGTATATGAAGGATCAATTATATTAAAATTTGATAAGTGTTTTTGATAAAAGTTGTTTTAATTTAAATAGGAAATTGTTGAATGTAATATAAATGGTATAAGAAAATAAAGAGACTTGCTATTAGAGAGAAGAGAGTAATGTATGAAAAAGAGAAAAAATAGGTTGAAGTATTTAAATGTAAATAAAGAATTTTTGTTGATTATAAAATAATTGATATAATGATAAATATGTCTGATATGGTTTAAACATTCTCAATTCATTCAAAAAAGCATCGCAGGTTTTTTAATAATGTAATTAAGATAGTACATAGAAATAACAGAGGGGATTATTAATGAAAGGAGTCACAATTGGAAATAATATGAATCTTAAATTATGGTTAAATGAAATGAGAAATAGAAAGGAGATAGATTTGAAATTAGGGAAAATAAATATAAATTATCATAATGAAGATAAATAATTGAAATATCAGAATGATGTTATATTACCAAGTATATTTGGAGATGTAGAAGATAGTCTAACATTTCCATTAATTTGTTTTTAAAAAAGTATAGATTTATAATTTTAAAAGGAACCTGCAGATAATTGATGAGAGAAAGTAAGATTATAATAATACGTTAGTCAGATTTGAAGATAATGTGACGTCATTATTACCTAATGATTAAAGAAATTCAATATTGTATGGATTATTAAGGGAATTGCTGTATGAAATAGAGTTTAGAGAATAAAATATATTGATTTGTTAACATAAGATTACAAAAGTGTTTTACATATATTTTACTGATGGTTAGATATGTCCAATATCCAAATGTTGTTATACATCTGTAGTATTAGTATTGGGTCAAATTATTGGCGGTTAAATAAGATGTAATCATGAAAACTGTCCAATTAAGATACTAGTGACTTTTGATATATAGGAAGATTTACTGTGGAAATAAAATAAAATTGATTTAAGCAATAGATTTTCTAAATATGTGATTAGTGGTAAATTTAGAACAAACAGTTTAAAAACATCTTTATAGCCATTAGAAATTTAAAAGTCTAATCAGAACTAAAATCATAATATAAATAGTCAAATCAGTTACACAGAAAGAGTTTAAAGTAAATTAAACTCATCATAAGTAAGTAATTACTAGAAAAAAAGAGAAAATAAAAATAGAAATAAAAATCGATTTCAATCTGATAATTTAGATATATTTATAAAATGAAAATATTATTGTTTCATCTAGCATAAACAGATAGATTAGTTAATGCTCTGTATTATGATTCTCTTAAACTTAAGTTTTAGAATCTTTCCCATAAACGAGTTTATTTTTCTCCAAAACTATCTTCTTCAAAAAAGTAGGCATAAGCTGCAATAAGTTACATAAGTGAGTAGATAATGACATAAGCATACTTATTTCAAATAATTGAATAAACTTATTACTTTTGCAAATTATGAAATCTTGTATCCATTGCTCTAACAATCATATATAATGCCCAAAACTTTCTTTATTCATATTTAAGAAACGATAATGATATCATTCCACCAACTAAACCACTATAAAATGCATATTTTGGAGAATCCTATTAATATTTATTTCTAAGAAAACAATGTAAACCTAAATACTAATCGAAAACTGACCTTTTGTAATAACAGTATATGATGACAGAAATAAACAAAACTTTAGATTATCTTTAGAAATAAAGATTTTATGAATCTATTATAACTTTTTCTTTTTTAGTTTAACTAAAATTTAAAGTAATGATAATGCAGTTCTTAACATATATGCATATTTAAATGTTTAGAAACCCTAAGTAGATATATGTTCAAGACATGAACAACTAAAATTACATTGAATATTACCCATGTTGACAATTCTCTGATTTGGTTAACAACATCTGTATAATTTGATCAATTCTCAAATTCATTATATAAAATTATAATGAAGAAAATGTTACAATCTATTGCTAGTCAATATTATTACAAACTAAAATATAAACTAAACAGATCTAATGTTCTTATAGTAGAAGAATCCTAAAAATAAGAGTGTTTAGAATTTATCAAATTATTGTTAACTATTACTAAAGAAAAAAAAGAATTATCAATACTACCTAAAAAATATAAAAATTAATCTTTAATTGAAATTAGCTCAGAATTTGTAAATTTGCAAATCTGAACATGCTTAAATTGAGTTTATTCAGATGAAAATAGATTCAGAAAAATCAATACAATAACATCAAACAAATCATATGTTTAGTATTAGTAAATAGCTACTATTACCTTTTGGCTTATAAATAACATTTATAATTCTTAGAATTATACTAATTTTGTTATTCACTGAAATCAACTGATTTATAATTAAATTTCTTCAAAGGTTTAATAGTTGAAAGAACTATTGGTTAAGTTGTTCAATAGATTTAATAAGTTAATATTAAAAAAAAATCAATCTTGATCCATTATTTATTTAATTAATTCATTTAATCAAATCCAAGACTCAACCCTCAGGTATCTAAATTTATGATTATACAAAATACTATTAATATTATTCATTAATAATGATCATANAATAAGTTACATAAGTGAGTAGATAATGACATAAGCATACTTATTTCAAATAATTGAATAAACTTATTACTTTTGCAAATTATGAAATCTTGTATCCATTGCTCTAACAATCATATATAATGCCCAAAACTTTCTTTATTCATATTTAAGAAACGATAATGATATCATTCCACCAACTAAACCACTATAAAATGCATATTTTGGAGAATCCTATTAATATTTATTTCTAAGAAAACAATGTAAACCTAAATACTAATCGAAAACTGACCTTTTGTAATAACAGTATATGATGACAGAAATAAACAAAACTTTAGATTATCTTTAGAAATAAAGATTTTATGAATCTATTATAACTTTTTCTTTTTTAGTTTAACTAAAATTTAAAGTAATGATAATGCAGTTCTTAACATATATGCATATTTAAATGTTTAGAAACCCTAAGTAGATATATGTTCAAGACATGAACAACTAAAATTACATTGAATATTACCCATGTTGACAATTCTCTGATTTGGTTAACAACATCTGTATAATTTGATCAATTCTCAAATTCATTATATAAAATTATAATGAAGAAAATGTTACAATCTATTGCTAGTCAATATTATTACAAACTAAAATATAAACTAAACAGATCTAATGTTCTTATAGTAGAAGAATCCTAAAAATAAGAGTGTTTAGAATTTATCAAATTATTGTTAACTATTACTAAAGAAAAAAAAGAATTATCAATACTACCTAAAAAATATAAAAATTAATCTTTAATTGAAATTAGCTCAGAATTTGTAAATTTGCAAATCTGAACATGCTTAAATTGAGTTTATTCAGATGAAAATAGATTCAGAAAAATCAATACAATAACATCAAACAAATCATATGTTTAGTATTAGTAAATAGCTACTATTACCTTTTGGCTTATAAATAACATTTATAATTCTTAGAATTATACTAATTTTGTTATTCACTGAAATCAACTGATTTATAATTAAATTTCTTCAAAGGTTTAATAGTTGAAAGAACTATTGGTTAAGTTGTTCAATAGATTTAATAAGTTAATATTAAAAAAAAATCAATCTTGATCCATTATTTATTTAATTAATTCATTTAATCAAATCCAAGACTCAACCCTCAGGTATCTAAATTTATGATTATACAAAATACTATTAATATTATTCATTAATAATGATCATATAATCATTTTGGATATGTAAATAATAAATCAAATTATTTGACTATATTTTCTTATAGAATCAAATATTAATTTTGAAAATTTATTATTTAATTTTAAATGATTCATTAATTATACAAAATATTTCAAAATTTTAACATGACTTTTCAGATATTTAAGTTAGTATGGTATTTTTAATAAAGTCATTACAAAAAAAAGTTGTTATTTTAGAGGAATATTGAAATAAACAAGATTTCTAAGATAAATGAATCAATGACGAATATCTAAAGTTTATTTTTAATGAATTCAGAATGGTGACTTTTTAAATTTTAGAAATAATTGATGTAATTTTGAGAATAGATTTATTAAGTTGCAATCTATTCAGTATGTTCCAACTTCTGAAATTCTATTTCCCTATCCATGAGAAAGATTATGGCACAAATATCAACTGATTTTTTTCTTCAAAAACCTCTATTATTCAAGATTTACAAATTCAGCAAATTTTTTTGAAACATTAATTCAATTCAAAAATTGTATTTTTTAAAATTTAAGTCCAAATTCAATTTATTAATAAAACTTATTAGCTTTAGGCATTCAAGTATGTATTAAATCTTAATATAATTTAAGCAATTACAACTTTAATTCTATTTTTGAAATTTCAATAGATTTTTATCAGATTCCTTATTTTTCTAATCATGATACTATCACACTATAAATCAACATTAAGTAATTTTTACCTTATCTTGAATTAATTTGAATAGATAAGTTTAAACAATTAACAAAAGAACAAAATAATGGATATATAGAAAAAAATTTTATTTTTTTAAATAATAATATTATAAATTGAACTTTATAAATATCAAAAATTCTCAATTATTCTATCAAGCATTGTTTCTAAGTCTTAGTTTAATCTAACAGCTAATTATTCAATTGCATTTATAAATTAAAAGAAATCCATCAGGTTATTATTAGAAGATTTCAAAATTATTTTCCTGAATAACAAATCGTAATCATGTTTAAGAAATGTTTAAGAAATCATTTATGGAAAATTAGCCAGTTTCTAAAATTTTGAAGATGTCAGAAATTCTTGAAATTTATACCCAGATAAATAACCATAGAGTTACATCATCTTGGAAAAAACTGTTTCAGTTGAATCTACATCTAATTTTCTATAACTCCCAAATTCTGAAAGCTCTTCTTAATCTTCCTTAGAAATCATTGCTAACTTTATTGCATCCCCCATAACCAACTCTTTAACATAACTATCAATATATGACTCTTCGAAAACAGATTTTCCGTTAGCTGCAAAAACTTCATGTTCAATTTAAAAACTTGGATTTGAATTTACTTCTAAAAGCCATGGTTTACCTTTTTCATTAAGTAAGATATCAATTCCTAAAATTTAAAAGCATTATTTGACTTCACCAACTTTTTTTTGAAAGACTAATTTTTAGTTAAATTCAAGAAATGGAAGAAGACTCTATAAATATGCAACAACCAAAGTATCAATTTAATTTTCTATATCTTAATTATTGTATCCTTATATTTCTAAATTCTTCTTAATAGATGAATAAGTTCTTTTTGTTCCTTCATTTATATCCAAGATATTCTTACCATTATAAAATTAGAAATTAGTATTTCTTTTATTAAGAGAATAGTTGGTTAAATGCATAAAAGGATTTCTTAAATTTTTATCATTAGGTTTTTCATAATCAACAGTACAAAATCTAGCCAGACCTTCCTTATTGATATAACATAAATAAGGATCAAGAGATATGATTAAAACATATAATCTTAAATCAAATTTTTTTTTATCTATTAACAATGGTTTTGAGATATATTATTATATAACCATACTTTCATTAGCCTTAACATCTTTTAATTTTTTAATTAAATAAATTCCATCACCTTAAGATCCTGCATCAGGTTTTGCAATATAAGTTCGAGTGCTTTTATATTCTTATTAAAATTTATCAAGTTCATCAGGTATTATGTAGGTTTTTGGAAAGAATTCATATTAATCTGGAAAATATTAAGCAAATTTATTCAAGTAAAAAGATGATTAAGTCTTATGAGCTAATAAATCCATTCCTGGAAATCTATTTACATGTTATGTGAAATATTCTTCAAAATTTTGTAATTTAAATGGTAATCCAAGCCAACAAATATCTCCATTATTAAAAACTTCCTTCCAATTATTTATAGCAATTAATTTACGTATTAATCTAGTTTCTCCTCTACAGTTAATAGTATTAACTTTTATAACCTTCTATTTTTTGTATTAATCCTACTATTATTAAAAGTTCTCATAAGTAGTTTTGTATTCATCAACTTACTATTCAGTAACAGTCAACAGATCTTCGTTATTTTGATTCCATGGTGAGATATCATGAGTTTATTATGATTTCATATTTATTGAATTAATTTAATTAATGAAATTAGTTAATAGTAGGAAATCGATTATAAAGTAGTAAGATTAAGAATCTGATAAATAACGATAGATAGGAGATTATCTTTTAGGTTGGTGTTTAGGTTTACAGTAGTTAAAACTCTTGGATTGGGTACATTTGGTTTAGTAAAATTGGCAATTCATTAAATAACTTAAGAGAAAGTAGCAATTAAAATTTTGGAGAAATCTAAGATAATTGATGTTGCAGATGTTGAACGAGTATCTCGAGAAATACATATCTTGAAATTAATCAGACATAAACATGTGATTCAATTATATGAGGTAAAATAAATTGATAATTTAAGATAATTGAAACAAAAAAATACATATTTTTAGTTATGGAATTTTGTGATGGAGGAGAACTCTTTGATTATATTGTAAAACATTAAAAGTATTTAATTGAAATATTAATCAAGACTTTCTGAAATTGAGGCATGCAAATTAATCTAAGAGTTGATATCTGGAATTGAATATATTCATAAACTTAATATAGTTCATAGAGATTTAAAACCTGAAAATTTATTGTTAGATTATTAAAAAAGCTTAAAAATAGTTGATTTTGGATTAAGCAATACTTATAAATAAGGTGAATAATTAAAAACAGCATGTGGTAGTCCATGTTATGCAGCTCCTGAAATGATACAAGGGAATAAATACAATTCTTTATTAGTTGATATATGGTCATGCGGAGTTATATTATTTGCATCTATATGTGGTTATTTACCGTTTGAAGATGTAAACACTTCAGCTTTATATAAAAAAATATTGAATGGAGAATACTAAATTCCAAATTTTGTATCACCAGAAGGAACTAGTTTTCTTAAGGGAATTTTAAATATTAATCCAGAAAAGAGATTTAATTTGGAGTAAATAAAATCTCATCCCTGGTTTAAATTATATAGAAGATCACATCCTATTCCTCCAGGAATTATAATTGGATTTCACAGAATTCCTATAGATATCAATATAGTATAATAATTAAAAGAAAGAGGGTTTAATGAAGACTATGTAAAAATTTGTTTAGATGCGAATAAATAAAATAATGTTACAACTTCTTATTTTTTATTGATGAAAAAACATCTAATGAATGGAGGTATATCAACAGCAGATATAAATTCTATTTATTTTGATTCAAAATTATTAGAACCAATATAAAGAGTTTAAAAAAGTAAGATTAAGAAATTTATTATAGGTCCTGCTCTTTCATTTTTAGATGAATCTATGTTAAAAACTTTAAATTCTAATAGATCATAATCTAATCAAAGTCGTAAAAATAAAAAAATGCATACTTAATAAAACAGAGGACATTACTATTTATATGAAGATTAATTCAATAAATCAATTTAATTAAAATAATCTCATCGTTAAGAGAGTTAAGAATCAGATGAAGATTTTAATAAATCTTATTCTTAAAATGCAACATCTAATGCAAAGAGAACAAAAATTAGAACAGAATCAAATTATAATGCAGAATAATCATTAAATTAGACTACTATGATAGCTGGTAAAAGGTCATCAATTTCTCCTGGTAATGCTAATTTTATATTGTAATATATTAGTAATTATTAATTATATATTAGAGTAATAAAAAAAACTAACTCCAAAATCTGTCAGAAACTCCTGTTAACAAAAACCTAATTTATTTTCTTTAAATTATTAAAGGAATGTTTAAACAATTTATGATCATGAGGGTTTAAAGATTATAAATTCAAATAATAAATAACAAATTAATGATACTAAAAGAAGTGTAAATAATTAATGGATGCCATAAACTTTAATGAATCCTTATTAATTACTATTATAATTGAATTCAAGAAAAGGATCTAGAGATTTAAGTACTCCTCATTCAACAAAATGTGCTAATAATCCTAAAAGTAAATCAATTAATAGGCAATTTTGATTATACTTATTAATAATTTTATTAAAAATGAATTTTATAATGAATCTATTTGGATAAAGCTCTTCTGGGCCATAACCTCAAAGTTATGAAATTAATGGATAGGAGTATCATGAATTAAATTTAATTGCTGAAGGAGGTTATGGATTTATTTGGAGAGCTATTGAAACAAAAACTAGAAAATTTTGCGTTATTAAGAAAATTATTTGTCAAAGTAAAGAAGCCATTGAATAGGCTTAATAAGAATTAGATTTACATGTAATAATACTTATATATAATAATACTAGAGAAGACTCTAACATCCTAATATTGTAAAATGCTATAATGGAATTATCAAATTTAATAAGAAATTAAATCAAACTATAGCTTATATGGTTTTAGAATTGTGTGAAGGTGGAACATTAATTGATTTACTAAAAAGATATAATGAAAAAAGATTAACAGAATAATAAATACTCTTAGTCTTAAAAGTTATTTTTTACATTATCATAGTAATTAGTCTAAGCAATCAAATATCTTCACACCTAAAACCCTCCAATAACTCATAGAGATTTGAAAGTAGAAAATGTTTTATTACATAATAAAGTATTCAAAATATGTGATTTTGGGTCTGCTAGTATTGAAAAAATTGATTTAAAGTATATATTTAATGAATCTAGTACATCAAATAAACATTAGATTTCTCAATATGAAGAAAATTTTTCGAAATACACAACAGAAGTTTATAGACCACCTGAAATGACTGATTTATATTTAAAGTATGAAATCAATGAAAAAGTTGATATCTGGATGCTTGGATGCATTTTATATACAATGTGCTTTTATAATTCTCCTTTTTAGGAATCTTCTAAATTAGCTATTGTTGAAGCTTCTTATATTATTCCAAAAGATAATAAAGTATTTGTTATTAAAACTCTAAGTATTCCAAAAAAATGATCGATTTGATTGGTATTATGCTTTAGTCTAATCCAAAAGATAGGGCCTCAATCTTTGAAATCGAAGAAATTTTGAAGGATTATGATATTCTAACTTAAATAGTAATCAATTAAGTAAATCTATAGCAAAATAAAAATATTCATGATGAAGATTTTGGTGAATTTCAAGCAGGAGATTAAATACAATAAGAAAAATAGTAAAAGACTGTTTAATATTGTGATTCATTAATTTGATATTTTATTCATTCAATGTGTATTTCTAATAATTATTTTTGAATTTCATATATATTTATTAAAAATGAATTCTTTATTTACTATTCTTAAAGATATACAAATTAATGTTCCATAATCATAATTATAACATTCTTTTGTTTTATGTGGCTAAACTCAAAGTGGAAAATCAACAATTGTACACTTTTAATTTAATTTAGGTTTCAAAACTAACTTCTCAATAAATATAAGATTAAGCAGGGTTGATATACACATAATAAAAAACAAATATTATTGGTTATTAAGCTGTGCTTTAATATTTTGAGATTTCTGGATAAGCATTCAAATAATTATTGACTTTACCATTGAATAAGCAATCATATTTATAGTATAGTTATATTTTAGTAATCGATTTATCAGATAATCCTCATGAAATCTTAAATGTTTGTAATTCAGAGATTAGATATATTAAAGAGGAAACTGAAAAAAAATTATAACAATCAATTGATGTTGATACTTTTAAACAATTAGAATTAAATATTTATGACAAAATCATGAATCATCATGATAAGAATAGAATTATGCCATTATATGTTCCTATAATTATAGTAGGATGGAAATATGATTTATTTACTAAAAATTTAGATTAAGAATCTAGAAAATGGATAACAAGAGGTTTAAGATACATATCTCATACAAATAATTGTTCACTTGTTTTTGGAAGCAATCAAGATTATTAATTAGTTAGATAAACTTTATAATATCATGTAAAACCTTCGGCTTCAATTTATTAATATGATCATTTAAAATAGTTATGTATTACATAACTTTCAGATTCAATTGAAAATATTAATTTACCACCTTCTGGATCAAATCCTCTGGATGGATTTAATAAAATAATTAAAGATTAAATTGTTGCTGTTGCAAATAATCAAAAAAAGAAGAAGTAATCTAAAATATCAGAAGAAGATTGGAATAGCTATAAAGAAGATAAAATTGATCGACTTATTAAGTAATATGAATTTTAATAAAAACAAAATAAAAAAGAGGAAGAAACAGTATTAATTTGATAAATTATTATATATATTTATTTATGATTTTAGAATTTATTCTCCTATTAACAGGTGTACAATCTATAATTCTCAAATTCAAAGTTCCCCCTGGATAATAATAATGTATTAAGGATAATGTGTCCTAAAATACACTTATTTATGGAAATTATGACACATCATCCTTACTATATACTTTTACATTAAGTGTAATTCATTACAATTACTAAATCTTTAGGTTATAAATTAATAAGAATAAGAGTCAGTAATTGTCGAACACTCTAACGATATAAATCAATAATTTCATTATGTAATGGAGGAATCAGGAGAAATTTCAATGTGTTTTGAAGTTGATGATTATGCTGATGTTACAACATTTAATCTATTTTATGAAAGTGGTACTTAAATTTAATAATAATTAATTATAGGAGCTGAAATTTATGATTAGGATTTGTTAGCTAAAAAATAACATGTTCTTAATTTAAATGAGACTTTAGAAACGATGGAATAATTATAATAAGATATATCTAGAGAATAATTATTGATTGTTGATAGAGAAAATAATAGAAAACGCAGCTTTACAGATATTTAGACAAAAATTATTGGATTTGCAGGCATAACTTTTGGATTATTAATTATTGTAGCTGCTTGCTAAGTAATATATGTCAGAAGATTTGTAGTGTATAAAAAATTAGCTTGATTTTGCTTTAATATAAAATTATAAATACATTCATTTTTATTTATAATTTTATATATTACCTTTAAAATATATATTAATAAATATAATCTTAAAATAAATATATAAAAAATCAATCAAGAGCTATCAACTAGATGGCTTTAATAATATGAAGGATTAACTCTAATACTTTTTATCAGAGATGAAGAGATTTCTTATGTCTTTTATGTTGTTTCACTATTTTGTTTTAATTTTAAAGTTTACTATTGAGATTGAGCTCTTGATCTATAAGATCTCTCATAAAATTAATCTACTTAAATATTAACCCATACCAAATTATTAAAAAGTTTATTTTCTTGTAGAAGTTTCTAGTATCTCATCACTTGTTCTATTCAAAAGAGTTAAATAACATTTAGGCTTCTAACTTTTGCAAACATTAATTGTTTAATTTTTTTAACTGTATGTTAATATACTATTGTGATCATTTTCCTATATGTCTGTATTGTAACGATTTTGCAATTTTAGTTAAGGCACCTTAAGCTTTTAATCTTTTTTCATTATGGAGTGAAATTTTACTGAATCATTTTGACTTTATTATTATTATTGATTGCATTATTATTATTTTTATTTATATAGAAAGATTAATTCTTGTAATTAAGAATTTTTGGTTGCTTATTTCAATAGAATCATTTTCTAATTACTAACTTCCTTTCAATTAATTTATTTGAATACCTAATCAAGCTCTTTTATTTAAACTCTTAGTTATTGGTTTTCACATTTCAATTCTGAACACGTTTTGTTTAAAACCTAACATTAATTCCTAAAAAACACTAATTTATTTTAAGCATTTACTAACTAGTTTTTAAAACAAGAATTTAATACTTCTGTTTCATTCTCATGGTAAGCTATATATTCTTCAAATTTTTATTGTAGATTTCTAAAATCAGTAGAAATTTACTCTACAACTATTTTAAATGCCTTGATAAAGCTTATTTCCTAATTTTATAATAGTGTAGAAATTTTAGTATTAGTCTTAATAATTAATCCTTCTATATCTTTACACATTTCCTTTAATTTTTTAGCTACTTTCGAATCTAGTGATTCTAGAATTGGTATTTAAGCCTCAGTTATTAAATAGGACATGTTTATATATTTTATATTATAGAATAAATAAATAAATAAAAGTTCAAAGTCGAAAAATCAATTTTTTTTTTCTAATTTAACAAAGAATTTTGAGCGGCTATGCAATCCAAGGTTCAATCCTTTTTTGACAAATTTTTGTAATACTTGTTGAAATCTTAAAATGTCTAATCTTTCTTAATCCTTGATATTTTCTAATTTAGAATTTAAAATTATACCTGAACCTATTTAAGGATTAATAAATTAAAGTTAATTTTATTCTTATAAATACTTTTGGAGTTATTATTAATTTTCGTGCAAATATTAGCATCTGATTCCATAAGGACAAAAACCTTCATTAAAATATCTATTGCATCGTTTAGTTTTATATTTTTAATGAAGATGAGTTTTAGCTTGTAATTCTTAATATCCATGAGCAAAAGAACACTAATAAATTAATTAATTATTTACTTCATCTCCAAATTTGCAAAATTTTGTCAACTAAAAGTTTTTGCATAATTCTGTTTTCTTCTTTTTTGTATATTCTTCTATATATGATTTTTTTTCATCAATTGTATCAAAATGTTTTCTTTTTGGTTAAACACTAAAATAAAATATATCAATATTATTACTCTATTTAAAACTATTTATCATCATCATCATCTGTACTTGCAGACTAGTTATCATAATAAATTTCCAATGGAATTGTATTAATCTTAAATTAATGTAAATAATTTATTTTTTTGAGATTCATCTTAAGCCAACTTAAACAATTTTTTTAAAATGCTAAAAACACTTTTTTTCATTTAAAACAACATTCCTAATCAGTTTTTATTAGATAATTTCTTTTATAATACTTTCCAAACATATAAATTTGTTACCAAAATCTAGATTTGTAAGTAAAGTAATTTAAATGTATTATATTCTCAAATTCAATCAAGCATTTAGATTTTACGGAAAATTTTCAAACAATTGAAAGTTGACTTAATATTTATAACTCAATTTATTAGTTTTCATTTATATTTTGTAGTCATCCAAAAATTCAAGAATAATAAAATCTCCTAAAATTAGTTCAAAATCAATTTCTTTCAAAAAAAAATATTTCAATCTAATTCAATGCAGAGGAGATTAACATTTTTCATTGATTTCTTTTATAATCTAGTTTTTAAATTGGAATTTAAAGTGATTTTCTAAAATTGTATTTATTATTAAATTAAAACTGATTTTATTCAAATAGAGTGACACAAAAAGCAAAAAAAAAGGTTTACTTTTACTATATACCTAGAAAAAAATTTATATTTTTATCTTATAAGTTTCTTAGAAAAAAATAAAAAAAATACTTCTATTTCTGAACATATTATTAATAGAATTAAGATTTCATAATATAGGATGAATTACAAAAAATACTCCATAATTAAAATAAGAGGAATAATTTTGAATTCTTTTTAAATTACGCATTAGTACATATTGCTTAATTATAGAATTTGTGGAATTACAAATGAAATACGTGTTGTTTTTTTTAATGTGAGAGATTATGAATAGTCAGAAATATTGAAATGAAAATGATACAAGAGCAAATATACTTTATTATTTTAGTAATATATATAATAATATAAATTTAATGAATAAATAATAAGACATTAATAGAAGACTGGCGTTGTTTTATCATCCATTATTTTTATAATTAGTTGATTTATGGATGTCTTTGATGGGAGATTCAAAAATAGGATTCATAACTTTTATTGAATTAAACATCAGATTGCAAAAGGCATTATTAATTGAGTTTAATTTAAAAAATGCATGTACTATTTATTAGAAATTGAGTTATGTCTGCGTTGAATGATTGGTTGAAAGAAGTCTAAGATTGTTATGATTTGAAAACATTATACATAATTGAACCAATAAACATAGAAAATGAAATAAAATAACTTCCATTTGAGCCTACATTAATGGCAGAAGATTACAATAATTTTATGATAGAATTTTAAGACAATCCAGCATAACAATATTTGAATGTTAAAATTAATTCAGAAATACTTGGTAAATTTTTTTTTGATTTATGCACAACTTGGTGTATTCATTTAGACATAGAACTTTTCCATATTTTTGGATTTACTTTATTCTTTGCAGTTACTAATGGAGAGAATATAAAATAATCATAATTGATGGCATTAAATGATATACAAACATTGCCAAGTACATTTTTTGAAGATTTTTCAAATTTAAAGATTACATATTTAAAATTCAAGAAGAAAAATTTAATTTATTATAGAGCATGGTGTGAATGGAATTATCTAAGAATGCCAGAAATAGGTGAGAATATGTTTGATAAATTAATATCATTATTTCCAGATGAGTAATTATAATAATTATTAAAATAGTTAAAGAATAGAGAATTTTTATGATTACTTTTCAAATATTATTGAAATAGTTGGTAAAGAGATTGCATCTTCACTTTAAAATTAAAATGGGAAAGAGGATAAATTAAATTAGAATAATCAATAAATTCAATAAAATTAAGTTTAATAAGAAACTACACATTAATAAGAGTCTAAAGATGATGAATAAAATAAATAATCTATTGAATAAGATGAAGCAATGTTATGGTATGAACAATAAAAAAAAGAATTGCCTGATGAATTTAGAGGTAAGAATTAAATTTTATACTTAGAATAAAAATCTGATGTTCTTGGAAGATGTTATTTATAATAAATTCAACCTTTACCACCAGATTTATTTATTTTGAAATATAATGAAAGAGAAAAATGTTATGTATTAGAAAGGAAAGTAAAGATCCCAATAATAGGAATTTAAAAACCTATAATAAACACAACTGGAACTGAAAGAATTCATTTATAAAAATAATATTTTAAATAAGATAAAGATAATAGTTTATTTTATACAAGTAATCCAATTAATGATGGAAATGTAATATAATAATAAATAGCTTAACCAAAATTATAATTGCCTTAAGTAAGAAAAGAAAAGGCATAATTTGAAAGAGTAAATAAGTCATTTTCATAATATGATAGAACCTACACTAATGATAGAGGGAATGTGCTTTTGCCCTAATTTGCTTAAGAATAATTGATGTAAAGATAAGCAAATACTTCTGGAATTAAATTGTTTGAGTAATATTCAACTGAAATAAATGTCAAAAAAAGAGAAGTTAAATAAGATCTTCCATTATAATTAATTAAAAATCCTAGATCAAATTTTACAGTTGATATTAAAGATGATGCTAATAAAGAATTAGGTAGGATCAATCTTACTCCAATTTAATCATTTAGATAAGCTTCATAATTACATAATACAAATTTAACATTTAAATAAATTCAATCTATTGAAGAGAATAAGCATCTATGGCAACCAGTGATGACTCAAGAAGAAATGGAAGTTTTGTTATAAGATGAGAAGAAGTTTTATCATATTTTACATCTCTTAAAGTTGAAATTCAATTTCGAGCATAGATCAGAATATTTGAAGCAGTTTAAACTTAAATTAGAGTATGTATCTAAAAGAGATGAAATGGGAGGAATATTAACAAATGAAGATAGAAAAAGATTTCATGAAAGAATTACTATGATTCTGGAAAGAGAAAAGAAAAGAAAGAAACGAAGAAGAAGAAATATTGTGGATCCTTATAAATAAAGAAATAGGAGTTGGTCAATTAAGACTAAGTTTAAAAACAGAAATTGTAGAGAGTAGTTTAAATAGATTTTTATAACTCCATTGCTTTAATGATTTTTTTATTTTTAATTATGTAGTAGTCATTCCAATTGCTAAATACATTTTAATCTTAATCAAATGATTGAATACAATGTTAAATAATTGTGCAGAAACTTTTTTTCAAATATTTCTAAATCTTTGAAATAGCCCTTATCCTTCTAATTTATTTTTTCCTATTTATATTATTCCATTTCTTCAATCAAAATCTAATTAAAAAATTAATAAACCTATCTTTATTTTTGAATATATATCAAAATTTAAAATATCATAATAGATATCCCTTTTACTTACAATTTCTGCTTGAAATGTTTATTATATTTTTTTTCCAATAAAACTAGTTCTGTCATCTGAGGTAGATATTTCAAAGAATTTAAATTTTGATTTAATTGATCCAAAATTATTAAATTGCTAAAATAAAACAATATTTCATATTAGAATTATTTATTTTAATTTTCTTTTGATTGTACATCTCCTTTAGAAATCTCATGTA